CGTTTCCTTCTAAAAAACCGTACCACGCTCGATCCTTCGTGCGCCATGCCTGTACAGCGATATCGGGGGTATAACTCACACATTCACAACACCTGCTATTTATGATTTGGCATTGATTATATAGATTGAGCGTACGCCACTTGGGGATATGCACCTTATGGCGAGAGAAAGAGAACGGATTGCTTAACTCGCGAGCCCGAGCTATATACGAGCTGTAGTGAGTCGCGTTTTATAAAACGAATGTGTATAAAGTGATAAGGAACGCAACGCTCATGTATGCGCCAATTCGAATTTAATGGCACCTCGCCCACAATATAATTTTCGTAATATCAAATGTATATTATACGATCGCGGCGGTGTGGACTAGTTAGCCGGCCGCGCGGCCGGCTCGCGACTGAAAAAATAGGGGAAAAAAATATTAAAAAAAAAAAAAAAATAATGCGGCAACTAGGTATATGTGTGCCACGCGCACTTTGTCAAAAGGTACTTTGGCTACCTGCGCCGCATTGGGTCCCGCGTAATATAAAACGCGTAATTTTAACGATGCAATATTATTTAATTTATTGTATATTATATGGGCACATAGGCGCACGAAATACGTGTAGCGAGTGCCAATCGCTCTCTCTCTGCTCTCGTCGAGAGTCACCGCTGCGACAGGTATATAGATATAAAATAAACTCGATGTATAAAAAGTTTTTTTTTCCACGTAATCTAGTTCTTTTTTTTGTGCTTTTGCCGCGTCGAGCCCCCGTGCGCGCGCGGGCGAGATACCGATTAATTAGGTTTATCACGAGGTGTGCGCGTTATATTATATACAGGCATGCGTGTCCTATATGGATAAAAAAATATAGCGTATATATATATAAGGATAGGACAATTTGTAGCGAGTTGCGCCGCGGCTATATAATATGGTCATTGCGGGCTTAGTATAATGTACACGTACGGCGTGGTGTACACGGTACGCGCGTTATAGGCGTAGTAATTGAAAATGAATAATTTTCAAGGACTGGCCGAGAGCTGCTTTCGATACCTATATTATACACAGGCCTCTGCGTACGATACACAATTACATTTTGAAATTTTCATTCGCCAATTATTCGCGTGTCATTAGCCTATCTCGATCGTCGTTACGTGTTACTCGACGAGAGGCTTTGATAAAAATTCATACCAATTTTCCGTGAACTTTAGCCGCGCCGTCTCGTAATAAATGTGCAAAAGATCCGTATAATGCGCGGCGTGCGGCATAATTCGACGCTGAGAGTGGAGCGAGAGTAAATTGTAAAATGTACGTGTATATGGGTCAAAATAATACTTTTTTACAAAACCGTGCGCACGTATGTCACCGATCTTGACGCGCTTTTGGTATGTTATAGTACATGGTAAAAAGGTCCCAAAAAAAAATTTTTAGACCCCCTCCCCCCTCCTACCCCCCACTTCCGGTATAAACGTCCATTTTCGATCTATATTTTTTCTGAGGACATGAAGCAAGTAAAAAATCTGAAAAAATTCATAAAAATACTTTTCCACAATCCAAACAACCTTGAATTTTTTCAGATTTTTTGAGTGCTTCAGGCCTTCAGATAAAATCATTGAAAATTTCAAAAATCGAGATACGGCGGTATGAGCCGATGTAGTACTCGGAAATTTTTTCAGTTATTTTTCGCATTAAAAAACATAACCTCAATTTTTTTCAGATTTTTTCAGATTACCTAACGCACCTTTTGAAGCCAAAAACCGATTTTTTTGACGAAAATAATTTTTTTAGGACAGTACGGAGCCTCGAAAAATCTGAAAAAAATTTTTTCTTGTTTTTTTCATCAAAATACGTAATCTCAAATTTTTTCAGATTTTTTAATTGAAGGCGATAGCTTCTAGGGCCGAAAAATGCTATTTTTAACAAAAAATGGTTCCTAGAACCCGATGGTTCCGGTGAAAAAATTTGAAAATATTTTTTTTGAATTCCTTGTCAAATTTTAATAAATTTTGACCGTTTCAAAAGTTCGATTGAAGCTTCCTAGCTCATTTTAGAGCAGGACAAAGATTAGTGCAAAATATCTGAAGACGTTTCTGAAGACATTAAGGAATGATAAAACTCGTTTGATGCTCTAAAATGAGCTAGGAAGCTTCAATCGAACTTTTGAAACGGTCAAAATTTATTAAAATTTGACAAGGAATTCAAAAAAAATATTTTCAAATTTTTTCACCGGAACCATCGGGTTCTAGGAACCATTTTTTGTTAAAAATAGCATTTTTCGGCCCTAGAAGCTATCGCCTTCAATTAAAAAATCTGAAAAAATTTGAGATTACGTATTTTGATGAAAAAAACAAGAAAAAATTTTTTTCAGATTTTTCGAGGCTCCGTACTGTCCTAAAAAAATTATTTTCGTCAAAAAAATCGGTTTTTGGCTTCAAAAGGTGCGTTAGGTAATCTGAAAAAATCTGAAAAAAATTGAGGTTATGTTTTTTAATGCGAAAAATAACTGAAAAAATTTCCGAGTACTACATCGGCTCATACCGCCGTATCTCGATTTTTGAAATTTTCAATGATTTTATCTGAAGGCCTGAAGCACTCAAAAAATCTGAAAAAATTCAAGGTTGTTTGGATTGTGGAAAAGTATTTTTATGAATTTTTTCAGATTTTTTACTTGCTTCATGTCCTCAGAAAAAATATAGATCGAAAATGGACGTTTATACCGGAAGTGGGGGGTAGGAGGGGGGAGGGGGTCTAAAAATTTTTTTTTGGGACCTTTTTACCATGTACTATAACATACCAAAAGCGCGTCAAGATCGGTGACATACGTGCGCACGCTTTTGTAAAAAAGTATTATTTTGACCCATATATATGCGACTGCGACTTCGCCAACTCATAAAGTTATACAAACGATAATTGCCGCGGCGGCTCCACTTTCGTGGCCACTATATATATTCTGTATATAACAAGTGCGGACCTTTTTTTCAGAGGCCCAGGCGTAGAATTGACGTGTACCGATTAAAACGTTATAACGATCTTTGCGCGCGCGGGAGCCAATTTTTTTCCCTCGTTCTCTCGTTCTTTTTTATCCGCGTGTTTATTTATTTTTTTTTTGCTCTCTTCTGCGCCCAATTTCGATCGGAAAATTGGAAAATTATCTCATTACAAAATGCATGTATAGTTGCCGCCGTTGTGCTAAATTCGCTCGCCGAACAACCGATCGCTGCACGGCGACCGATCAACGGAATAATACCGCACCGACCGAATGAAGAAATAGCGCAGTGACAGAGACAGAAAAGAGACAGAGAGCTTTGTACAATGATGCGGTGGTGCCTAAGCCTCGCAGGTACCTAAAGGTAACGACGAGTTTTTTTTTCGTGCTCGTTGTATTATACGATGGGAGATGAAGTAAATAACGAATTAAATCCGCGAATCGATCGCAAATTAACGATCGCGCGGTGGATCGAGGATCGGCCTTAAAGTGGATGGAGATCACGAGACACGCAACAAAAAAAACAGGCACACAATGTCGCGATCTCGGATTTGACACAAAAGTAGGTAAAATCACCGGGTGCGCACGACTTTTAGCCGCCTAATAGCGCGCCGCGCGCGAGGAGCGGAGCTCATGCTCATGAGTGCAGCCAACTATGTGGGCGTTGAGCAATAATCGGCGCATGCACAGCAGCAGCAGCACGCGTTACCAAAGCCCGTCGTTAGATTAATTCAAGGATATTCCAAGATTGCACAGCGGAATAGGCTAATTATATATATACTTAGCGGCGTGTAGTACTACGCGAAAAAAATAAGGTAGGGGTAGGGTATAAGGCGAGTCGAAAATTATCGGAAGCGACTATCATTGTTCGCGCGCGCGCGCGCGGCATGTATGTATGTACCTACGAGACATGAAAAATCGTGTGCACCGAGGAATTTGGTAAGAGAGTATTATAATGTACTCGCGCGGAGCTAGCTCGGTATAGTGCAATTTATAATGTGCGCCCAATCTCGGATTAAATAATCGTCTAATGCAAAATTAAGTTGGCCTTTTCGCGGCAAAATTGCAGCTCGACGGCGGTGGCGGACTCATGTACGTGTATCATTACGACATTTTTAATTAAAAAAAAAATGCCTTCATCGTCGTGTACGGTACGCGAAAACGCGTTAAAAATTATTATCGCCCACTTTGGAAATACACCATTCGATCCTATATATTATACGTGTACTTTTGACACCACCTGCGCTAAATGCCCGCCGCCGCGATTTCTATATACCGATCGTAAAAGATCCGCGTATTTACGTATGGTATTTACATCCAAAAGCGAGTGGCACTCTCGAGTTCTCGAATGTTATTATATACGGTACGCGTGTGTGCTTTTTACTATATGGCATATTGCGACTGCAGATATTTACGATCGTTTACGCAGAAAATGGAGTTTTAATTATCAATAATGCGGGAAGTTAATGGTAAAGAAATTGTAACTGCACAATCTTACATGTGTACACACTTCGTACGGAATTACCAACTACTGGTAAATTTAACGCGCACGAGTTGCTCCCAACTGTCTCTCTTGTTTTTTCACGAAATTTATCATTCAGATCGACGGTAGATGAGACCTTGCAAGTTTGAATTTTCAAAAATATTTCGCCGGTGCATAAATTAAAAAAAAAAGTATTTTTATACCGCAAGATTTTATCGGCGAGTATGGTACAGCATATTCGCTTTCATTACCCGCAATTTATGTTATCTTTGTTTAATAACCTTCCAGAATAGCTACGGTGCAACACTTAATGTAATACTTCCTCAGTACAATTATTTACCCTTGCATGCAGATTTTGTGAAATTGTCTTGGCCACCGCAACAACTTATGTAAAGCTCAAACAAAGCAAATTACCAACTGTTCCTAAATTACTGTTCATCAAATTAATACCCCTATTCATATTCCCATTACTATTGTTGTTGATTTTTTGTAAATAAGAAACTTTCTTTTTATCAAATTACAAATTATTTATTTATTCAATCTTTATAAAAGAAAACATTTTGTGCATATGCATTTTATAAAAATTAACATTAGAGTAGCTCGATAGAGAGAGAAAGGTTATAGAATCCATAGGATTAGTTAATTCAGTCTCTGGCATCATCTTTAGAAACGCTGAAAGGTTCAGCAACAACTTCAGCACCGCAATCAGCAATGACAACATCCTTCTTTGGCTTATCTCTGCTGTCTGTTTGTGTGCTCTCAATCTTTCTGACAACATCCTATTGAAAATAAATGAATGCAAAAATATAGTATCGCTTGTGAGAGGAAGACAGCAATTCAAAACTATTTAAGAATTAAAGCTTATTCAACTAACCATTCCTTTAACAATCTTTCCAAAGACAACATGTCTTCCGTCAAGCCATGGGGTCTGTTTAACAGTGATGAAGAATTGAGATCCATTGGTGTCTTTACCAGCATTGGCCATCGACAACCATCCAGCTCCATAATGGTTCAGCTTGAAGTTTTCATCTTCGAAGCGGTCACCGTAGATGCTCCTGCCTGCAAACAAAGACATGGATAAAATTAGTAATGATATTGATAACAAATAGATAGTTCATAAAAAAGTGTTATCTTTATCAGTCTAATCACATCAATAAAAATCAAATTAAAATAAATACAATACCTCCAGTTCCGTCACCCTTGGTGAAGTCACCACCCTGGATCATGAAGTTGGAGATGACTCGGTGGAATTTGCTGCCCTTGTAGCCCTCGCCAACGGGTTTCTTGGCCAACTCGACAAAGTTCTCGACAGTCTTGGGCACGGTCTTGCCGAAGAGTCCGATCTCGACGCGGCCAGCCTTTTCACCGCCGATCTCGATATCGAACCATACCTGTGGATCATCGTTATAAATAAGTCTCACAAGGTCAAGAGCCAATGACCAATGCAGTCTTTGTGTTCACGCGTTCGCACAAAAAAGAAAAAAGAACCGAGAGAAAAAGAAAATAGGCAACGGACGTGGCTACTGCTGCCGCTGCTGCTGTTCATCCACGCGTACGACAAAGCGATGACGTTATATTATTTTCTATGCTTGTGTGAGTAAATAGAAATTGACGCGACTTGTTGACTGTATTTTTTATATTACCTTGTGGGTGACTTTTGGCCCCTTCTTGGCGGAGTCTTCGGCACTGGAGCCGGAGCAGGCCACGGCGACGACGAGGCCGAGGATCAGGAACGGGACGGACCTCATTATGATGCGATGCGAACGTGTAATAATTCAGCACTAAAACTGCCGACGGTGATACGATGCTGCGACTCGGGGCAACTATCCCCTCTTTGGCGTTCCGTGGCTTGCGGCACGAACGGCAGCTCCTCTCCCGCAGAATCCAGCGATTCGTAGGCGAGTTTGCGCAGTTCGAAAGCAACACGCTGGAACATCATCATTGGCTGAAGTCTGCTCCGTGGCTTGGAATTTTGCAATAAAGCTCGCGTGTTCGTGCGAGAGCGCTTTTTTCGATCGAGTTTTCTCGTCTCGTCACGTAGTCTTGAACTTGAATTTTTGTAGTACAGTGTTCCGCTGTTCTTTTGTTTTTTTTTCAATTTACAAAACGTATTCTACGTTACTTTGGTACACAATTTACCCAGCATTCTTGGAAAAATTCTTTTTTTCCGTGTTCAAAAACAGTTCTTCGGGCTTTTTTTTATGTTTCAAAACAAAAATCAAACGTTAGTCAAAATCACTGAATTATGATATGAAAGAAACCTTACGAATATCCATGACGGTTAAATAGGAGCAATCAATGCCTCATAGCGTATAAGTACACGCGGTGATGCAATCGATCTCATTGCACTGAATAATAACACGACTTGTGTCGCGTGTCGCTCAACTGCTGGTTATGGTCTGAAAAAAAGCACACGACACACCGACGTGAGTGTACTCATCTCATCGTCGTGCAACCTAAAACGAATTTCCTGTATAAGATTCGAGAAAAAGTTTTTCGGCTGCTTGACGTAGCTGTCAGTGATCAGTCGGAGTTGGTCAGTCAGAAATTATCTCGATCGTTGCGCTGTCCAGTCAGCACCGGTTCGCGCATTCCTCGCGAATTTGCAACTTCAATCTTGGATTTCAAACACGCATTTCGCTATATAATACTTGTTCATCGTCATTACACACATATATATAGGTAGTTATTCAACTTGCTGTATGGTTATATAGCCGTGATTCTCGACAGGCGAGTCACAACATTTTGCGTGTAACAAAATTCACCTCTTCGAATTCGATCAAAATTCAACAACCCCGGCTGACCACACCAATTTCTCCGACCAATTCGTAATAATAATACGACTCGTCGTAATTAGTGCAGCTTAAAATTAGAAAAATTTACCGGTGCGTGACACTGAGACCAATATATTTATATACCATTTAAGGTGAGGTGAGTGGTCTGGAATCTAACCAAACAAATTTCTCACGCATATCGATCGTTCTCGTATCGAAATGCATGATGCGGCAATTTTTATCACACCGTTGTACTTGATGAATTTGTGTCATTTCTAGATCGAGCCGTGATCAAATTTTCTTCAGTTAAAAATGACGACTACGGTGACCCCAGTTATCATGCCAGATCTCAAGGAACCTCTGCCAGAGCCAGAAGAGAATCATACGCAGGCAGATTTCATAAAAGATGAATTAAACTTCAATGTTGATGTGAATGACCCATTGACAAAGGCCAGTCTCAATGAACCTGCTGAAGACGAGTGGATGGATATACTGGGCAGCAATCAGTTGTTAAAAAAAGTTGTTAAAGCTGGTATAAAAAATACAAGGCCCAATCGGTCAGATTTGTGTACTATTGATATTATTGGACGCTTAGAAGATGGAACGATTGTTGAAGAGCATGAAGATCTTGTTGTTCAGTTAGGTGATATGGAAACTATACAGGTGAATCATTAGTACTTTTATTGTTGAATCTTTTTATAACCATTTGATTTACTTTTGTAAACTTTAAATAAATAGGGCATAGATTTAGCTCTTGCATTAATGAACACAGAAGAAGAAGCAGAAGTTAAAGTTGGTGCTCGATTTGGATATGGTAAAACTGGGAGAACTTCTCCATTACCAGTAATACCTCCAAATACTGATCTAGTATACAATGTCACCTTAAAAAGTGTTACAATGGAACGAGATATAGAAGAAATGCCTGTTGCAGAAAGACAGAAAATTGGGTCAGTATAATGAATTTAAACATGTTTATTAGAATGAATTTTACCTAATGACAATCCATTCCAGGAATAAAAAAAGAGAACGAGGAAATTGGTGGTTTGCAAGAGATGAATGCATAATTGCAACTCAGTGTTACAGAAAAGCTTTGGATTATCTAACCATTGGAGAAGATAGTGAGATGAGTTTAGAAAAGAATACAGAGCGAACCACAGAGTCTATGACTGCTGAAGAGTTACAATCACTTCTTGAAGATTCTTTAAAAGTTCATAATAATTTAGCTGCTGCTCAGCTTAAATGTGAGGCCTATGATGCTGCATTAAAAAGTGTGGAAAACGTTTTGAGATGTCAACCCAATAATGTTAAAGCTCTATTTAGAAAAGGTAATTTTGTTAGCTTTAAGCTTTAAAGGAACATACATTTTATATTTATACTAACTGCTATTATCCATAGGTAAAATATTACATCATCAAGGCGAGCATGCAAAAGCTTGTACAGTTCTATCCCAGGCATTGAGAATTGAACCTGATAATAAAGCCATCCAGCAAGAAATATCAATTCTAAAGAAAAAAAGTGTAAAAGATGCTCATCAAGAGAAAAATTTGTACCGGAAGATGTTGGGTAATCCAGCTAAGAGAAATAAAGACACTACCAAAAATGATAACGAAAATAAAATAGTTAGCAAAAATTTGACGTGGAGTCTTTTAGGTGGAACTATAGTTGCAGTTTTTGGAATAATTGCTTACAAATTGGTTGCATAATATATGTTTTAAATTGACAATTTTTTAGTTTTAGAGATTATTTATGGTTTAGTATTTTGAAAAGAATGTTATAGATCCAAATCATTGAGTATAAAAAACATTCCATTTATTTGGGGATAAATAAGAATGTGAGTTGTTGATTTTGTTACATTTGTTCCATGTATTTGTACACTGTTTTATATTTAAATAAAAAAACAATTTTCAACCTACATAATTTCATTGTAAAGCACTTTTAGCGCTACGATATAATTCTAGATATGTACAAAGTTAATTTTTACAAATTCATATAAAAATGTTGTAACAATTTATTTTACGCCTGATACTGTTGAGTAACTGTTGAACAAAAATGTTGTTTAATCAGCGAGCGAGCAACTTCAATGTGGCCTGAAAAATGAAAAAATTTTCTATTAATCATTTAATTCTAAATTTTACAAATAATGGAAAATTTTAATTTATTGTAAAAACTGTTTGTATTTACCCAATTGTAATTCTATATACAAAGCTAGCATTATAACGTGTATAGGTACATCACATTCTGGGCTCTTTGAAGTCCAGACCTGTAATTATACATACACATAAATGTTACTGTTATTGACGTTTTATAATTAATAAAGAAGAATTAATATCAAACTTTGAAGCTGACCTGTTTCAAAATTTGTCCCGACTTTTCGAGCTCTCCTTTAACTGCATATACTACAGCTAAGTTATAACTAAGTATTGCTTTGGCGGTCTGAACATTGGTTGGGTACCAACGATCTAAGTGTGAAAATGTTTTAATCAATCAAAACTAATTACATTTATTGAAAAAGAATATATTCAACATAAATGGTATGTAAATTTTAACGAAACATACCTTTGATTGATTTATTATCATTAACTTCCTTGAAGGAGTCTTCTTTAGGTGGATTTGAAACTTCTGTTTCAATAGGAACAAAAGTATCAACATCTTGTAGAAGTTCTGGTTTCAAATACTCTGAAGCTTCTTGTATTCTATTTAGGAAAATTAAACACTCAGCAGCATATAAATTACCCAACAAAACATGGGCCCCTGGTAATTTTTTTATGCTTAAAAGTGATTTGGCATAATTCAAGGAAGAAACGTAATCACCTAGGCACAAGGCAGTATAGGCACTAGCTGATAATATACTAATTTTTAAATTTAAATTTTCTGCTATTGTTGATTGAGATGCTACAGATCGATTTGGATTTGATGGCGTGCTGTTGGAGTTGTTACCTGCATGATGGATATCATTCAATTATAACAGTTTTTAATAATTTAATGTGGAAAATTACCTAATTTACTGTTACTAGATGTTGTAAATGATCCTAGTAAACTTGTTGATTGTTGTTGACCCATTATAGACTTTTTAACTCCATCTTCACATAACGAACTTGTACTAGGTAACGTAATTTCATCTCTTTCAGTGATGGGTAGTAAAAATAATGCATTTTTCAGACACAGCATTCCATATTCTAATGTTGGTTGAGGTATTGCATAAGAGAGCCCTTCAGGATGGTATTTACAACTTTTAGATAAAGAAGTAGCTAGGATGAATTTCTTGCTTACTCCATTGTTATTTTCTCCAACAATTTTTTGTAAAATATCTTTGCGTCTCCCAGGAATATCAAAATCAGCCTTGTTTGTCTGAAAAATTTAGTTTTGTATAATATTTGATTGTATAATCTTATTATGATAAACTTTCTTGTAGCTCACAGGTTTATGACACATAATACAGCACTCTGCCATGCGTAGCCAAAGCCTTGGACTATTGTGAAATTGTTGAGAAGCTTCAATGAAACAGTCAAAAGCTTTTGTTGGTTGTTCTGTATGCAACAAACTGATTCCCATTCCATACATCAGTTCACAATGCTTTGATTTTTGAATGGTATATAATTTATTTGGTGTATTAGTAGAATTATTTGAATTTTCAACACTTTCCATTGCTTTTGAATTTTCTTTGATAGCAGCATTTAAATAAAAGCAAGCTAGATTGGTTTTTCCCATTGCAAAGTGAATACTAGCCATGTTGTTATAATATAGAACTGGAATCGATTCTCCACAAGCCCTGAAAGACGCACATTTTAGCAAATGAAATAATATAAAATTACCTTTGTTTTATTAGTAATATTCTTACTTGAATTCTGGTATAACTTGATTAATTTTAAGAGAGTCCAGAAGTTTCATTGCTTTTTTGTAATTCTTTCGCAAATATTCCATGTTAGCTTTTAGAAATATTGTACAAGGGTTCTAAAAAGAAACAGTGTCATAATTTTTTTTTTATTGCTTGATTATTCTTTTTTAGATTTTTATTTCAGTGTCATATAAATACTCACAATTGGCATGCCCAACTTTACCAAAGTTTTCCATTCCTTCTTACAAAGGTTCACTTGCAGAGTTTGGTAATAAATTCTTAGTTTGTATTTCAAAAGTTTCATTTTGAAAACATCCGTGGCTACGTCCATACAATCTTTCTTTGCTTCTTTTGTTTCTTTCTCTTTATCTACACTGTTGTTAGAGGCAACTACGGAGGCAATGGTTTTTGGAGCAGCTTTACCGGATACATCTTGCTTCTGGTTTGGACCTTGCTCCCCTAAAGCTGACTTGGAAGCATCAGGTGTACAAATAAACTGATTTTCTATATAATTGACAAGTGCAAGAGCAGAGTCTGGTCTACCCAGAGCCAAATGAAGTTCAACCAATAACACACAAATTTTGTGCACAAAACTCTCCTCTAGAAAATAATATGATATAAAAAAATTAAAATCTTTCTTTAAAACTTCTTGATGGTGAAAACTTCAAAAAGAAAAAGGAAAACGTTACCCATGGGCTCGTTGAGGGCAAAGAGGCCGGCGACGATCTGCAGGGCAGCCTGATACTGCTTGAAGTGATACAGTATGACAGCCTGATTGTACCTGATCACGGCGCGCTCGATCTCGTCGCCGTCGAAGCCCGAGGGCGCCGTGTTGGGGCCGTGCGTCGCCTGCTGGCAGCTGGCCGGCAGCGGGCAAATGGCGTTGAGGCTCTTCTTCAGGATGTCGTGCTTGCGCGGCTCCGTGCTGCACTGATAGTCGGCCAGTATCTTGTTGTGCGTGACCTTGAGGTCCTGCGGCCTGAGCTGCTCCAGCTGGGCGAGAGCCGCCGCCGCGGCGGCGTAATTGCCCGCGGCGTACTCCTCCTCGGTCGTGCGGGCGAGCTCGCGCTCCTGTGTGGTCAGAGGCACGGCTGACGGATTGTTGGCCGTCGTCGTGGTCGTGGCCGCCGTCGTCGTCGACGCCGCGCCAGTTCCCGATGTGCCGGCTGGACCGTTGTTGTCCTTCGAGGTAGCGGCTGTCGTTGCATTAGTGGACCCCGAAGACGAGTCTTTGGCCTCGGATGCCGTGGCAGCGGTGTTCGCCGACTCGTTCGTGCTCATCTTTTCCGATCTTATCGTCGAACAAGGACAACTTTTTTCAAGAGGATATCACTTGCGTTTATCAACGTTGATGAAGCGTTCGGCTTTTCCGTTGCTTCTGCTGATAAAGACTTATCACTGATGCTGGGCACCTAAACTTAACAACACTATGATTCTATGTAAGAGAGCAAACCCGGGTCAATTTCCAGAAAATAACCCGGAGCGATTGTTTGTGTGTCGTTGAAATCGAATCCGGAGTCCGCGAGCAGACTATATATCGCACAACAAACGCGTGTGTTTGTGTATATGTATATGCGTGAATTGAAAGCTTTCCTGCGGCTGTAATATGCCGCCGTTCTCGGTAGTATTACGGAGAGACAACACAACACTGCAGGTTTTTAAGGTTAAAACGCGCGTGTGTGTATACAGTATAACAGGTAACGGCAAGTTTTAGCCGCTAAATGTATATATAGGTATAACTGATAGGCAGGTATAGTTATCAACTCGCGCACCAGAGAGCAACAACATTATATACGTACAAGAGATAGCGCGAGATGCGAGCAGTCAAATCGAAATAGAAGATTTCTGTAGCGTCGCTCATTACCGACTCCGATTTTGCACTGTAAACTAGCACTCGGGGCGCTCCGCGACAGCAAGCAAGATTCGCTCAGCGGGTATATGCGTGAAATTCGCGAGGCCCGATCGGACACAGCTAGCGGCTGCAGGTGTTGTTGACCCTAAATATAATAATACATGTAAGGAAAACTTTTATTTTTATTTTTGGAGCGTGTCCAAATGTTCATTCATTCATTCATATCGACACGGCTTACGGAAGCGCGACGTGATCGTGTGTACGCGATCGAGACGTAGGAGGAGGAGGAGGAGGTGGAGGAGGAAGAGAAGAGAGAGTATTGTGCATGGAGCAACGGATGATAAAGTTTCCGTGAAAGTGTAAATCGAATCATATCGTCGCGCGAGTAGGTACATAAAGTTTCGGAGAGAAAATCGGAAACAGCCATCACTTTCTTCTCTCTCTCTCTCTCGGGCGCATAATCATATCGCGGCACGGGACACGGTCGCTCCATACAACGCGGCTTACAAAAAAGAAAACGACGTATATAGAGTAGATGACGATGACGACGGCGACGTCGACGAGGCGAATAAAGCGATCCGTTATCTATAACCTAAATCTCGAGGCTCGCGGGCCGCGGATAAAATATACTACAACATCGCTCGTCGTAACTTTATACATATACGCGGTATATAACATCTAATAAAAGTAGTACACCCATACGAGCGCTGCAGTTATATCACGAGTATATAATATATAGGATAAGTCGCGTCGAGCAGTCTCTACGTACATATGTGCCGCTGCTGCATGGGCGAAATTGAAAAATGATTGAGCAAGAGGAAGGAACAAAGATCAGCTCTCTCGCGAATGGGCATGAGAAGCGCGCCCGCGATATAAGACAAAGTAAAAACCTCCTACACACGATCGCGCGGGCACCGCCGCACGTCCTCCTCTAATCTCTTTTATTGGGACGTAGAAAGTTTTTGCATGTTTATAACGCTCGCTTTGCTCTTGGAGCAGCGAACGTAGATATAATAATCATCGTCGTCGTCGTCGTCGTCGTCGTCGCCCCTTGCTCGAGCGACGACGAGAGTGATGTCTTTCGATGACAATAGACGATCTCGCGCGTGCATGGAAGCGTACTATACCACTACGCTCGGTACGTGGGTGGATGCAGCGATACATAGCTGCGACAAGGAATAGGAAAAGCCGAGCTTTTATTTTAACGCATTATAAACTATTCTCGCGCGCGAGCGAGTAGGCGAATTAGATTCGGCGCGCGGCGTATATAGTCTCGAGTGCTCTCTGCCGCGCGCCTCGTCTTGGCGCAACTTTGCTGCCTGCTCCGATCTGTATAAATGTGCTGTATATAGTGGGTACGTTTATATGTGGGTGTACTTTTACGACATTAGATTTTAGCCAAGGAGAGAAGAGAGCGAGGAGAGAGAAGCGTAGGATAGCATAAGTGTGTGTGTGTACGAGCGCAGAGTATAAGTAGAGAGAAAGAGAGAGATGGAGAGAGAAAGAGGGGCATGACCCCGCCATCTGTATAGCGTGTGTATAGTAGCATTTGTGTAGGATATACGTATGTGTGTATATTTACGCACACTGCACACATACACATGAACCTCGTCGTCTCTCTCGCGTGTGCGGAATATAACGGGGGCGTCCGTCCGTCCGTCCGTACGTACATACGTACACGAGCAAGAGAGAGAAAGAGAGACTGCATGTGCGCCTTTGCTGCTTTTTCTCTCTGTCTCTCCGCTTTCGCAGTATACATAGGTAGTAACTAGTAGTAGTATTGGTATATAGTTGTGTGTATATCCGAAGGGGACTCGCGCGAGCGATATAGTAGCAGCAGCACGCCGCAGTTCAGTGTTCTCGCGCGAGCGCAACTTGGAGCGCCCGTGTACACACACACACGTATATAGCTTTGTATAGTACTACTATACCACTATATTTTGACCATCACTGCTCTGTGCTGCTGCTGTTGCACAGGATATACAAAGCCACACACGCGCGCAGCGCAAATTTTTTTATCGTAATAATAACCGCGAGGCGTCTGTTCTTCTGCTATCTATATAAACTCGGACAGTGCGCGAGATGAGTACAAGCAGTTTATTATAGCAGTTGCCATAATACATTAAACTGCCTGCGACTGCCTGCCTGCCGCGCTGCTGCTGTGGAAATCATCATCTTATACTCGTGCGTGGCTATCCGAGAGTGTGTTGCTGCTGCTCCGTTTTTGTTTTTTGTTTTCATTTGTTGACGATCGCGCGTCTCTTTGTGTGTGTGTTTATACGTGCGTTGTACAGCTACAAAATCGGAGTTGTTACTGTGTGTAACGATATTCTATATATATCGTGTTGTAGTGCAGCTGTATCGTTATTTTATACACCTGCTGCAGTGGTCATTGAGCAGAAGTGTCCAGTGTCTTTCTCTCTCTCTCGAGTTTGTGCGTGCTTGTGTGTTGGTGACTAGTGTCGATATTGTTGCAGAACGATGATGGCACGATAGACAGCAGCCTATTTTAACGCGTAACCGGCCCATCGACAGTTTACGCGAAAAACGAGGGATTATTTTTGTTGTCATGTGCCTGCCTGCAGTGCTCCGAAGACTGACTTATAGCTCTGTACAATAACAAGAAGACGATCAGCTCTATAGCGCATCGATGCACGTATAGGCCGCACATCTGCACATGCAGCGCAACGATAATCATGACAACGACGGCGACGGCGACGATGCTGATGCTGACTGCGGCGACCGTTCAGCTGCCACTGCTCGAGTGCTCGACGATGCACCAACGCTGCTGCACAGTAGCTCTTTTAGCGTGATAATAAAATAGTGCGGATCGCGATTGCACGAAGACGACGACGACGACGACGACGGAAACCGCGTCGAGTGTGTGCTGCCCGCAGGTGACGGAAGTGCCTCGAAATAGACCATAATAAAGCATTTCGAAAAAAAAGGTACGCTCATACTACTACTACACATACTACTACTACTTCCACATCGAACGCCGAAATTTCTCTTCTTTATAGCTTCTCGTTCTCGTGAAATCGCGAGTGAAATTGGTGAATCGCGTGCGGTTATTATAGCATAACATTTAATGTCGTACGCACGCGACAGTGCCATAGTATGAGTTTGAGCGTATCCGTGTAATACCTGCGACTACATTATAATATACAGTACTCCTGTGGCCGTATATAGCGCGCGGCTGGCCCTTTTCGGCTCCATCTTCTGCTCGCGTATTATACGTACAAACGCGCCGCAGAGCTCGCGTACTCATGTTATACTTTATACTCGCACACACGTACGATAGACGTAAAGCTCTCGCTCGAGTAGACGAGAGCGAAAGAGAAGAGACCCATAGGCGCGATACATATACGTACAATACATACCCACCTACGGTTCTGCATCTGTTTCCTGCACGTATATATCTCTACGTTATTACACATATATTTATTCGCGCGATATATACATGTATATATATGCACGCACACATGCACCGAGCGTCGTGTCGTATATACGCTTTCGTAGTTTTTCGCCATCTATATCTGTTCGTCCGTACGCATATTATACCGTTTATATATATAGTTTTTACACTTCGGTGTGTCTGTCTGTGTCTGTCTGTGTATGACAGTGTGCGAGTGCGAAGTGCGTGCGCGTGCATAAATACACACACACACACACGCGTAAACACGAACACGCACACTGTGACAAAGCCTCGCCATGGGTATCGAACGTGCATATCTATATATACGCATCTATATATTATATTTATAGATAAATAGAGAGAAAGAGACGACGGCATATACTACAGTCGACCGCACGCGCGTGTGTACATATATTATCTCTCTCCGTGGTGTGCGAATCTCACGTACGCACACACAAACACACACGGGGATATAATCATCATCTCTCCAAAGACGACGACGACTACGGAGTCTCGGGACTTTTGTTGTGGGAGTCGCGCTAGACATGCTGGCGGCCGCCGCTGGCGCGACTATTAGGGCCTCCTCCGCTGCTGCTGCTGCTACTACGACCATTGCGAGCTCCAATACCGCTACTAGCGTTGCTGCCGCTGCAGCTGCCGCCGCTTTAGCCGCCGCCGCTGCACCGTCGTCATCGACGGCGACCACGACGTCGACGTCGACCTCGGCCATCCTCGGAGCGGCTCTGCTCGATCCCGTCAACATGGACGCGACCATCGAGAGGGAATGCTCCGCGCTGGGATGCCTGTTCCAGCAGATCATTCAGGACATGAAGGTAAATATCCAACGACGTCTATCAAACTCGTATCTGTGTAAAGTATCTGTCATTCGCTTGAATTATTGTTCACTCTTTCTTTTCTCTGAGTAAATATACGGTGTGCTGTCTCTATTTTTATTGATACGCGTATTAAACCAACCGCATAATGTACATTATCGTATTCTTATCTGCACGCGCGTCAAACTCGGCGTGCTGCTTATCTTTTTTTTTCTGCTGTATATCGTGCCATTGTCATTCACTATTCTTATCCGTTGTTGTTGTTTTTTACAGAATGGAGCACCTCTGTGGGAAGACCTCATCTCCAAAGCTACGAAGCTGCACTCTTGTCTCAAGTGAGTTCGGACGGAAATAAATATTTTTTAAAATTTCTCATCATTTTTTTGTTCGACCGAAAAATTTTCTTTTTATCCATTCATATCGGCTGCTACGACAACCGAACTGACATTGGTTTTTTTATTCTTGTCCTGTTTTTTTTTCATTCGTAGAACTGCCATAGTCGCTATTTCCGCATACCTCGAGGCCTTTCAAAAGATCGCCGATGCCGCCACCAACGCCAGAGGTACGTTTGCTGCTGTTATACATATATCGACTTTTCATTCATCCGTGGTGATGTATGCTACATGCATACATACACACGCGAACCAACAACTGTCAATGAAGCGTTGTTTCCTATTTGTATTTACGCGAGTGCCTTTTTTTTTCTTATTTCGTTATACTTTTTCTTGCTCTATTTAATTTGCGCGCGCGCGCGTTTACGTCCAGGTGCCACGCGAGAAATCGGCACCGCTCTCACAAGGATATGCCTCAGACACAAGGCCGTGGAGACCAGAGTGAAGTCGTTCACCTGCGCCATCATGGACTGCCTCGTCGTTCCGCTGCAGGAAAAGCTCGAGGACTGGAAGAAATCGCTCGTTTATCTCGACAAAGAGCACGCCAAGGGTTCGTATTTAGAAAAAAATATATATATATATTGCCCATTTAACTCGGGACCTATTGTTCTATGTTCTTTTTCCTGTTTTTTTTTCCTTCAACAGAGTACAAAAAAGCCAGATCCGAGCTGAAGAAAAAGTCGAGCGACACGCTGCGCTTGCAGAAGAAGAACAAAGCTCGCAAGGGCTTGCAGCCGCAGCAGATATATGGCACGCTGCCACACGGCATCGGCCACGCCAACAGCGGTGGCGGTGGCGCGTCGGCGGCCGCGGCCCACCTCTACCACGGCACCAACGCCAACGCCAACAACGCCAACGATCCGGAATACGGCAGATTGCTCGAGTCCTCGGCCGCCGGCGTGCAAGAAAAGCGACAGACGCTCGAGGAGACCGAGAGAAAGGCCGTGAGGATGGCTCTTCTCGAGGAGCGCGGCAGATTTTGTCAATTTGCCAAATGCCTAAAGCCCGTGCTCGTACGTATACGCTAATATTCTAGGAATTATCGATGCTTCGTGTTTATGGTTCTGAACGAAAAACCATGTTTGACGGCAGGACGAAGAGATCGCCATGCTCATGGAGATGACGCATCTGCAAGAGGTCGCGGATCAGCTCGAGAAGCACACGGCATCGCCGCAACAACTGCCACCGGCCTCCGAGCAGGTGATCATCGACCTGAAGGGCCGCGACTCGAGCCAGTGGTCGATGGCGACGCCACCCTCGAGTCCGTCGCTCTCGCTCGGCTCGCGCAAGAGCTCGGTCTGCTCGATAAGCTCGCTCACCAGCAGCAGCAGCGGCTCGTGCAAAAGTCATCCGAGTCCGTCGGCGGGTCACCCGTCCTCGGCTTGGCACAGATCCACCGCGCAGCAGGTACATATACGATACAGCAGCAGAGGGCAGATTTTGCTCGCTCGCTCGAGTACAATATATGCTATTGTATAAGTGTGTAACTCATTTAGGTGTTTCTTCATCGTTGCGTTAGAGCTTTTTTGACTCGTGTTGTTGTCGTAGCCCATTTCTCTCATGCACGTTACTTATTGATATTACGAAGTAGAATGCTAATGTAATTATTGTTTTTGCGCACTTAGAGTCTACGCACGACTGCAATGTTGAATCATAAAAAAGAGAATCGCAGATCGTTAGATGACATTAATCCTTTCAGTGACAGATTAGACCTTGATTCACGTAGTAGTAGAGCTTCCATATTCAGTAGTCAAAGAAACATGACCATGAAAACACTGACAAATTTACCGGACACTAAAGCAAAACTTCTAGAAGAACTGCGTGGCATAACGAGGAAGATGAAGGTTTATTATGGATGCGAATAAACATCGCTCCAGATTTTTTTTTTTTTGATTTTTTTATTAGTAAAATTCTCTTTAAAAAATTTTATTTTAGTTACTTGCTCACTTTTTAGTTATTTAGTAGTTGTCAATGTTGTTATGATTTGCTCTTCTCTCTAGCCGGCCAATGGTATGGTAACGTTGCGTTACCATCGCGCTATCAACAGTGGATCGCGTGATTCTGGATTCACGTCGCTTCAGGATACGTATCTCCAACCGACGTACAAAAAACAGGTAAGTCGTAGAGAAAAAATTCCTTTTTTTTTCTTCTCATGTGTCTTCGAGAGCATGCACACTATTAGACATTGTATAGAAACAACGCAAACGCTGCTGGACATTGAAAAGATTTTATCTTTCGAACATAATTGATTGCCATTGAAATAATTTATGCGCTTTCTGATAGATCTCGTGCCCGCTGCCACAGTCAGACAACAGATCTTCCACATCAACGACATGGTCTGATGTACAGGCAGATTGCGTGAACGTTCAAAATCTGGGAGATGACCCCAATGCTGCTAACGAAAGGCCTCATACTATTTCCACAGGTAAACTTTATCGAATAATCAATAATGTTCGAGTGGCGAATTGATTTTTCTTTCTTCTTCTAAATGTCAACGACTTCCAAGTAAAATTCTACAGTGAATTATGTTTCTTTCGTAACAGCATACGAGAAGGGTCATCAAAGGCCAGCTCTAAGCGCGTACACGTTCCAATCACCGGAGCAAAGTAACAGCAGCAGTCAGCCGGCCTCTCCAGTTTCGGGATCTGGTACGGCGAACGCTCTGCCGCAGAACGCCGGAAAATTGCAGCCGCAGCAACAAAGGAAAAACAGCAGCGGCAGTATAGGTCGCGAGCGGCCGCCAATCCCGAATAGGTGTTCCAGTTTGGAGAGGCCTGCCGTGCCAGCGCGAATCGATTCGATGCCAGATAGCAGCAGCGCGACGACCGCAGCAGCGCCGACGACGACGACGACGACGGCGACGGCGGCGGCGACAGCCACGCTGCTGCAGCGACCCACTATTGCGTCTGGCTTCGTCAATACCGATAGTCCCATCAAATCGAGAGCCAAATTGCCAATACCCGCTGGCATACCCGCCCATCTGGCCAGAGGTACTTTGCACGCCTTTCGAGCGTTCGAGCGTATATTATACGCGCAGGATTATTAATGTACTGCAGTGTATCGCGCGTATTGAGTGTCAGTATTTTGATACCATTGGCCTTTTTTGCTCATTGCAGAAATAGCGTCTCACCAGCCTCACCTGTTCCAACAACCCATGTACGTTAATATGCACGAGTTGGCTAGTTTGGCGGCGAGCCGAGCACAGGAAATGCACACCCCACCCGTGGCAGCGGCGGCAGGTGCAGCAGCTGCTAATGACGCATCGAATAATGCCATCAACGTTACCGAATCTAATAGGGTATGGGTTTTTTAAACTTTTTCCCCCTTTGACTTCATTCAAGCTTTATCGCCCTTTTAATGGTCAATAATTAACGTAATACATTTTTATGCGTAGATTTACGGCACAACGACGAGAAACATTTCGTCGTTAGCAACTGTGCCCAACGAAAACATCAACAACAACAACGAGCAGCGATCTCTCGGCATTGGCGGTGTGACGCAGCGAAGAAACTCGCTTCAGCAGCAGAGCACCGGCAACAACAGCAGGCCGTCACCGCCCACGCGACGAGTGTCGGCGGGAGTCGTGGAGAATCACGACGATCGACCGTTGCAGCATCACGGCGATGATCTCGATAACTTGCCACCGCCGCCGGCTTTTCTGCTCGAGGGCAGCTCACCGCCGAATGCTACTGGCAGCCCAGCCATGCAACGGCGGTAAGAGATCAATTCACTTGAATCCGGAGACCCCCCCGTTCGAGCACTTATCGTGATTTATTTTTTGTATAAAACATCTTGCCGATCACGTAGTACATGGAAGCATGGTAGTTGCTCTCTGTAGTATATTTATTTGTATAGAATGTGTATTTTATTAGTTTTCACCCACTTTTTTATAGTCTCGTTGAATGTTGAAAAAGTGCGCTAAAAACCTCGAAACGAAGCCAAGTACAAAATTATTATTTGCCGAAATTCACTATTGTATGATTATTTGATCGAATTATCGGTGTAACGATTATATTATAAATTGTTTATGTTTTATTTTCTCTCCATTAGAACTTTATGTTAAATTTATAGTTAGTTTTTTGAAAACTAGTATGTAAGAGCCTACAATCGTTCCTATAATGTGTCTTGAGTTATTATTTTGTATGACAGATAGGTCGTTCCGTAGCATTGTTATGCGTGCATTGGCACAATAATACGAGTTAAAAAAGCGATGAAATACAATCCATAAGAATCAGTGCGTACTGATGCATAAAAAAAGAAGCTGTAAAAGCTATGTATACCCTTTACAAGGCACTTTATCACGACTTTAGGTCCATGTCGGTATCCGAAACAGTAAGGACTCTTACGGAATTGCGACATACGCCGGCCAGTCCGTCGCTGTTGCGCCGCTGTAAGATAGCAGCCCAGGCGCAAGCTGCTCAAGTCACTGCCGCTGCTGGCGAGCAAGAGCAGCAGCAGCAGCAGCAGCAGATCGTCACTCGGGCTAGCTCCAGTGAATACGCTACTGCAGGCCAAATGTAAGACGCATGAAAAAATTTTAGCACTTAACAAAACAAAAACGTAGAGTTGAAAAATTAATGAACGTGTCTGTATGTGTAACGTGTCTCCCAGTAGAGGACATGGTAGTGGATCTCGTGATCGACACTCGAGTCCAGATACCCGGACGATAAGCTCCAACAAGAGTACCACTGTGCAGAACGACAGCCACAGCCACAGTAGCCAAGGTCCAGGTGGCGTGGCTCAGAGCTTCATGGCGGTGCTGAGCGCCAAACTGACCGGTAGCTCGAGCCACGGATCAACGAGCAACGAGGGCTCCGCCGGCAACAGTCCCCGGCTCGGGCGCAAAAATCCAGTACAAATACCGCAGCAGCAACAGCAATCGATGACGCTAAATCGTAATTCCAAGACGTCCAACGAATTTCTCGAGACGCTAAACGTCAAGCTGGCTCAGCAGCAACGAGTCGTGCAACAGCATCAGCAGCAGTCCAGTCTCAGTTTGAGATCGGCCAGTGTTCGACGCATGATGGCCAATCGAGTGCCCATTATCGATCCCGTACAGGTCAGGGGCTCGCTCATGGATCAGATCCGCAGGGGCACTTCGTTGCGAAAAACCACCGAGCCGATTAACGACAGATCGGCGCCGAAGATTTACTGATCTTCGGTTCGGCGAGGCCCGTATTCGACCCCGGTCTAAATGTACGGCCTCGCCACGCTGAGTCTGCGTTTACGACAAAATGCAATTTTTCGCGAAATGATTTATCAACGATTGAAACGAAGGAAACTCAATTTCAACGTTCGAATTTTCGAAAGTTTTTTGTACATGTTTACAAGTATAGATTGTAATTATTAGTCTGTCTAAAATTCATATCAGTTAAATGTGGAACGAAATTAATCGAGCCAGCTGCCAAAAAGCGGCCTCGTTGTCATTATCTTATACTATTTCTGACTAAACGTGCTTGTCGTTTTTTATCTATGTACAATGTATTATCTAATTACTGTAATCGATACTATTATTGGTAATTTTATGTCGTAAACGGCTCTCAGTCGATAATCTCAAGTTTGTCGAAAAGTTGAAACATAATTTGATATTCATCATATCGTATGATTAATGACTCCAATAAGTAGTTATAGTAATAATAATTAATAATAATAACAATAATTATGTTTCCTAGTGTGTACAATATTACTAATATATTTCAAAATAAAAACTTGAAACAATAGCTAAAATCAAAAAAGATCTGGCAAAGTATTGCTAAGACTGTTTGGTTTTACGCCAGCTGCAAGGAATATCGAATCTCTTGTAATCGACTTACGTAATATAATTGTTCAAAAAATATGAATCAAAAGATCTATGTGTGTCTTCGATCCAGTCAATGGTCAAAAATAATAAATAAAACTCGACAACTGCCTATATATAATAAATCGAAACACAAGTATTTTTTAGTGGCAAAAATTTTCAATATAAGTACGCATCAACAGGGTAGCGCGCCCGGTGTATTTATTTTTGCTGCAGATATCGAAGATTGTATATTTGAATAATTGTATCGTAGAATTAGACATTTTTTGAATCTTTACTTGGCAAAAGAATGAAAAAAAACGTCCATATATACACGTAAAAATACCATTAGCAGAAACAGTCATGAATTTACTAAAGTTGTCTGCGACCTTCCCATGATGTACCTAAATGTTATGATACTTGATTAGTTTTTTCAATTTTATTTTCGATAACGATTATGGACTTTATTTATACGAAAAATTGATTTACTTTAAACATTCAAAAGAAGAGACTGATTACACGTGATCTAATGATTCTAAAAGTAGATAACGCTGTATATATTCTACTTTTCGGAATCTATTTTTAAAATTCTAGGGATTTTGTAAAGAAACGGTCATGAATGCAAATTCTGAATCAAGAGGTAATTTTTTAAATGTAATAAAACAATTGTAAATGATTTTTTTTAAATACCCTCGACTGTATTTTAATTTTTGAATGAAATGTATCATCGAAAATTTTTATTTAATTATTCATAAAACACTGAAAAATGTAATGAAAATTGTTCACTTTCAGTGCCTAAATTTGTTTTCTATTGATTGTAAAATTATTATTTTAAAAAATTGTATATTTGTGTTTTTTTTCTATGAAAATTCATCGCATTCATGAAGTTCTTGTTAGTATTTGAATAACAATGTGTCTAATTGAATACTTAAACTCCTGCTCATTTTAGTTGTTAAACGTTCTCATCGTCTTTTTAGTTATATTTAAGCGTGTTACGAACCGATTTGTGAAAAAAAAAATCAAGCAGTTCGATTTTTAATATTACACACGTGTAATCAAGTTAGCAAGCATCATTTTCAAGCGAGCTTTAGGACTAAGCCCTAACGCTCCTCGACGCGTGATATTAACCAAATAATTTTTGTTTATAGAGCCCCTTATGAATAATTAGCGTATTCGAGGCTTCTAGTATATGAAAAAGTATGAAGATAGAATGAATTGGACGAGAAAAAACGTTTACACACGCAAATATATATTATAAAAAGTATAGATTCACGCAATATTTTGCAAAATAATAAGCGAACACGAAACTCCTATTTTTGTATCATTTCCATACGCAAAATAAATATGTAATATATTTATATAAATATATCTGCCAATATTGCTCTCATTAGCTTATTAGGATTTAGCTTGATTTTTCAAGTTTAGATTTTTCTTTTTAAAACGACATTATTGATGAGATTGCAATAACTATCAAGATAATATCCTATTTATATTAGATTATAGTCGTATAAAAATATTTCGAAGGAGCTTAGAAAACTGCACTACACAAGTTATTTGATACACGAGCCACTTATATTATACAAAGTTTATTCTTGATGGTGATTGTTGTTTCATGGATTTTGTCAAACAGAGTAATACTTGATAATAACGCGGCAGCTCGTACCTGGGCTGTTATTTCGTATTTTTGCGTTTCTCTCTCGTCAAAGGGAAACGTACAGATTTTGCTTCCTGTCACAACAAAAATATGTAATTTATTTTCTATTCTAAGTACACGCATAAAGAAATGACTTATTAACAAGAGCAGATCTGACGAAATGAGATTATCAAAAGAAGTCCGCGCGAAATCTCGCGTATCAACGATCCCGACGAGTCTACCTTATTTCAAATGAATATACGTAAAATGCTATAAATGTAACAATTGGTCATAGCGCGATATATATATATATATATATATATGAGTAATCGTCGATACGCCAGATGGAAACGTTTTCGCGACGCTTGACGCGTATTATCAGGTGTGTATCTATACGTGAAAGAATTAAAAAAAAACGGAAAATATAAACTATACGATATACATAGTGTAGCTAATATATTTAGAATGAGAAAAAAAACAATGTTGTTAATTTGTATTGAATAATATTAAACCTTTACCTGTACGTCGCTGCGTCGGCGAAAAAAAATGCAAACGTTAATTAACAAAGACAAATATTAAGCGATAAAAAAAATTAATAAAGAAGATATATTACAACTATATTTGATTGTAATCCAGATATTTTTATCGTATTCACGGTTAGGTAAGAACACTCGCACGCTTTAATTAAAAAAAAAAAAATCTGCAAATCTGTTTCTCACGAATAAGTACGAACGTCTATTTAAGGTGCAAAGATACCAAAGAAAATATTCGGTATTTACTTTGGTCAAAATAACGAACAAAAACTGAAGCAGCCAAACGAGAAACTTTTCTATGATTTATAGCGAATAAAATTATAAAACAAACATCACTTAAACTTTGAAAAAATATTAATGAATTCAAATTTTTATTATATGTATTTATTCGAATGATATGGAAAAATGTGAAACATTAAATATTACATCATATAAAAATATGATTATAAAGATCTCTTGCTTTCTCTTGGAGACGCCAAGCAAATATGACACAAATCTTTGTTCGTTAGCGGTTCGATGATCATATCGTTGCAAAACATCGGCAGCTTGTTTCGCGTCAGCTTTAGGAGAGATGCCAATTCTCGTCGCTTGTACAAAATCCTCTCGCCATTATTTCGCACAGCTTCACAACACTCGCAAAGCGAAATTCTTCGGGAAGCCTCGACCATTGAGTTGAAGACACGAGCTTGTGATAGTAACCTTCATTTGAAAGTATCTCCTCTGCTTTTGTGGGTGGTAAACGGAACAGATTGAAGAGCGACACACTCGGAATCACTATCACATGTTCCGACTTTTTCGCGGATTCGTCTTTTTCGTACCAACGCTGGTCGAGATTTGACAATTTCTCGAATAGTCCGTATGTATCAAATAAATTCGTGATCGTTTGGACATCCTGCTGTTTCAGTTTTTATCCTTTTTTTTCCAAGCGTTTGACAACAGCCCGAACATATAAAACGACTTTCAATTTAGTATGAACCTACGCTTCGTCCAAGTGTGTCACAAATCTTACGTCGAGGTGACTCGAAGTGGAAAAAACGAAGTTGGATAGTTTTTCCCAATGATCCAAAAGTATATCGACCCAATTCGGATGGAAATGCGCGACGGCCCATTGAAAAGGTGTCAGACCACCCTTTTCTTTTGCATCAACCTGTACCATCGAGGATTGAGGCCGCGGTGGCTGTGGGGCTTGAGCTCTTGCTTCTCAACCGAAAAGTCGGGGGGTTTAAATCCCTGCGATGGGCTGGTTTTTTCCCGAGGATTTTTTCTGCGGGGTTTGCACCGTTGGGTGTAATCCGTAGAAATTTTCCTTGGAAAGAGGCCGGTGCACTTCAACTGCGGTCTCTGGTGTTGGGGGTCACACCATTATCAAAGCGTAACCTCAGTGGTACGGGAGGCGCAACCACATCGACTATAGGTACACGCTAATACACTAACACACACACTTACATATACACGCGAGACCCACCGTTAGGTAGAACGGTGAGGTTGGCCAATTAGCCTAGTAGCAGAAAGGGCCGTAATCAAATAAAAAATAAAAAAAAACATCTGCTGTCTACCGTCGCAGAAGTCGAAAAGTGTCACAGCCAAATTAGCAGCATCGTTCTTCTTCATGCAGATGACGTGCAGAGGTGTTACGTTATACACATTGGCCTCATTCGGATCACCGCCGCTCTTCAGTAGCAATTCAACTGCCTTCTTATTGCTATTACGCAAAGCTAAGTGCAGAGGTGTATTGCCCAACTTGTTTCGAGTGTCGACCTGTAATGGATGATTACTGTAGTTGCACATCAGGAAGAATAGCTCTGCAAGGACATCTTCAAATTCTCTCGAGCAAAATAACATGCAGAGGTGTCGATCCCTTTTTATCGGCTCAATTAGGGTTGAAGCCTCTCTTCAGTAGAAATTTAGCTGCTTTCTTATTGTTATTACACACAGCTAAGTGCAAAGGTGTCCGATCCATCTTGTCTCGAGCGTCGACCTGTAATGGATGATTACAGTCGTCGCACATCTGGAAGAATAGCTCTGCAAGGTCATCGTCACATTCTCTCGAGCAAATAAAATGCAGAGGTGTCGATCCATCTGCACTAGCTAAATTGGGGTCGGCACCTCTCTGCAGTAGAAATTTAGCTGCTTTCTTATTGTTATAACACACAGCTAAGTGCATTGGTGTCAGGTCCCACTTTTTTCGAGCGTCGACCTGTAATGAATGATTACTGTCGTCGCACATCTGGAAGAATAGCTCTGCAAGGTCATCGTCACATTCTCTCGCGCAAATAAAATGCAAAGGTGTCGATCCATCTTCATCAGCTAAATTAGGGTTGGCGCCTCTCTGAAGTAGAAATTTAGCTGCTTTCTCATTACTTTTATACACAGCTAAGTGCAAAGGTGTCAGGTCCCACTTTTTTCGGGCGTCGACCTGTAATGGATAATTACAGTCGTCGCACATCTGAAAGAATTGCTCTGCAAGGTCATCGTCACATTCTCTCGAGCAAATAACATGCAGAGGTGTATATCCATTTTTATTGGCTAAATTAGGGTTTGCGCCTCTCTTCAGTAGAAATTTGGCTGCCTTCTTATTGCTATTACGCACAGCTAAGTGCAAAGGTGGATTGCCCAACTTATCTCGAGTGTCGACCTGTGATGGATGATTACTGTCGTCGCACATCTGGAAAAATAGCTCTACAAGGTCATCGTCACATTCTCGCGAGCAAATAACATGCAGAGGTGTCGATCCATCTTCATCGGCTAAATTAGGGTTGGCGCCTCTCTTCAGTAGAAATTTAGCTGCTTTCTTATTGTTATTACACACAGCTAAGTGCAAAGGTGTATTGTCCAACTTATCTCGAGCGTCGACCTGTAATGAATGATTACTGTCGTCGCACATCTGGAAGAATAGCTCTGCAAGGTCATCGTCACATTCTCTCGAGCAAATAACATGCAGAGGTGTCGATCCATCTTCAGCGGCTAAATTAGGGTTGGCGCCTCTCTGAAGTAGAAATTTAGCTGCTTTCTTATTGTTATAACACACAGCTATGTGCATTGGTGTCAGGTCCCACTTTATTCGAGCGTCGACCTGTAATGAATGATTACAGTCGTCGCACATCTGAAAGAATTGCTCTGCAAGGTCATCGTCACATTCTCTCGAGCAAATAACATGCAGAGGTGTCGATCCATCTTCAGCGGCTAAATTAGGGTTGGCGCCTCTCTGAAGTAGAAATTTAGCTGCTTTCTCATTACTTTTATACACAGCTACGTGCAAAGGTGTCAGGTCCCTCTTTTCTCGAGCGTCGACCTGTAATGAATGATTACTGTCGTCGCACATCTGGAAGAATAGCTCTACAAGGTCATCGTCACTTTCTCTCGAGCAAATAACATGCAGAGGTGTCGATCCATATTCATTGGCTAAATTAGGGTTAGCTCCGTTTTTCAGCAGCACCTCGGCCACGTTCTTATGGTTGTAGTATAGAGCCTTGTTCAGCGGCGGTTCGACTAATTTCTGAAGTAGGCAATTGGGATCCTGGCCCAGCTCGAGGAATTTCTTAACGATATCTTTACAGTTGGAGGCGCAAGCTACATGAAAATGTGTGTACCCACGTTCGTCGCAGTAGTTCACGGCAAATCTGTCGTATATTTTGAAAAGCTCTTGAACTGTATTTTGTCCGCGAAAAAACTTGCGTTTACCAGCATAATGCAGAGGTGTGGTTCGACGCAGTAGTGGCTTGCCGCTTTCATCCACATCGGGGTTGTCTTTATAGCCGCATTCGATCACGAAACTGAGTAGATTGGTTTTCATCGTGCCGCGGTTTTTAACAAACATCAAATATTCCTTGATAAGCCAATCCATTTCTTTGCCACGGAAAAGTTTTCCAAGGTCTGGGTATTGACCCTTCCAATTACTGATCAATGGATCAAGTTCTTTAAAAAGATTTATTCTTGATTTCTCGGTCGATATTTGACCTTTTTCCATTTCTTGAATGACCTTTTCACGCAGTTTCTTCATTTTTTCCAAGTTCGAAACTATCGTAACGTGATAATTAATTTCGGATTCCAAGTTGTACAGGCCTCCATCTCCGCCATTGCTGAAATACACGTCTAATTTTTCGTCGTCGGTCATTTTGTTCTGCACTGACACACAGACACACACACACACACACCAAACACAGTTGTTTAAAATGTTCAGTTGCTTTTATTTTTCGTGAAAATCACTTGATGTCGATGCGATGTTTCTTTGTTGTTCGCGCTGCGGCGTCGTAACGAGTACTGACTAGTGTGCGAAACAACACGTCATTCGAACGTTCCGCGATTATCTTGCTCGCGCGCGCACATACTCAGCGAGTCGAAGGATTGTTTGTTAATGGAATTCCAGCAATTGTGTCGACGTCGGCGACGAATTTCACGTTCCTCATATACGCGAGAATCGCGATTTTCTGTATGCATAAAACGACGGTGGAATGTATTGTATATTTATTTGCTGCTCCTTTGAATGTCAAATATAACTATACGATTGAAATGAGAGACGCGCGTCAACAATTAAATTTTACTTTATTTTTTTTATCGCAACATCGTATGAGTATGAAAGTTTACATATAGCTTTAACGTACAAACATTGAACTTACTCTAAGTATAAAAAATCTCTTAATTCGTATAATAATAATGGGAGAAAAAAAAGAGTTTCACTCGCGTGTGCATTCGCTATCGTTTTGATATTTCGGGGGCTACAGAAATCTATCGGCTAATGATGAAAATTAGATGCGTAAGTTTTGGGAATCGAACGGATTTTCATAAATGATCACGATGATGTTCGAACGATGAATATATTTGGTGTGATCTCATTGCGTCGGTGGACAGAAAAGCTGAGCTTGCTTGATCTCGAGTGGAGGGCCGATTATCGAAGGAAGAACTATCATCGTCATGCTCTTGTCCAGAATGATTTTCGTCTTGTCGGTCGATGTGGCTAAATCTAAAACTTCGCTGGAGCTCAGCAGCAAGGCCATGTTTCCAGCTGAATGAAATACAAGAAAATGCATCATCGGTCGAATTTTATTGAAAAAAAAAAAAAAAAACAAAAAAAAACAGCAGCCACAGAATCTTACGTTTGTCGACCGGCGGACAGGAGCAGACCGGATCGAGCTCGACGGTGAAGCGCAGCCTCTTGGGCGAGCTGTACAGCGGACTGACGTCGAGCAGCAGCCGAGCCTTGCGCGCCCGTCTCACGGCGACCTTGACGACGCTCTGCGACGAGCAGTACATCTGCTTGAAGTCCGAGGGCAGTCTGTCCTCGCAGCGCGGACAATTGATCGAGTTCGCTTGGTCGCTCGTCTGCTCGGCCACGTCCTCGTACGGTTTGCTGGTCGGACTCTCGTCGCTGTCGTAAACGGGCGGCGGTGGTAGCGAGACGTGATTCGTCACGGGTGCCTCGACGTAGACAGGGGGCGGACCCTCGACGCCGTCGGGCACCTCGAGCTCGTGATCGACGTTGACGAAGGACGGCAGGAAGCCCTCGTCGATGGCGTCGTCCGCGTCGCTGGGCCCGGGCGTGATCGGTTTCACCGGGACGAGCTCGCCCTCGGCCTCGAACAGTCCGCTGCCTTCCGGGTCCAGTTCTGCAATGATCATCGGGTAAAAATGCTATCTCTGTTAATTTGAAAATTAATAATGTACGTACCGTCCTCCTCGATCGGCGGATGCGCCTCGATCGTCACCGATCGCTGCCTCAACGAGGCTTGATCGATCTTCTTGTCTCGCGTGCCACCGCTCGTCTGATCGGTTATCTGATTGACCTTGCGCGACGACTCCTCGACGCTCATGCGATTGTCCTGGCGCTGCATTTTGCGCGCCTCGGGCTCGTTCGGCTCGCGATTCACCGCTCCCTCTTCGCTCTTCGTCTCCTTGTCCTCGCACACGTCGGCGAATCGGTAGCTCTGCGTCGAAAAATATTTGTTACAGCGACACTTATGGCATAGCAGATTATACTACAATATCTCTCATACCGTGGAGATCGTGAGCTCCTGCTGATAGTAATCGTAGAGCTTGATGTTGGCCGGCTCGGGATTCTCCACGACGGTCTCGCGGCTCGCCTGCAGCGACACGCAGGTCCTCTGCGACGTGAGCTTGTCGAAGTAGACGGCGATCGAGTCGGGATTGTCCTCGACGCGCTTCACCCCCGTGGCGGGCTCCTGCAGCATGTCGTGCAGGCTGGCCTTGTCGGCCACGAAGCCGCTCACCAGGCCGATCTCCATCACGGCCATGTTGCTCTCCTCGTCGGGCAGCTTGTAGCGCGCGCACACCACCAGCCGCTGAAGCGCGCAACGATCGTTGGGCGTCGCGGTAGCGGTGGTGGTCGTAGCCGACTCGTCGTTGGAATCGACCTGCATCCCCCCCGGCAGGGGCGTCACCGTCTCGGCCTGGGCCGTGAGCTCGAACGCCTCGCTGCCCTGGGCGCCTGCCTTGTGGTAGCGCAGCGTGCTCTGCACCAGCACGCAGCCCTCGCCCTCGGCCAGCACCTCGAGACTCGTCGGCAGACTCGGCAGGCCGATGCGCTTGAGCAGCATGCGATTGTCGTCGTCCACGCGGAACAGATGATCGAAGTCCGTGGCGGTGACCAGCAGGCTGAGATCCAGGGCGCTGGTGTTGGCCATGGCCAGGGCGTACTTGGTGAGCGCCTCGAGGCCCACGACCGTGTCCTGGGTCGAGCTGAAGCCGCCCTCGGCGTTGCGCTTGCGCGACAGCCAGCGCACGGCGCGCCGAGCCTCGAGCATGTTGGCCTCGCCGCCGAGCTTGACCATGGACAGGAGTCCGTAGGCGGTGGTCTCGATGCTCACCGCCAGCGAGTACGAGCCCCGGGCGCGGTCCTCCCACCAGAGCGAGTCCTGCTCGCGCGAGGCTCGGCCCAGCAGCTGACGCAGGCTCTCGTTGGCGCGCGGATGCTCGAGCAGGGCCAGGGCGTAGGTGGCCAGGGCCGCGGAGTACGGATTACTGTTGTCGGCGGCCTTTTCCAGACAGTACAGAGCGTTATTGACGAGGGACGCTGACAGAGGAACCCCTGACTCGAGCAGAGCGACCAGCACGTAGGCAGTTAGCGCCGAGGACGAACCATCCTCCTCTCTGAGTCCACCCTTCATGTCCTTGTGGAAGATCTGACCGATCACGGGGAAGCAGCCGTTCTCCAGCTGACGGCGCACGATCCACTTGACGGAGAGCTTGAGGTCTCGCTCGTCCACGGGTATAAGGCCTCGGGCCTGCGCCAGCGACTTGACCACGAACGCCGTGAGCCACATCGAGCCCGTCTCCTGCTGCTGTTGCTGCTGCTGCTGCTGCTGAGCCACCGGCAGAACCTCGGGTGGTCCACCGGCTGCCCCGGGTCCGAAGGCCGAGTACGAGCCGTCGGCGTGGCGATAGTTCAGCTGGCGCTGGTAGCCCTTGAGCATGTTGCGCAGTGCCCGAGCTCGCACGTCCGAGGCCGCGTGACGGTTCATCGCGTCGAGGTAGCCGATCGCGTGGATGTTCGGCACGAAGAGGATCATGTTCTGCTCGCCGCAGCCCATCGGCAGCCGGACCAGTCGCTCGAGATTGTCGAGCGCGGGCCCGAGCACGTCGCCGATCACCGTGACGTAGGCGCTGGCGCTGCCCTCGACGAGGCGATCGTCGCCCGAGCCCCCGTTGGGCAGGTCCAGCTCCCAGGTGAGCGAGACGTCGTCGTGGAAGTCCTTGGGGCAGAGGAAGGCCGAGCGAGTCAGCTCGACGGGGAAGCCCTCGGCCTTGACGAGCAGCGGCTTGACGATCTCGTCGCGGGCGGCGATCGGCAGTGCGGGCCCGCCGCCGGGTCCGCACGCGGCCACCAGCTGCCTCGCGGCCAGATTGGAGTTGGCCTTGACCTCCGCCACGATCGTGACGTTGATCTCGCCGAGACGTCGCGGCATTACGAGAAACTCGTGGAACACGCTGTCCTTGGCGTCGATGCAGTAGAACACCTCGGCGCTGGCGTTGGAGGCGAGCTCGAAGTCGCGCTGGTGGTCGTCGACGCGCAGAGTGATGGCGACGGGCAGACTGTGATGCATGTAATTGAAGAGCGAGACCTTGAGGCGGACGCGCTCGTGACGCTTCACGCTGTAGGGCAGACTGTAGTCGAGGAAGAACGGCTGGAAGGCGGTGATCTGGGCCGGGCTGGCGATGCCGAGGCCGCTCTTGGCCGAGACGCAGACGGTGTTGGCCACCCAGTCGGTTATAGAGTCGGGCAGATTGCGCTCGACCAGTGCCTTGCCCTCGGGTCTGTGTTTATAAATAACAGCAGCACATGAGTATTATATGTCAAGGAAAAAACACCCTAAAAAAATAATTGGCCGTGTCCTCGCTTCGCATATCGATAGCGATCCCAAATTGTAATCGCATCGAGTTATCTAAAAGCTCGGAATGATGAATTTTCACCGAGTTCGATCGCGATAAAACGCAAACCTTCGACGCGCGCCGATAATATAGGCCTGACGCATAAATGTATAAATTCGAAGGCTCTCGAGTTTATCTCTCGGTAATGTGCTCGTATGTATATACTTCGATACCGATGGCGCGTACTGATTATACGACGATGAAGTTTTGCTATTGTTTCAATGTTTCGATTATTGAAGTATAATTTAGCGTCGATGCTGTGGAGGAGTCGATTGCGAAGTAAGCATTACGGAGACCAAAGTCCCCTATCTGGAGGCTCTTTGCGGTTCGTTATCACGCGAGTGAACGTAAGCTCTCGGTGACGGCTTAATCGTTATAAAATGAACTCACTTATTATCGGAAAGAGATGCATGAAACTTATTTACGTGAGTGTACTAGGAAGAGGCCGCGAATATATTGCTAAAGAGCTTTTTCTGAAAAATGAAATCAATCTTATCATTTTGACGAACTCTACGAATTAGATAAGACAGTGTTCTATCACGAAAGAAACAAGATTTACAATAATTTTTTTTACCTTTTTTAGATCTTACAAGGAGAGCCTTTCATCTGCGGGTCACAGATCCTTTCCAAACTTGTTTGGGGGTCTTCTTGTACATAATAATGAAGCCCCCTATAGTTACTTTATTCCAATGGGCCCTGGAAACCATTATAAAGCACCATAAAGTATATAATATAATATAATGTATAAAATACCACTTATTGGTATCAGGCCTTGTACGGTCAAGTCTAACTGACTCAAAAATATTTATACATGAACTTTTATGGATTCTAAACACTTTTGCAAATAATAAACAATTGAACTCAATTGGTTTGTTGTGTAAGTTGTAAAGAGCGCACCAATTTGAACTAAAATTAACGTACCAAACAATAAATATTGATGTAAATTATATGAAAATATTTTTTATTTGTATAACTCACATATCCCTTCTCTTCACCTATTCCTGACACTCATCTTGGGTGAATTTACGAATGTTTTGAGTGCCAGAAATAGGTGATAAAGAAAGAACAGTAAGTTTTATAAATGAAAACATTTTTACATGATTTAATATAAATATTAGTTGATACATTTTAGCTGGAATTGATTCGCTCTTTGAGAATTTCAGTAAACCAATTGAGTTAAATTGTTTATTGATTGAAAAGGTGCTTTGGACATTAAGAACTCAAAGTATAAATACTTCTCAATCAGTTAGACTTGACTGTGTAAACTTGATATTATTATACGCTAATATATGGTATTTTATACATTATATTATATTATGTACTTTATGATGCTTTATAGTAGTTTCCAGGGCCCATTGGAATAAAGTAACCATAGGGGGCTTCAGTATTGTGTACAAGATCCTTAAACAAGTTTGATAAGGATCTGTGACCCGCAGATGAAAGGCTCTCCTTGTTTGTTTCGATTTCAAATTGAAACTTTCTCTTTTTTTCGTTAAAAGCGATACATCAAAATTTTTCGAAAAATCAAAAACAAACCATATTTGATTTCAAAGATGCAACTCTGAAAACAATCGACAAAAAGTTTAAAAAAACGTAACATTTCAAGATAAAATTTAATTATAAGAAAACTTATTCTCAATCTTTTCTATGCTCTAGCTAGAAAAATAACGTTTTTGTGCCACCCCAACCTAACGTAACATTTTCGTCCCGCCGAACGAAATAAAAATGTTACTTTGGGTCGGGGGATTCACAAAAATAGTATATTTTGCACCTAGGGAGTGAAAAACTGGAAAGTCTCAGAGCACGTGTAATTTGTCATCCGAGGCTGATAATCACGTGCTCTGAGACTTTCTTTTTTCGCTATACATAGGTGCAAATACAATTTTTTGTGAATCACCCAGCCTAAAGTAACATTTTAATTTTGCGAAGCGAGAGCGAGAGAGAAAGAGATACGCGCGTCGAGTCTCTTGTAGCTGGCGCGGCCGCCAATCACAGCGCGTAGCGCAAACCTACGCTGTATAGGCAGTTCTACTACCAAAGTTGCGTGCGCTCGGACGGACGGACGCTCAGTTTTTAAGGGGTTTACTCCTGATACCAAACGCGAATGTAGATGTTTCACATCAACAAAAGCAATTACCCCGTCGGTATCAGATCCCAGATCCAAGTCTCCGGAAAGTAGGATCGTATGGCGCTGATCGACTGCAGCTCCAGCGCCAGGGGATCGGCGTAGTTCGTGTCCTGGGCCACGGCGGCCAACTCGCTCAGCGAACCCGTGGGTCCGCTGAATTGGAACGCCAGAGGCATGGCTTTTACGGCCTTCAACGATCGATCCGGCTCGTCGACCTCGTCCGATCCGGGCAAGCCGAGCGGCACCTGGCCGAGATTCGAGCGCCAGGGCGGACACGGCCTCGACTCGAGGATCAGATCGCTGATGACGATCACTCCGAAATCCTGTGCGAGCAGAGACGAATCGTTAATAATAACAAATTAACGCTTAATATACGATATTATGTAACGGACTTACGTCGAAGGCCTGAATGGCGTCGACGTAGTTGGCGCCGATGTTGTAGATGACGGAGTGTCGTCGCTTGCGCGAGACCGGATGAGGAACTGCCTTAGCCACGGGCCTGGGCAAATGGTCGATTTCCTCCTCGGGCGAATCCGGTTCCAGAGTCCCGTCGTCCGGGGCTAGAGATTCTGCGAAATTACACACATATATTTACGCACTTGTTTTCTTATAAACGCGATGATAAATAATATATTGTTTAACGCACTGTCGGAGGTACAATGGGCCCAAGTGCTCTGTACGGGCAGACTATCCGCGGGCAGATGGAACCCGGCCAACCTGCCGAACGCCGCCTCGGCGTCCAACAGATTCGGCTCTTGGCTCGACACCAGCAACGGCTTCAGGAATCGAGTCGACCGATCGACGGCCGACAGTCCGCACAACGAGTCTGGCGCCGCCTCGATGTGGAATCGCGCCAGTCCACCCGGTGCCAATCGATCCTCGTGCCAGGCCGTCTTCACCGGGTTCTCGAAGCAGTGTCCGACCTCGATGGTGTGGCTCGAGCTCACAACCTCGCCGTCGCTGCGCACGTAATAGAGCAGCAGCTCGCTCTTGGGACTCATGCTCGGCGTGATCTTCACGCTTAGCGGGAATCGATGCACGGCCGGTGTCGTCGACGAGGTCTGTGGTTGCTGATCGAGGCCGGGAATCGGCACCACCACGCTGCTGGTCGGGGTGGCGCCCAGCACGTTGCGAAACTCGCTGTAGTCGAGCAGCGTGTCCTTGCGCGGCTTGTACTTGACGTGGCCGAACACCAGCAGATCGCCCTTGGAGTTGATGGAGTAGTGAAAGGTGACGGGCTGCTGCTGCTCCAGTCCGTCCTTGTTGGCCGCGTCGAAGACCGACGGCAGGCCCGCCGTGTACATGACGTTGAAGGAGTACTTCTCGCCGCAGACGATGGGCTGATAGCCGCGGCCGAGCGACAGGTAGCTCGACGAGGGCGAGTACCAGGGCTCGACGTCGATGTAGGCCGACGGCTGGTCGACGAAGACGCGCCAGCGCTTGTCCGGCGAGTAGTACTTGGTTGGGTACTCCAAGGCGGTGGCGACGAAGCTCAGCAGCACGATGCCGCGCGGCTGCGGCGGCACCACGAAGTCCAGATAGCCCTCGGCGTTGGACGAGCTGAAGTTGCGACACTCGACGAGGCTGCGCTGCCACTCGTCCTTGCGGCGCACCCGCAGACACAGCTGGACGCGCTCGTTGGGGGCCGGCTGCGAGCCGTCGGGCTTCAGCACTCTCAGCTTGCCGTGATACGGCAGACCGGGCTTGAAGTGCTTGGGCGTGTGCGGGGCGAACTCGAGCTTCAGGGGCTGATGCAGCACCGGGCTGCGACTGGTGGCCTGCTCGGCGAGGCCGGTGCGCTGCTCGCTGAAGTTCGCCACGAGCTGAAGACCGCTCGGGGCCAGCTTCCAGTTGGCCAGGCCGAGCAGATCCGCCGGCACGGTGTAGTTGAAGCAGCCGTCGTTGCTGGAGCCGTCCATGGCCTGCTCCTGGCGCAGCTCGGCCTGCGGACTGGACTGGGACTTGCGACGCCAGGTGGCCTGCTGGGGACGCAGGCTCAAGCGCAGCAGGCCGCGCACCGGCTCGCCGTAGCGGTAGCGAGCGCACACCTTCCAGCTGACCTGGCGAGCGTCCGCGAGCACGTAGGCCGGAGCGGCGATCGTGACCTCGAAGCGCGGCAGGACGTACTTGCGCACCTCGAACTGGCGCTGCTGGATCAGCTGCGGTCGGGCTTTTTCCACCTTGATACGCCAGAGACCCTGTAAGAGGGAGATAAAAATTTAATGATTGGATAGTTCGTGCAGGAGTTGTAGTGGGGTATTTGTGTACCGAGCTCGGTTCCGAAGATAAAGGGAACTTGATCTGGATCATGCCGTTTTCGGACGTCAGGTTGGTCCACTGGGCGACTCGCACCTCCGCCGGATTCTCGATCCAGACCTTAGCGATCTATATCAAAAACATGAAGATTAATATTTCGTCGGATCTTTTACAAAGAAAAAATTAAAATCGTACCGGCTTCGTCCAAGGCTTGAAGTCGTGCTTCAGCGAGAGTATCCTAATGTTGACGTCCTGACCGGGCTTGTAGATGGCTTTGTCCGTCTCGACGAAGGTGACGAGAGCATCGTGCTCGATGACGATCTTCTTCTCGGCCTCGACCACGTAGTCTTTGTGCTTCTCGAACTGCAGCCGTAGACGCAGCTTGGCGTAGCTGTGCTTCGTGTTGGTCGCGACACGCAGCTCGAAGCACGTCTCGCTTCCTGTAAAATTTTAATGTCAGCGTATTACGAGCTTTTTTCTATTAGGTATTTTGTTGTTACTGAGAGATGAGCAAAATCGATTATTTTTTACTCAACAATCATCGACTCGGTGGAAAAATATCCAATTGTTCGAAGAATCATTCAATGCTTGTGAATTTTTTCGGAAAATTTTTGGAATTTTGGAGTTAGGCCCTTAGTATTATTTGAACTATTCAAAAAAGTTAATGAATTAACATTCACCAAAAATTGTACCATTCAAATCCTTTATTTAAATTTTGGTAGATTTTTTTAATTTTCCGAAAGTCAAAAGAAAAGGAATAGACAAGTTTAAAAAAATTTCGGTAATTTCAAACAGTGAATAATTAATCGTATTCAAGATAAATAACAATATTTTGTCAGAAAAAATATAGCTGCAGAAAATAGATACATTAAAATTTCGTTTATTCATACAATCTTTCATATTTCGAAGACTATACGAAAAAATTATCAATGTCAAAATATACAAAACTCTCATTACGATTTTAGTCCCGAATTTTGCCCGAACAATCAATTTGAGCATTTTGTGGAGTATTTTTCGCGAAAAATATCGGCAAAGCTTAAATACGACACAGAGAACAAAGCGTGCATAACTCCGTATGGACACGGTAGACGGTAGAGGGGGAAAGTTTTGCTAACGAGCGATAGCAGTCGCGAGGATCACCTCGCTATTATGCACAGATGAGTATGCCAAATATTAGCTAGTTAGTAGAGCAGAATTCCCGCAGCGAGCATTGAGTAAGTGTTTACAAATTGGTGATGTCCAGGTAAAGTGTTGGCTACTCGAGGTGCATAACCTCGAATATTTTCTCAGTGAATATAGTGAGAATTTGTAGTGAATACTCATAATTAAGGAAATGATGGACAACAACGGTGAAGTAATTAGGTATTTCTTTTTCGAGCGTTATACTGTCAGAATTATTTCTTAAGCGATTCCTTATGAAATTCAATTATTCTTTAGAGTGAAGGAAGAATCCATCGATACTTGGACGAATGCAGGCGGAGATTATGTTCTCGGTTCGATGGACTCTTGTAAAGCCGAAAATTCTGATGTATTGCCGTTTCACAAATTATCGGTAAGTTCAATGATTTGATTTGGTAGATGCATTGTCAGAAACTAGCCCGCATTTTCATTTCAGGCTAAACACTCGAATAAGGCTATGGCGTTACAAAGAAATTTAGATGCCAATATAAACGACGATTTTGAGTGCAAATATGATGAACCTGAACTGAAGTCTCTAGCATTCAACATCTGCAAATCTGAGTGTAAAAATTGCCTACCTATTGAGAAAATAGAAAATGAAAATCAAACCAACTACATCAAGGAAAGTATATTCATTGATTTTGAGGGCAAGGGTGTTAAACTTGAACTGAAGTCTCTTTCGTCCACCATTGGCAAATCTGAGTACCAACATTTTAAACCTGTAGTGAAAATTGAAAACCAAAATCACAGTACCAACAACATGAAGGAAAAAAGTTTATTAATATTGATAAAAAAAGGATTTGATTATGACAATAATTGTCAGTGGAATGTGAGCTCCCGTTTAAAAACAACAGAATATGAAAATCTAAAACGTTTTGAGGAAACAGTCGAAAATATAACACCACGTAAATCAAAAATTTTTCGACAATTACATACAGCAAAAACAAGTTTGAAAAATCATTTTAATACGAAACATAAAAGAATTAGACCAAGAGAATGTAAAATTTGTAGCGAGTCATTTTCCTGCGTAAGTGACCTAAAAATTCATTTAAGTACAGTTCACGAGCACATTAGACCTTTCCAATGTGAAATATGTCACAAATCATTTGGAGATAGTAGCAACCTCAACAGGCACATAAATACAGTGCATGATCGTAGAAAACCCTTTGAATGTGAAATTTGTCACAAATCCTTTGGAGAAAAAGGTACCCTCACAGTTCACATAAATGCTGTTCATGAACGTAAAAAACCTTTTAAATGTGACATTTGTCACAAATCCTTTGGAGAAAAGGGTAATTTCAAAAAACACATAATAACAATACATGATCGGATCAAACCCTTTGAATGTGAGATTTGTCACAAATCATTTGGAGAAAAAGGTACCCTCACAGTTCACATAAATACAGTACATGATTGCATGAAAACCTTCGAATGTGAGATTTGTCACAAATCATTTGGACGTAAAGGTCACCTTAATGCTCACATAAATACAGTACATGATCGTATCAAACCCTTTGAATGTGATATTTGCCATAAATCATATGGACGAAAAAGTTATTTCAAATGTCACTTAAGTGCAGTGCATAATGGGAACAAACCCTTCGAATGTGAAATTTGTAAAAAGTTTTTTGGATACCGTAATGTACTCAAAAGACATATCAATGGACTACATATCGTAGTAAAATCTATGGATGTGGGATTTGTCATAAATCATTCGGATACCAGAAAACCCTTAAAAGGCACATAATTGTAGTACACGATCGTAGTAAATTAAAGTAGTATTGCTCGCAACCTCGAAAGTCTACCTAACTACATTTCAAGATCTTAAAAGGTCTTTAAAAAAATAACTATATTACTGAGACCTTTGCACTCATGAAAGTATTGTATTATTCGTAAAGTTTTACAATATATACATTAAAAATACGTCTCCTTTTGTTTTGTTTGTTTTATTATCGCCCTGAAAGCAATTTTTAAACATTCCGTCCATATTTTCAACCTTTCATGAAATATCATTTCGACGGTAGAAAATCTTTTCGACCGCGTTCCCAAATTCTGAATTAATCCTAAACTCCTCCTAAATTCCTCATACAAACATGTTTATTGATGATAATTATCATTTGTGCCGAGCATAACTTACTAGAATTACAATTACATCGGGCTGTATCCCAATCTAAAAAAAAAAAATGACTGGACAAGCAATTCGACCGGATCGCATTAGAGTTGAGTAAAAAATTGATCGCCGAGGGAGAGAGAGGTAGAGATAGAAAGAGAGTCTGCCGAAGCTCGTGTCGGCGCATATATAAAATGTACTTTGTATTTTAACGAGTAACATTATTACAACGTACGCACGTGTACGTTTGTGTATATGCGTATAACATTCATTATATATATATGTGTGTACGGCACAGTGGACACTGCGGCTCGTTATTAAGAGCGACGAAGACAAAGTCGTCGTCGTCGTCGGCGGCGACGCGGTCACGCAGGTCGCAGATCATCGACCCGCCAGGAGGGGGATCGAATACAAGAGTGAGTGAGAGAGAGACTCGATGTTGATCTGATGAGACTTGCAACATGATCTCTTTATATATCACGCATGGACGATTAATGAGCGTGTATATAGTGTATCTGTTGTTGCTGCTGCGCCTCGCGAATATATACACGTGAGTACAGAATGCAGCAGCTAAATAAAAACGAAACTTATACCACTGCAACGAGAAAAATAAAAGAATAAAAAAACATTGCGACGAAGAGACGCGCGAATAACGATCGTGAGAGATGCTTGCGCGCCTATTGGTTTTGTATATACGTATATAACGCATCGGACATCGGAGAGAATGTGGATACGATATAAAACGATCGTAAACGCGCTTATACTTTATATAAAGGGGGGAGACGGAATAATAATTGAGAACAGTTTATATCCGATCAGCATACGAAGGCATATATGCATGCACGAGCAGAGCTACACTGCTGTCGCTACAGTGTTTTGCCGATCCGAAGCTACTCGAGACCGACCGGAAGCTACTCATGGATAATAATGCCGTTTATATATACGATATATAAATTTTCCATCCCTCGCTCGTTTCCTCTCTAATGATATACATTATGCTGGTACTCTTGCACCGCGCCGCAAATATCTATACACAGATACGCGCAAATGTATTCGTACCAGTTCTGAAGGTCGTTCGGACGCTCGACAGCACGTCGTCCTCGGCGTTGCCACCGCCGCCGCTGCTGCTACTACTCGTGCTCGTGGGACTGCTGGTGCTGCCGGCGGACTGACCCGACGACGACGACGATGACGCCTCGGCCGCGGGCCCGCTGCCGCCGCCGCCGGATTGCAGACCGAGCAGGTCGATGCTCACGTGCACCGGCGGCTCGACGTTGTGCAGCGACAGACACACGTTCTCCGTCTCGCCGGCGATGAGCCGCTTCGGCGCCGTGAATATGTAACCCCTGCGAGAGCGTACGTTAAGAAACATTATAATAATACGAGTATAACGATGCGTTAAAAAATTATGCGAATCGGAGGAAAAAAAGCGATCGGCCGTGCCGATTGTCGTTCGTTCATTATATATACGACACCGACATGTACCATGGAAAAAATGTGCATCATGTGTATAGGTGCAGGTACGTATAATATAAGCTATAACAAAGCTACGCTGCATCGTCGATCAACTGGACGCGATAACGAGACTCCGACACGCGAGCTTTCGCTGTTGTTACGTATATTAGATATATATATATATACGCGGCAACTGCGCGCCACGCGACGCGACCAGTACGTATGTATGTACCGATCGATCGACTTGGTGAAATTAAAACAAGTAGCTCGCTCGAGAGTTATACCGAGTCCTGTGCCGGCCCCCGCGGGTCAATTCCCTTGGCGGACGATTATAATATCGATCTTTAGCCGGACACGCACCTGCGCGTATATAACGATAATAACGCGATGTGTGTGTGCATCTTTGATCAATTAATGCGGTACCTGTTGATGCCGTTTCTTTGGGGATCGAGCTGATGGGGCTCTTGCTGAGCTCTGGCGATCAGCAGCAGCAGGCACCACCAGACGACGAAGCTCTTCAACATTTTTATCTTTTCGTTGACTTATTGCCCGATCAATCCTCGACGCTGACGAGCCAACGATCGACCGACCTCATAACTCCCTCGGAGACTTCGTGTATAATATTTATAAAATACGATGTATAATCGGACGAGCTGATCTGCACTGTATATATAACACACGCGCACACGCACGTGTACACACCCTCACCCACACTCACTCACTCGCGCGCACGCACACGTTTGTATCGAATTATCAAAATTTCCTCGACGATGTTTTTTCCCTCGAGTTTTGTCGCTCTAATTATTCACTCTGTGTCGTTGCGGTTCTGTGCACTGCACACGATTTTGCGACGCGATGCGTTCGGAGAGCTCTCGGTCGAAGCACTACTGGCGTGTATAACTAACTGCGCGGCTCGGGTCGAGTGCGGGAGCTCACAGCCGCGCACACAAGCGAGCTGCGGCGCGCGAGTTTAATGCCGGCCGGTTCTCTGCCTGTATTTTATTGCGAATAATACCGTGTCGAGGCGCGAGTGCAACATAGCATAGTGTCCCCCCAAACTTCGAACACGCGTTATAGTCAACCTCATGCATTAGTATAGTCGATTTCCATGTACAAAGTAGAAAAATGTACAAGTTACGTGTGTGTCGCGGAATCTGTCTTTCTCTCTCTGTCTCTCCTATGACCTCTTCGCGGAATTAAGCGTGATTAACGCAATTGCGTTTATTTCCACCGCGCGGGTTTTTTTCATTTCTTATTCACTCGCTTCATTATCATCGTCGACGACGATGTTTTCTATTGTAAAGCGTCGAGCTAAGCGATTTATAATTCAATTCCGACGAGCGACGAGCTTGAACGAGCGTGTAAGCTTTTTTTTTCCTCTCTTTCCGTTTACATGCACGGCTGCGAATTCTTATTATATACACAACATAAGACACACGAGAGAGCCGATTAAAAACGAGCGCCAGCGCGGTCGATCGGTGGATTTTGCAAATTTATGTCGGCGCGCGCGCGCATATCGTTATTTATGCTAATAATAACGATACACGAGACAACGATAATATATACTTGAACCGCAGCGAAGAGACGAGACGAGACGAGCGCGCTGGCCAATTTACCCGATACGCTGCTCGATCGCATGACATATATCCCCAATGAAATTCTATACATCATAACGCGCGCGGCGCTTGATTATGAATCCGAGTCGCTCGAGGATCGTCCGCGGAGTCGGATCTAACGCTCGTTTATTTTTTCTTCTTCTTTTTTTTCCTATATATATTTATTTCTCCCATGAGTCATTTCGCCGATTCCTCTAGCTCGCGGCGGCGGCGGCGCCGAGCTGCAGCGGAGTGACACATAACACCTGTCCGAGGACTGCGCGCGAATCTCGAGGATTATAATTGTGTGTATATGTATACGTTTCCGTTGCGCGCACGCGCCGCTGTTTTAAATATTACGTCTAATTTTTATTTCGAAATTTGCATCCCGCTGTGGTCGTCGTGTTTCGTTAGGCCAAAAATAATAATAAAAAAAGAAAAAAAGTAAAATGGGGGTATCGGAGCACGATACAAACGCGTGTTTCAAAAACGAAACAAAAAAGACGCGCGGGCGCGCGCGTGTATACGGGGCGCGAGGAGTCAGTCGCGGAAAATCAATACGCTTCCGAGCTCTTGGCCATGTGTACACGCGCACCACTACTACAACCGCCTCGCCGCCGCCGCTGCTGTTGCTTTCTTGCGGACTTTATATCACTGTATATCTCTACGCATATGCGCGCAAGCTCTCGCTCCTGCCTGCGTATTATATACCTTGTGGGCGTTGTAGAAACTGCTGCTGCTTATATAGTATATATAGGGGGTGTACGCGCCTTGTCATTGCGAGCTTATATGAGCCAGGCGCAGCAGCAGCAGTAGTACAAGTTAGAAGATATCGAGAGAGAGAGAGAGAGAGAGACCCTTTTTGACAAACGCACGGCAGTTAGTTATGCGTGCACCTTGGCAGGCTCTGCGCTGCACGCAGCAGCAGAAGCAGAAGCAGCAGACGAGTCGTCCTGCATTGGATCATCGAGCTTTTTTAGCCTCGACTGGCACTTGAAGCGTCGTAAACGCACGCGTAAGTACTCCAAACTTTTGACTCTGGTATATTATTTATCTATTTATCGACCTGAACGCGTGACGTATTATGTACGCGTGCGACAGATGTTTTCTATTCCACGCTAATATACTATATGTACGTACGTCTGTTTATATCGTAGCGGCAGTGTAATACTCGTACGCACCTCGGTCACAGAGAGTCAAGGTGCACCCACCTATAGAAATTAGTCGCCTGATTCGCCATGCAGTCGACGCAACCCGAGGCCAGTGGCGCGTATCCGAGTCGGGCGGCCGTCGCCGCGGCCATACGCGACAGTCTCGCCGACGAGGACGACATGAGCGACTTCGACGACGAGGTCTTCATACGCGACGGCAAGCAGGGCATCCTCAAGATCGGACCCTCGGCGGCCTCGTCCAGGGGCCGCGACTACGACGACGAGGACGGGGTGAAGAGGCCGCTCATGGCGCCCCGGCGCAAGCACAACAAGACGCGTTTCGCCGACCCCGCAGCGGGGTCTGCTGCGTCGTCGCAGGGAAGTGGCGGCGCGGGCATGTGTGAAAGTGGCGGAACGAGCTGTCACGCGTCGCCGCTGCCCTACAGGACGCTGCTGCTCTCCTACTGCTACGTGATCGGTGGCTTCCTGGTGCTGCTCTGCATCATAGGGCTGTGCGCGCTCGTAGTGGCCAAGTTCCCGGTGCCGCTGTTGGACATCGTGAGACGTTGGATAGCTCACGAGCCTAAACAGCAGCAGGAACAAACCGCGACGTCGGGTCCGACGTCGAGCTTGAGCGAGAAGAATCGTCTGCCCGCGTGCACGTCGCTGGCTACGAGCCTCGTCTGGACGAGGAGTCTGCCGAAGCTTACCGCCGAGGCGCCGTTGAGGAACAACGACGTTAATCAGGACGGAATCGACGATATAATTCTAGGCTTCGGTACCGGTAAGGCATTTTATTTTTTCAATGTTTACGTTTTACTCGTCGATGTTTACTTTGTCTTATTTTCTACACGTTCGACAGAGCTTGGCCTTCGGACTACTTTTTATTTTGTTGCATGAGCTTTTTCATAGGTGAATCTATATAACTTTCAATGTCACGCACTGCTCTAATTTCTCTTCTTACCCCCACTGAACTCTTCACACAAATAATCGTCGCAGGTCTCGACAACGGCAAAGACGAAGCGGCTCGCTACGCCTGCCAGCTGTACTTCGACCAACCGGGCCCGTGTCTCGGCGGCGTCCTCGCGATCGACGGCAAGACCGGCGCCACGATCTGGCAGCACTGGGCCGAGCACGCCATCTTCGGCCTCGATTGCGGCCTCGATCTCAACTACGACCGTATCAAGGACTGTCTCGCGGCGGGCCGGGGCGGTCTGCTGCGCGCCATCAACGGCCACGACGGCGCCAGCATCTGGGAGCTGCAGGAGTCCGCCCGCGATCCGGGCAACAACAACGTCATTCGACGCTCCGCGTCGGCCTACTACGACCAGTACGACGCCCGATACGTGGCGGATCTGGACGACGACGGCATCGGCGACGTCGTCGCGGCGCACACCTGGCGCGAGCTCCTAGTGCCCGTAGTAGCCGCGGGTGCGGAGGCGGCGGAACAGCAGCAGCAGCAGCCGGTGGAGGAGGTGGCGCGCAGCAGCGTGGTGCTGGTCTCGGGCAAGACCGGCCTGGTGATCAACGTGCTGGAGGTGCCGGGCGCCGAGCAGCTGTTCGTCGCGCCCCAAACGATCGTCCATCCGGACGGCGAGACGTACTTCGTGCTGGCGGCAAGCGGCGTCGACATGTCCGGCGGATTGTACGTCGTTCCGCACTCCAAACTGTTGATGGGACAATTCGTGAGTAGACAGCTGATTGTAAGATAAATATTCGATAATAACGATAATTGGTATGTGCAGAAATTGCAAGACTACGAGCTGTACCATGGACCCGGTCGAGGAGTGTCGCTGCCACCGCTGCTGATTGACATCAATTCGGACCAGACCGAGGACATAATCGTAGCCGTGTTCAATTCCACGATCGTGGCAATCGACGGACTCACCTTCAAGCAGCTCTGGAACTACACCGTGCCGAATTCCGAGGTCATCAGTCTACCCGTGCCGGGCTACTACAACGACGACGAGATACCCGACTTCATGGTCAAGCACCAGATCGGTCCGGGCTTTCCCGTGTACTACTACACGGAGGCTCAGGTGCTCGACGGCAGAACCGGAAAACCACTGCTCGAGGCGCCGATCGTCGACACGATGAGCGCCCAGATGTCGGGCCTGACACTCAGCGTCGAGGGCACGGGCAACGACTGGTTCCTGCACTGGTCGGCCGATTGTCGGGGTCGCGAGGCCGCCAAGGAGCCCTGGGCCCTGCCCAAGACCGACGACGTCGGAACGGAGCCGGCCTGGAGGCTCGACGGCGTCGATCTCTGCGGGCCGCGCTACAACTCGAGCCTGGCACGCTCGCTGCTGGCCTTCGGTCAGCACGTGGCGCCGCCCGGTCAGCCGATCTACAAGTCCGACGACTGGACCAAGCTCGAGTACAACAACACGGTCGATCCGAGGAAGGAGGCGGAGGATTACGTACGCGCTCACGGCTATCTGAAGACGCCGAGAGGCGGCGACGCGGAGGAGGGGACGCGCGATCGGAATCTGCCGGTAGAGTCGGTGGCGGGTTCCTACTATCCCAATGGAAACGAGAGAAGCGACGACAGCGTGGACGACGAGCGAGAGCAGCAGAAATTCTACGAGAAAGCCCTTAACGGATGGTCCGAGTACGGCTGGAGAAACAATCGCAAGCAGCAGCAGCAGCAACAGCCGAGCGAGGACAATTACGACGACACGTCGTACGACGACGAGGAGGAGAAGCTGATCGCCTCGAGGCAGCTGAACGAGATCAGGCTGCAGAGGAGCGAGAAGAGCGACAGGAGCGGCAGATACGTGAACAACGACACGAACGACGTGCAGAACCAGCTGGACCCGAGCATGGACTACACGAACGGCCAGAGCAAGCTCAACAATTACTACTCGACGCTGAATTTTAACCGATCGAGCAACGCCGACGACAGTCTGGACTACATGAATCTGCCGGACATCGATTTCGTGGACAACATCAAGGAGGCCGAGGCGCTGAGCGCGAGGAAGAAGAAGCGGAGAAGACGCAACGCCGCGGCCGTGAGAAAACGTAGAGCCGCCGCGGCGGAGAGTGCCAGCGTGTACGGTGTGCAGCGACAGCCACCCACGGGCATCATCCTGCCCAGTCTCAACCCCATAACCGGTCGCAATCCCGTCGACTTGGTTTACTCGACCTACTGGCTGCCGAGCGCGAGCTCGAGTCCGGCCTTCGTGCTGCTACGGCGCGATCTCGACTGCATCGAGAAGAGGAGGCGCGAGAGCAAGCTGAGCGACGAGGAGGAGCGGCGTATCGTCGCCGAGTGTCTCAGGAGTCGCGGGGTCGAGGCTCCACGTCGGGACCTGTCGTCGTCGACGTCGTCGACGTCGAAGATTCCTCTGGGCCAGATGACGCTGTACAGGCTGCAGCTGAGCTGCGTCTGCCCGGAGGACATGCTGCCCGGACAGACGTGCCGGGATATCAGTCAGAGGCAGAGCTGGCCCCAGTACCTGGGACGGGCAGGGGCGGGATACTTCGACTCGAGAAAGCCGAACAAGTAGACCGATGAGGCAAGATTTTTACGGAACTTTTTCAGTCTTCGTGGAATATAAAAAATATATACTTATGTAGCACTGATACTTAAGGATAGAAAATTGAATAGATGTCGATCCAAAGATGTGAGAAATCGTTTTGTACATAATTACTTATGAATCCTGCTGTAACTTTTACTTGATAGAAATGACTTATAATATTACATGATGATCGAATGACTGCATTTTGTCGATTATCGAGTGAATGTTCTTATATTATATAAATTTAAGCTTTTGTGTTGACTGTACAGATTACGTTATATTGATGCATGTGAACGAAAGAAAATAAAAAGGTAATATCGTTGCCTATTATAATTGCTCCTAAGTATTTTAGAAAATACTAATATTATAAAACATCGTTGTTCAATGTTATGTAAAATAATATAAACAATTTTTATGTTCTCTCTCAATATCGTCGAACAGTACTGAATCCTCTACGTGCGCCAGTGGCAACGAACAAATAATAATAATAATAATAAACAATTCGTACAAAACAACAATAAAATCATCATAAACAACGGTAAACGTACCTCGAAACACTTGTGTTTTTCTTCCCCTCTCGCTCGCCAATCTCATCCCGATCTTATACCAAGAAGGCCATCGATCCTTCGCGCGCACCATGCACCGTAGTACAACTACTCGAGAAGCTGTTTGATCAATGCGACGATGCGTTACAGGTTGCGTGCGCGGTGTGCAGCGCAGTGAAGGCACGCATACCGATGTGGTATACAGGTATATACAGCGCCGGGGGATGTAAGTCTTATCGTAGGCATTGTCTATAACCCTCGCGATGCAGTCGACAGCAACGCGCCGCACGCAGCGAAGCGTCGTCGTAGTCGTCGCGCGCGCGCGGGTCTTTGGATTTTTGACAACAACAACAACGATAACAACAAATAAGTGATAAAGATGCGAGAAATTTAAAAAAAAACATGAAGTGCCCGAAGGTGACGAAGGAGGAGGAGGTGGAGTCGGTCAAAGGCGCTCCCATTACGCTGACTCGATGCCAGCAATCGTTCGGCACGATTTCTCGGCTCTCGAGTCATCTGGAGGGCGACTGCGTCCTTCTGCCGACGAAACCGAAACAACCGGTGCCGACGTCTCGACGCGCGCCGCGACGCAGTCGAGCCGTACAGACCGAGCGGCGCGAGATCGAGTGCCAGACCGATCCCTGGGAGCCGCCGTTCAAGAATCTGCCAAAGTGCAAACCCGGTCAGTACCATACGAACCGAAATTCTTTCTCCTCTTCGTTGTACATATTTTATTATAATACACATTTTGGAACAGGCGACGAGCCGGAATTACTGAGGCTGGGATGGCTGACCTGGGGCAAGGGACTGCCCGCGGGCGAGCGCGAGGCCCGCCTCATCATTCGGGCGCGCAAGCGACGCGCCTGGGAGCGCATGCTACCGCCACCGGACTCGGCCTGCAACATTCGCAAGCGCGAGGCCATAATCCGGGCCCTCGAGGCCGACGAGCTGGCCTATCGCGACGCCGATCTGCAGGAGAGGTACGACGGCCTGCTGAGGGAGGCGATCCGGCGCTTGCGCTGCTGGGAGGCCAAGAAGGCGGGCAAGGCCAGGGCCAGGCTGGATCTGCTCGAGGCCAAGCTGCAGGAGCGCGGCCAGCGCTGCATGGACAAGCTGAGGACTCGGGCGAGCCGAGAGCTCCGGAAGCTGCGCGAAAATCATCGTCGAGGCTCGATCGGGACCTGTAGAAAGAGCTGCGGAGTCGCGGGTGGAGGAGGAGGACCGTTGCCAGCGAGGAGATCGCGACACAGACCGTGCACGGCCAAGTTAGCTCTGCCGCCGACGAGGATGATGCAGCCCGACGGACGCGGAGACGCCGTCCTCACCACGACCAAGATCCCCCGTTGGCTGCTGGACATGGTGCAGGGCAAGTCGCCCGCGCGACACGGTGGATCCGCCGCCGCTGCCGCGGCAGCCGAGGCCATCAAGCAGGGACTCTGCTCGCGCTGGATGAAGAGGCTGCGCAGCGTCTGCGGCAAGGAGCAGCTCGAGGACGCCACGTCCGGAGCGCCGGAGCACGATCTGCTGCGGCCGGCCGTGTGCAGCGGCGGAGGCGACGGACCCTGCGGCCTTCAGGCCAGCTCGGCCGAGTCCCTCGACGAGCTCGAGCGCGCCAAGCGCCTGCTACGCGCCCTCGAGCAGCGGCCTCCGGTCGACGGCGATCTCGAGACGCCCTCGGACGGTGGGGACACGGGCGAGGGCGAGGAGGACTGGGACGCGGACTTCGACGAGCGCCGGCTCCGCTCGGACGAGGAGTCCGAGGACGAGAACGCCCCGACGACGATACGCAGCGAGAGATCGCTGATAGCCTCGGAAGTGATGGCCGCGGTGGAGGCACGCTGCATCGCCGACAAGCTGCAGGAACTGAATCGCGAGCTCGCGGAGCGCGAGGCCGGCCTGAGAGAGCACGAGGAGGCGGTGCAGGAGGAGCGCCGTCGAGCCGAGGAGCGACTGGTCGCCGGCATCTGCGAGATCGTCGAGTGCGAGCGTCGCAAGGCCGAGCGCGAGAGGAAGCTGCAGGAGATGAGAGACGCTTACAGGCCACCTTGCCCGGAGCCAGAGCCCAAGGAAGACCCCAACGCGGAGGATGCCTTATTCCTCGAAGGGTGAGAAAATATTGAGTTTGGTTGTAAGGAGGAGGAGATATTAACTTGTGACGTTGTAGGGATGCCGATGAGGAACTGGAGGACACCGTGGCGAGGCTCGTCTATCGGCTGGTCATACCGAAAGCCGACAGGATAATCGATCAGGAGGCTGACCGAAAGCTCAGGCTCACCGCGGCTTACGGAGCCGTGCACGATCTCATTTACGGATTGACGCATCCACCCGACTGCGACAATCTCAGCTCGTCGTCCAACTTCGATCCAGTTAGTATATTTCGAGAAAAAAAAGATCGAGAGCTTTTTTACCGTAAGAACAAAAAAAATACGTTTCAGGACGATGATAAATCGACGAGCGAGAATAAATGGACCCAGTGCGAGTCGACGGACGACGAGAACAACATCGAGCGCCTCGGGGACGCCATTCAGCTGATTCTCGACAGCGTGCCGTCCGACAATGGTAAGTGCATAGATAGACGATTTTTTTTCAACAAAATTGATTAATTCGTGCCGCTATGCGTGTCAATGTTTTATTGCAGATAGCTCGAAAGACGCGATACACGAAGTCTTGATGGAGCTGCTCGAGGAAGCTCAGCAGGAGGCACGTACGGACGAGAGGACTGGTGCGGAATGAATACAACAATGAAGAAGAAGAGACAATGTTTTTTTTTTATCGTATCGAAATTTATTTATTTTATATATGAAAAATGACGAAAGAAAAGAAAAAGTAGTAGAAGTAGTGGTAGTAGTAGTTGTAGCGAGTAGTAGTCTTAGAAAGCCGAAATTGGCGGTGTGAATCACATTACAATGATATAAATATACGACGATACTATATCTACATCCTAAACAACAAGATACATTTTCAATGATTCGTTAGCTATTTTATGACTTCATTTTTATATTATATATATACTTGATTCATGAAAAATGATACTTGCTTTGTTAAATTTTTTTGTTTTTAAACTAAATTGTTTCCTATTGAATATTTAGTCGATGATTTTTATACAATACAATTCAATGTTGGGGCTAGAGATCCAAATTTTACAATTTGATTGCGTAAAATTTTTTTCTTTTTCAAATTTCACATAACATTTTATTTATTTCCAAGTTTGACTTAAAAATGTTATTCATTTTTATAAATACTTGAATTATTTTTCATTTTTCTGGGGCAAAATCAGTCACTTTTTATTATGCCTCTGCCTAAAAACATTATCTTAAGCTGTACAGTTAATAATTTCACGTTAAACATATAATTGCTCGTATCTAAATTAATTATATCAACCATCAAAAGAATTAATTATTAAAAAACGATTTATAAACATTTTGTGACAATTTCTATGGTTTTGGATCGGACAAAATATGCGTGATGAAGTTCAAGAATTTGACGTCTTGATCGTCGTTCGAAACCTTTCTTTCGACTATTAATTTACGCTTTTTAGCTCGTAGGTCTTTCGGTAAAATAATACTAGAATCGCTCGTTTCTGCTGGCTCTGAAAACTTTCTTTTGCAACTCTCCCGTGAATCGGACATTTGGACTATTTCTTTCGAGCAATTCATCTCTGCTCTCAGATCACTGAATTTTTGCTCCCATTCTTGCAAATGTTTTCTCATATCATTGAGTTGAGCTTCTTGTTCTTGAATTTTTTTGGCATGCTCTTTCAACTTCACATGTTGTACTCGCATATGAAAGGATTGTCTGTTGAGCCTCAATCTCAATTTGCCAATTTGACCTTTGACACAAAGTACTGTATTTCTATTTTTTTTTGTTCTATTATAGATTTTTGTCAAACTTTGGTTTAGTATGTCTCTACTTGACGCATGTGCTAAAGGTAATAATTTTGAACATCTTGGACTGTGATTTGATACTATTTCTTCATAATTGATGGGACTTCCAGTGATACCAGAACGAATACTGGGTCTGAGATCCGGTAGAATTTTTTCATCAAAATGTTCCATTGCCATGCTACTAATATCTCGCAGTTCTTGAAGAATTTCAGGAGTTCTTGGAGGTACTTTGGTAAATTCAATCATGAATAATATTTTGAATATTTCATCGATGACCTAGACATTATAAGTTTTTTAAAAACAGTTATAGACGATTAATAATTTGACAAGCTATTGTAAATTGTTGATTGCTTACCTTTCCAGGTATAAAACAGCATAGATTCAAATCTATGTATTTAGAAAAGGTCATGGAGAGCATAGATATACGAGTTTCTATTGCTGTTAAAATATCACTATGTCTTGCCAGAGGATGACTTCTTCTTTCAGACTCTCTACGGGGCAACTGACTTTTTATTGCTTTGAGACGATGAGCATGGTATTTTTCCATTGTATTGAAACCTCGGTTCAAAAGTTTCTTACATAAATTATTGAACGTTTTACACACCTGAAAAATGCAATTTTTCATCTCAGTAATCAATTCATTATACGCATGTGTGCAGTACTCGAAAAAATACACGAGGAAGCTAACTTTTGCACAATTTGTGCAATGGAAGTCTCTTTTACAGAAACGTATGGGCGTAACAAAATATGACAAGCATGAGGCAGACTTACGATTCTGTTTTTGGCGATCTCATCGTAGCTGAGTTTCGAGAGTATGCACTCCAAAACGATGTCGGGCAGCTCCAAAAGATGGATATTGTACTTTTCCGTCGAAGTCATACTTTTTTCATTTATAAATGAGCTTGAAAAAAACAACGAGCCAAACCAAAACAATGCCTCCGCTTTATGTGCGCGTTAACAGCAGCAACAGCAGCGAGCAGCCGAAGCTATGCTATCGGAGTGCGCAGTGCAGATTGCACACACAAAACAGCTGCAACAATTATTGCTTTACACGGATGACGGACGGGATATTGACGCAACAAATCCTTAAAAAATCACCGATCACTACTGCGTCGAATAAGACAATGAATGAGCAGTCCCCGCACACTGGTAGCAGGCGTACGTAAAATATAGCAAGAAAAACAAGGACACGCACCGTCGTATACACTATGTTGTGTACGCGAAAGAGACTCGTTCTAGAATGTTTGTATATATAGCTTAGCTATATGTATATATGCACACACGCGTTTGATACGTAAGGGAGCGCGATGCGCGCGCGTCAACGTGCACGCGTGCGAGAGAGACGGACGCGGCGGACGAGACGACTCGTGAATGGATGGGTTCGACGAAATCCGCAAAAAGACTCGGTGCGCGAGAAAAATTAGAGCCAACTCTGCGCAACGAGGAACGTTAATTGCGATGTTTTGCGCCGTAATACACACAAACACGTAGCAGCGATAAAGAACGTTCGAGTAGGGTACAGTCGCGGGTGTTCGATGCGATTTCAAATATAGAATATCGTCTATGCGTGCGTGCGCAACGTACAAAACTACATACACCGAATGCGCTTTAACAGCTTTCTAAGAACGCATGAGGTGCATATAGGTATTACAGGGTCAAAAAACGCAGTTTGGTCTGTCCCGTCGAGCGAGCTCCGATTTTGATCGTTCGGGATTGTTCGGGTCGATTCGCCGCTGCCAACTTGGCGGAAAAATTCGCACTCGAGTTTCGCGTACCTCGTCGCGATGTTGGCACCGCGATTTCGTGCAGCTGTGTTATGTGTGTGTACTACACATTTGTCATTGTTAAAAATCGCGCACCCGTCGCACAAATGTAAACATTCGTTTTATAAGTGGAGTCAAATATGCGCCAACGAAATATACGGAGATCGGTATCGTACGTAATAACGAATCGATACGATAAGATGAAGATCATGCATAATTTTGTGCCGTAATTGACATGATATTAATCAAGTAACTTCTAATCGTCAAATAATCATTTATCTAATTATAGTCGTGCCTCTTGAAAAATCGCCATAATTAGGTGCATCAAAGCCTTTGCATACGTTATCGAAGAAATAAGCATCGTTTGAAAATCGCGGGACGCAAAAAAATAAATAAGATATCTAATCGAAACTTGGCGCGCCACGCTGGATAATCGCTTAATCCTGCCGTACTATCACCACGAGCGCAAGCATCGTATACACGGGATCATCACAACTTGTTGTGTATGTAAATATAACGACACCGGCACGAGTCGCGGATATAAACTTTAACACTGCTGCGCGTAGTACTATCTATAAACGGTTATAAAAACCTTTACCTAGACCAAAATAGAATAATTAGAGATTCTATATATGTACAGTGTCGCGTATTTTCCCGTATTCGCATTATAGGACTGCGACAGACAGACAGTATAGTAGTAATTACGCGTAGTGTGTGTGTGTGTGTATTCCCGTGGAGTGACGTTTTATTATAAATGTATACTTACATATGCGTTGAACGTGGCGAGTGTCGAAAGCCAAATGCGATAGTCTAATTGTAAACAACAACGCGATTCGGAGAGAGAGAGAGAGGGAGAGAGAAAAGAAGAAGAGAGTCGTGCAGCAGATCAGTGGGCAGGAGAGAAGAGAAAGAGAAACGCGCAGAAAAAAAAACAGAAAACGTTAAAAAAAAAAAAAAAAAGAAGTAGAAATTGACACGAACCGGCTCCCCCTCGTCGTCGTCGTCGTAGTCTCGCGCGCGCGTATACACATACTCACGCAAAAGAAAGAGAGAAACTTGGATATATCGTCGTTGCCATCTGTTGAGCTTGACACCGATACCTTATACTCGCGCTGTTTTTATTTTTATTTTTTTTTTATCGTGCCCCATTTTCCGACCCATCGACTCCGAATCAAAGCGCGATGGAAGGAAGAACGTTCTACATCTGTCTGCTCCTGATTAGCATCATAGTCGGCGCCTCGATCAACGCCGCCTGGGCCAATCCTTGGGGCGAGGACGATACCTGCTACTCGTTCGCCGGCGGCACCGTCTATCCGAGCGGCGCCAAGCACGAGGGTCACCAGCTGCACACGACAAAGGCCGTTAGTGAGTATATAGAGAAAAAAACAAAGAAATTTGCCAAATTATTTTTGCCGAGTCGAGCTTTCGTTATCCTTGTCCGCAAATACGTACCTACATTTCCTTCTTCATTTGTTTACAAAGAGGGCAAAACATCGATGGATTTTTTTACGTTAAGTAAACCGCGATGGTACGATAGATTCAAACGATGTTTTGCAAACTCGATGTTTGAAAAATTTTCCGTTTTCTTTCAAAACAAAAAAAAACAATCTACCTTCCCAAGTTCCTTCTCTCGAAATCCACGTATTTCTTTCAAGCTCTTTACGAATTACTTCTGAAGACTGACAACAAATTACAGTTGGCAAGAAGGCCCCTGATTGGGAGGGAACTGCAGTTGTGAACGGCGAATTCAAGGAACTCAAGCTCTCGCAGTACAAGGGAAAATATCTAGTCTTCTTCTTCTACCCACTCGATTTGTGAGATATATTTAATTATTAATTTTGATAACGAAAAAAAAAAAGTTTCGAATTTTCCATTCACATCCATATGATCTATAATTTTCAGCACATTCGTCTGCCCGACCGAGATACTCGCCTTCTCCGAGCGCGTCGAGGAGTTCCGCAAGCTCGGCGTCGAGCTGGTCGCCGCCTCGGTCGACTCGCACTTCACCCATCTGGCCTGGACGAAAACGCCGAGGCGCGAGGGTGGCCTCGAGAGCATCAAGATACCACTGCTGTCCGACCTGACGCACAAAATTTCCAAGGATTACGGCGTGTACCTTAATGATTTGGGCCACACTCTGCGGTAAATATAAATACATTGCAATATAAACGATCTCGGTGTCTTATTCAGCAAGATGTACTTACCCTACCCGTTGCTTCGTTACGTTAGTAAGAAAAGAAAAAATAACTATCCATTATGCTTTAGAGCACTCTTCATAATCGACGACAAGGGAATTCTTCGCCAAATCACGATGAATGACCTGCCGGTTGGAAGATCCGTCGACGAGACTCTGAGGCTCGTGCAAGCCTTCAAGTACACCGACGACCACGGCGAAGTGTGCCCAGCTGGCTGGAAACCGGGCCAAGACACCGTAAGATTATGATTTTATCTCACGTTATCGTTTCACGCCGATTATAATCTTATTGTTTCGTTGATTACAGATAATTCCAAATCCAGAAGGTAAAATGAAGTACTTTGCAAAGAATGAAGTGTAATTTTGTAAACTATTTTTTATAGAGATTTTGAAAATAAAGACTAATTTTTATACAAATTTCATTCAATAAGATAAGATTATTGGACATAGGAACAGTCAAAATTATTAAGAAAAAAATATTAATTTAGTTCTCTTGCATAAAAAATTTATTGTGCAGTCCATTGTGACTTCCCTAATACTTTAACAAAATATAGATTACAAACTTTTATTGTACACAATACATCATCACTCATAACTATACAGACATTGAACATTCTTAAAATCCAATTGATTTTCTGGATTTTTAAACATTTTAAATCTAAATTTTGAATTTTTTCAAAACAACATTACTGTTTGAAATGACAAAGAAACCTATTTAACAGTCAAACATCATTCAAGATTTTTTTCTCTGTGTGCCTTTGCTCTTGCTTTTATTTTTTGTTTTGGACTTGATAATGTTATTAGTTCAACTCGTCTTGGTGTTCTAACAGTAAGTGGCAACGGTGGTTTATCAGATTTGGCAGGTGAATCTTTTTGATCATCCTTTTTGTTGATACAAGGAGCTTCTTCAGTTTCGTTTTTAGAAATTTCTTTTTTGTCATTCTCACATAGAACTTTTTTTTCTGTTTCTGCAACTGTATCTTCCAGCACTAACTGAAAATCGTCGTCATTGTCATTATTTTTGGGATTTTCTTTATCATTATCGGTATCCATTGGTTCGTCCTTGTCTGAAATTTGATCAGTTTTTGTTTCGTCTTTTAATTGATTTTTATTGGATGGTATTTTGTTTTGTAAAAGATCTGTATCAACTGCATTAATATCAAGCTCTGCTAGAGCAGGCACAGTTGATTTGTTTTTATTATCATCTTTATCATCACTTTTAACTGGAACAGGTTTGACAGGGGAAGGCATTTCATATACTTCACCAAGTTCACCAGCTTGAAAATGTACTATTGAACAATATCCATCAGATGAAGAAGCAACTAAAACTCTTCCATCACTTGACCTAAGAATGGATCATTGTATGAGTAAATTATGTAAGTAAAAATTAAAAGAATCAATTCAAAGTGATATATTACCAAGCCAAATCTGTTAATCTTGTGTAGTGAATGTTAGAAATGATTGCAATAGGTGCATCTTGCTGAGTATCATAAATAATTACTGAGTTGTCTGTTGCAACTGCAAACACCATTCTGTATGGTAATTTCATATATGATTCTGGACCATTTTCTCTTAGTTTAAAAAATGTAGGACAGCACTTCACAGCATTTGAAACTTCATCATGCGTTGGAAGAATAGCTAAAGGTCTGCAATAAAATGTGTAAATATATTATGATTTGATAATAACATGTAAGAATAATAGTAAAATGATACGAAATGAACATACTCTTTAATATCGTGACTTGAAAAAATAACAACAGAATTTGTAGTTTTTTCAGAAGGTTCCTGTGGTTCTATTATCCCAGATGGTGCTATTATCAGATTTCCATCAGGAGAATAAGTTAATCTTCTAAAAAATGATTTAAATGTATCATCATAGAATAAGCGTACAATTTTTCCTTCAAGTGGATTTCCAGGTGGTGTAGGGATCTTAGACTTACTAACACGGCTGATAGTTTTTTTAGATGCTACACTAATGAGACGTAATAGCCTGAAAAAAAATTAGGAAAAAAATTAAAACATTTAAAATATATATAATCAATTCAGTTTCTAATAGATCAAAAACAAACATACCTGTCTGAACTCAATGTTGCAACACTTTTATTTAAAGGATCCCATGCAACTCCTTGTGGGAAGCCTTTATGATAATCAGATACCATACAAATTTTTTTACCCTTTTCAATATTCCAAAAAATAACAGAATTGTCTAGAGACACAGAGGCCATTGTAGCTGAATCTGGTGACCAGCACAAATCATAAATATCCTCTATGTGTCCACGAAAAACTTTCCAAGAATTCCATTGCTCGCTGTGATCGCCATCTTCTTGAGGTAGAATAGGATTATCTGAACCTTCTCTCTGCTTCCAAAGAATAATGACAGACTCTAAAGAAAGAATGCATGAGTGACAACGTGCAAGTATTATCAATATATCTTGCAAGATTATAATCAAATACCATCATCTCCAGAAGCTAAGATTTCACCGGAGGGAGAAAACCGAACAACATTTACAGTCTTCTGATGTCTTTCCAAATCTGCAACACAGACGACTGATGCTTCACCCTCTGCACCTACTGTGAGATGCCAAACCTGTGGTAAACATCGTAAGCAAATTAATTGCAGTTTATTTAATTAAATAGGTAATTTTTTTTTATCTGTAATCGTTACTCACAAGAACGTGGGAGTCACAGCCACCACTGGCCAGCCTCCAGAATTGTTTCTCATTTTTTTCGTGCACGCCGTTCTGGAAATCAACACTGAGCACTGGTACACGATTGTGCCAAGAAATTTCGGGTATGGTGCACTTCATGTTTACACTCGACTGTCAACGCGTTCAATTTCTGTATGTATTTCACGCAGTTCTAACGATACAACGAGATCTTTTATTTTTTATTTTTATTTATTCGTCGTCGGAATGAAAAATAAACATGTCATGCGGTCGTGTAATGATAACCCTACTGACAGTACTGGAGTTGAAGGTGGGATTTTCGCGCGCTAACTTGGCACAAAATAATCAGAGCTGCACACCGATTGGCGGCCCATAATAATAATTTAAAAACGATTTAAGATTGAACCAAGCATTTTTTTAAAATCATTTTACATTATCTTTCAGGTACGTATTAGCTTGATATTATAAGTGTATGTAAATATTTTGATTGTTTAAAAATTAATAGTAAATAATTTAGTTGACATGCGGTGTTATAAAAATGAAAAATTGGTAAATTTCGTAAAATTATATGATATGGACGTAAGTCATGAGAATGATCTAAGCTTTAATTATTGCAAATAATTCATGTGTGTGCTAGTTTTTTCATTTATAACAAAATAATTGAACATGTCATTTAAAATTTTGATTTTTGTTCGAGGTCTGAGTGTTCTTCGGTATCAAAGCTCTCCAGCAGATGTCGCTTCACCCAATAATCGCGAAATTTTACATTATTAATGATGATTCGCGCGACATATTCAATTTTATTTGTGGATGTGGTTAAGTTGCAACTGAGTATAATTTACTGTTCTTCCATTGCAATACAATTTAAGTGATTACATTTTTTTTAAAGTAACTGTACCTACCATTTTTAAAATTATACCAGAGGAAATGACTTACATCAGCTTGGATCGAGCAAAGATTCAATGTATTTATTAATGATTCAATGTGTCAATGAAGATTTAAGGCAATGTTTTTCATTCATTGTTTAAAAAAAACAGTAACTACTGATCAAGGAAAATATGTAAGTAAAAACAAAAAAAAGTAGTTAAAATATTGAATACGTTGACTTAGACGCACTTATCAAGATAGGGGCTATAAAACTCAATTTACTTTATTCTGTTCTATCAGATAATATGTGATAAAATTTCTACAATTAATGCAAAATAAGTTGAGGGTAAGTTTTGATATCATGTTTCGTTACTATTTTTAGCATCTCAGAAGATGAAAATCATTCATTTAATTTTTAAAAAAATTAATGTTTTTGTCTTAATCTAAGATTGAAAGTTGCATAAACTTCAAGTAAATTGCATATTTTTATATGTATAAAAAATTGTTAACACAGATGTAAGTTTTATGGAAGTTTATTCTCTGAACAAGTAACATAAAACATGATGCGGTTGAAACAATTTACAACTTCAACTTGGTTCTCCTCCAGTGACGCCTCTTGGCGTTGTACCTGTAAAATAAATAAACACATATTCATTAATAAAAACAAATTTCAGTGCAGCATGATAGTATAGTCAATATATATTTAATGCGAGCTGACTGTAGCCCACGTAACCTCAACACGACACATTTGGCAACTTATTGTCCGAGAAGTATCCACAAATTTTAAATTGAATTAAAACCCCAAAGACAAAACGTCCTTATCGTAAGATGTAAATAATTTATCGGAATGAAACCCACCTAATGGTATTGCCAGTCTTCATTCTGGTCCACTGCGGTATGGGCCTGTTTTGTTTAATTTTCTTGGCCAGTTTTCTCTTGATGATCAATGTTTTGTGGGCTCCCTGGAAATTGAATAAAATCCATTAGTCAATCACGTAATTATTATGATCATGTTTTCACTAATTATTCGTTAATTGTTGCTATTTTTTGAATTGTAAGTATAATAAACTTATACACACCATCTTGGAACCTCGAGGTGTACACCTAAAAAGAGGAAAAAGGTTGCTTTTTCGTAATAGACTTTCACGTCGCACGCAGCACCACTCTCGTGCCGGCTGCACTGTTATAAGTACAGTCTACAACTGTAATGAGACGAGCACGCGGTTGAGATTCGAAACGCAAGCCGCGCAAATTAAATAATTCGCAATTTGTCAATTTCTAGTAAAATAGATTATTCTTAAATCCCTTGAAGAAATTGGACAATGTAATGGATTCATTAGTTGTACATCGTGAATTAATCATCTTTGATGGATGAAGAGAGTCGCGCATTTTTTCGCGTAAATAAGATGAGTTATACATCCCTTGTCGGTCTGTAAGTATTTATTTGAGTATGATATAAAAAAACGTGCTAAATTGTTCGATCAATAAATTTAAAATTCCGTCTGGTTTGCGACGCACTAAATTTTTGCAATTTAATCAGTGTGACAAGTGCAATATCTCCTAATACTACTCCTAAAATCTCCTATAACATCTCCCAATGGATATTACTTATTAATATTTATCAAATAATATTGTTTACATTGTTTGAGGAGCAAACATAAATGAGGTTAAAAATAAAATATGAGTTCACCAATCACTATCAATGTGTATGTGTGAAATTTAAGTTACCGATTTCTAAAAGTTTTGACGCTTTTCAGTTAGATTCATATATGGTAGATAGCCTGCAGCATAAATGCGGCTTTTTCCTCCATATACATGATACATTTTTCGAATGCCTAATTTGAAATTATTCACTGAAATATGTGTCATTGTAACTCCCCGATCTAAATTCGATGATAAATTTGAGCAAACTATAAGTGACAACAATAGCTTGAGATTTGGGGCATTGCGTCAAATTGGTTTTTACGTGTCCCGATGAATCAGAGGAAAAACACATCACTCGTCGGTATATAAAGTATGAGAATCGTGTTTGAACCAGTCAGTCATTGTCAATCGTTGCTCTGGAGTGGATGTATTATAAAAGTGAGTGCATACATCTGACGACAGGAGAAGAGCAAAATCGGTTTGAAATAAAGTGCGCTGAAATAAATCGGCATAATTTGATATAAAAAATAGGGTGACGTCAAGGCAATAAAACTACTGTAAGGATTACAGTATACTTTATTAATGACCGACAGCAAAAAAAGCAGAAGACAAGAAGATGCTCCACCAAAAATTAAAAAAAGAAAAGCGAGATTTGTCGAAAAGTTCATCGAACAGGATGATTGGTCGGACGAAGATCTGGAGGCATTCATCGTGAATGAATTTGACTTTAACGTCGATGATGTTAACTGGATTTTTAAAACAACCTTGGAATGCAAATCTTGTCCATATTATATCGTCCAAGTACTCATGGAAAATGGCACCGAATTGCAAGTACTCAATGACTCGGGTCAAACGGCAATTCATATCGCGGCAAAAAATCGAAAATGGTCAGTGTTAGACCTACTATTCGATTATTCTGGTAATGAGAATCTCAGTGACAATGAAGGATTCACTTATTTACACGCAGCTTGTATGGCTGACAATGTTGAGGTGGTACAGAAATTCATTGATCAAGGCGTAAATATCAATCTCACATTTTATAAAAATGACCATATCGAATCTCCTCTGTCGTTGTGCATCAAACACAAGTCATGTGAATTATTAGAACTTTTATTGGACAATGGCGCTGATCTCAATTTATTAGATGACTGGGTTGAAGACCCACTAATGTGTTTCAAACGTATCAGAGAACGTTCAAACGAATCATGCTTGTGGAAAATTATTGCCAAACATCATTTCAAGGAACTCTTCAAAAATAAAAAAGATTCAGGGATACTCGAAAATCGCAGCGACGTCGAGGGGTTTACATATTTACACGCAGCCTGTATGACTGGAAATTTCAAGATGGTAAAGAAATTCATAGATCAAAAAGACGATCTTGATATTATTTGGCATTTATCTGATGGTACAAGTGAAACACCATTGACTCTAGCTACTGAATTTAAACGAATAAAAATAGTAGAATTGCTTTTAAAAAGTGGTGCAAATCCTCATGTGAAACCATTGAGGAAAAACCCTTTACACGTTTTTTTCAAGTTTGTTGAATATAGCCCTGTAGAACAGAATCTGCTCGAACTGCTCATTCATTACAACTGCGATGTGAATGAAAAAGACCATGATGGTCGTAGTCCGTTGTTCTTTTGGTTTGCACCGCAAAAATCATCTGAATACTATCGCCCTGTATATAAAGATGTCGAACTAGTTACAAAACTTTTGAAATATGGATGCGATCCAAACACCAAAGATAATAATGGCGATTCACCTCTACAATTAGCTGTGATGAACAGCAACGTCGATATGGTTGAAGTACTTTTGGAACATGGGGCTGACGTGAAAAGTGTTGATCTTTCGAGGCTAAATTGCGAACATGATTGGAACTACGACGATAAAGTGATAAAATTTTTTGTTATTCTACATTTTTTGGATAGGAAAGGATATCAAATGAATGAATCAAGTTGTTTGACCGCGTTGAAATATTTGGCAGTGCTAATTAGATATGACTCCGAAATTTGCTCCACTGCAAATTTGAAGAATACAATAACTTTTGGTAAGGTTTTATTAAATCTAACTAAAATGAAATTTGTATAACTAATGCAGTACATATTATTACAGGTTCTTTAATACAAAATTAGCTATTATTAAATGATGTAAAAAATAGTAGTGATGATCGATTTAAGAACGATGACATGAAATATGATATTGCCGACCTACTTTACATATGTCTTCAAACTATTGAAACAGGGAATATGTTCATGACAGAAGAAATGAAGAATTGTCTGCTACAATTACAACAATTTTACATAATTGATGAGATTTATATTGATGATTATATTGATAGTATACCGCAAGAAATTGAATACATAAAAAATCTGGTGATAAAAGATGGTGTGTCTCTACTTGATGTTTGTGCATCTAGCCCTAAAAAAGCATACGGACTGCTGAATGATTTTAAATTCTGGACGAAAATTAATTCAAAAGACTTCAAAGATAACTGCTCTATTATAAATGAGATCATTACAGGATACATAGAGAAATGCTTTATGAAAAAAATTTTTATGGATATTGGACTCGAATATATAATACTACTGACGCAGGGTAGACTTCCTCTGTCGTGCTGTGAAAAATTGATTCAATACTTGAACAATGAAGATATATTGTTGGTGTGTGAAGCATTGATAAATGAAATTTAAAAATGAGAGTCATTGCGATTAAAATACCTTACAGTATTATTTTTTATATATTTTTTATATGTATCGAATTTTTCTAGTGATAAAAATATGAAATAATTGAGTAATTATATAATATATATGATACATATTAATCTAGTCATTGATATTTATAATATACATACTTTTTTTAAGAAAAAATATTGTCTGTTTTCATCTTTTCTTTTTCATCCCATGTACCTATACTCATATTCAATCTCAAAAGAGCAGTTTATATATGATATAACATATATATTTGATTATAGTGGTTTCGTAATTTTTTTATTGATATACTTTTCGATCATCAAATCAGCTACATTTTTGGTATTTTTATAATATGTTGTAATAAAAATTTGACTTGAAAAAATTTCATCTATAATTTAAATTTACGTGCCTTATTTATTTCACCTATGCACACTGAGAGAAGTATATCTTCTGTAATCTTCTGTAACTACTATACTATGCATTAGTAAAATAGCAAAATCGAACCTATATATGAGCGGCGTAAAATTGGTATGGGTTTTTCGACGTCAATATGGTTTTTACGTACCGGATGACTCAGAGAAAAAAACGCATCACTCGGCGGTATATAAAACATGAGAATCGTGTGCAAACCAGTCAGTCGTTGTTAATCGTCGCTCCGGATCGTGTATATTCTAAAGGCGTATAAGCGCAGGTGACGCAGTGAATCGTGGCTAGTGAATTAGCGACGATATATATCGACATTATAAATCGATAAGATAAATCGTTTCTGTTTCATTGACAGTGAGGCTACTTTAAAGTTTGCATCAATGAATGTGAGTAAAAGCAATATGCAGAAGAGTGCCGTGAAAAAAAGTATTAAAAAAAAGCGGAAACAGTTTATCAAGAAGTTTATGAATAATAGTAATTGGCACGATGAGGACCTATTGGCATTCATCGTTGATGAATTTGACGGCGATGCCGAGAATATTAACTGGATTTTAAAAACAGTTCTGGAAACCGAACGATGGAATTACCGGCTCGTTGAGGTGCTCATGGAAAATGGTGCTGAGTTGCAAGTACTCAATGACTTGGGCCAAACGGCGATTCATTTAGCGGCTAAAAAAAAAAATTGGTCATTGTCAAACATATTGTTCAATTATTCTGGAAATGAGAATCTCAGCGACAATCAGGGATTCACTTACCTTCACGCAGCCTGTATGACTAGTAATGTTACGGTGGTACAGAAATTTATCGACGAAGGCGTGGATGTGAATCTGATTTTCTTTGACAATGGGATTGTTAAAACCCCGTTAAGTTTAGCTATAGAAGATCAAGATGCTGATATAGCAAAATTACTATTAAACAATGGTGCCGATTTAAAATTAGTAGATGATAATTGGGATAAATCGCCTCTACGTTGTCTTAAACGTGTATATGAACATTGCGGATATTATGAATTAGAACCTCTGCAAGTTATTGGAAATCATTTTCTCAGTAATCTCGTGAAACACACCACGGATAAGGATGAATTGGAAAATCTTGGCGATGACGAAGGATTTACTTATTTACACGCGGCCTGCATGTATGGCAAAATCGAGATTGTGCAAAAATTCATTGATCAAAGAATCGATCTTGATCTTATTTGGTATTCATCCTGTGGCACTAATGAATCACCATTGACTTTAGCTACTAAATTTGAGCAGGTAGAGATAATGAAAGTGCTTTTGAAACACGGCGCTAATCCTAGCATAAGTCTTTTAAGAAAAAATGTTCTGCACGTTTTTTTCCACTCATTTAATTTTGATTCTGAACTTCTTGAGCTCCTCATTGATTACAAATGCGACGTGAATGCAAGAGACCATGAAAATCACACCCCACTGGCGCTTTGCTTGGACAATATATTGAATATGAATGATATGGATTGGAACGATGAATCTACAGAATTAATGAAAACTGGACACAAAAATTTAGAAATTCTGCTCCAAAATAATGCCGATCCAAACCAAGTTCTCGATGATGGCCAAACGTGTTTACACTTGGTAGTTTCTTCGAGCCGTTGTGGACCTATAGATTATGATACCGACGTCTATTTACCTGATCTATACGAGAATCTCATGTATAAATGCTTGGAAATGGTGAAGGTACTCTTGAAATATGGAGCCAATCCAAACGTTATTGATAATGAAGGTAATTCGCCACTTTACTTGGCCGTATTGCAGTACAACTATCATGTGGTTAAGGTACTTTTACAACATGGAGCCGATGTGCAAAGTGTTGATCTCTCAAAAAAACCAATAGAATATAATCAATCTAGCGATTACTTAGATCAAGTGTTCTCATTTTTATCTATCCTCGATCTATTAAAAAGTAAAGGACACGAATTAAACAGGCCAAGCGCTTTGGCCATATTGAAATTGCTGATCGACCCAGATCGTTGCGACGAATGTCATCTCCCAAACAGCAAGTTTGAAACTAGATTAAAGCTTGGTAAGATCTCATTATATAAAATGATTGTATATTTTTTTTGTGAAATGTTCATAATTTTACAGGTTTTCTGACGCACATCCGGGTGTTTTTAAAAAACATTCCCAGTAACTCTCTGGAGCGATATCTCTGTAGTGATGTCCTTGAAAAATATCTAGAAATTGTACAACAAGGGAAAATGTATATTACGGAAGAAATGAAGGATTGCCTAAAACAATGGCCACACACAACACGTAATGATCAAGCAAAAAATGATTATTTTGCAGCGATTTCGGAACAGATTGAATACGTAAAACATTTGATGATAAAGGATGGTGTATCCCTTCTTGACGTTTGTGCAACTAGCCCAGAAAAAGGATATTATTTGCTAAAAGATTCAGACTTCTGGACCTTCTTCTATTCAAATGAAAAAGAATTCAGTACAATATCTAACGTAATAAAAGGGTACATAATTCAGTGCCTTATGAGAAAACTTTTCGTGGATATTGGATTCGAATATATAATACTATTGACGCAGGGTAATCTTCCTCTATTATGCTGTGAAAAATTGATTCAATACTTGAACAATGAAGATATTCTGTTGGTGTGTGAAGCATTGATCAATGAAATTTGAAAATAAGAGTCATTGCGATTAAAATACCTTACAGTATTATTTTTTATATATTTTTTATATAAATCGAATTTTTAAAGTGATTAAAATATGAAATAATTAAGTACATATTAATCTAGTCATTGATATTTATAATAAACATATACTTTTTATGAAAAAATGTTGTCTATTTTCATCTTTCCTTTCTCATCCTATGTACCTATACTCATATTCAATATCAAAAGAGCAGTTTATATATGATATAACATTGATTTGATTATTGTGGTTCCGTAATTTATTTATCGATGTATCCTCCGATCATACAAGCAGATACAATTTTTGTATTCTTATATGTTGTAATAAGAATCAAACTTGAAAAAATTTCATCCATAATTTGAATTTACGTGCCTTATTTATTTCATCTATGCACACTCTTGAGATAAGTATATCTTCTGTAATCTTCTGTAACTACTATACTATGCATTGGTAAAATAGCAAAATCGAACCTATATATGAGCGGCGTAAAATTGGCATGGGTTTTTTGACGTCAATATGGTTTTTACGTACCGGATGACTCAGAGAAAAAAACACATCACTCGACGGTATATTAAATATGAGAATCGTGTGCAAACCAGTCAGTCGTTGTGAATTGTCGCTCCGTATCGTGTGTATTATAAAGGCGTATAAGCACAGGTGACGCAGTGAATCGTGGCTGGTGAATTAGCGATGATATATATCGACATTATAAATCGATAAGATAAATCGTTTTTGTTCCATAGACAGTGAGGCTACTTTAAAGTTTGAATCAATGAATGTGAGTAAAAGCAATATGCAGGAGAGTACCGTGAAAAAAAGTATTGAAAAAAAGCGGAAACAGTTTATCACGAAGTTCATGGAGAATCGTAATTGGCACGACGAGGACCTATTGGCATTCATCGTTGATGAATTTGACGGCGATGCCGAGAATATTAACTGGATTTTAAAAACAGTTCTGGAAACCGAACGATGGAATTACCGGCTCGTTGAGGTGCTCATGGAAAATGGTGCTGAGTTGCAAGTACTTAATGACTTGGGCCAAACGGCGATTCATTTAGTGGTTAAAAAAAAAAATTGGTCATTGTCAAAAATATTGTTCGATTATTCTGGAAATGAGAATCTCAGCGACAATCAGGGATTCACTTACCTTCACGCAGCCTGTATGACTAGTAATGTTACGGTGGTACAGAAATTTATCGACCAAGGCGTGGACGTAAATCTGATTTTCTTTGACGATGGGCTTGCCAAAACCCCGTTGAGTTTAGCTATTGAAAAGTCCGATGCAGTTACAGCAAAATTACTATTAAACAATGGTGCCGATTTAAAATTAGTAGATGATAATTGGTGTGAAGCGCCTCTTCGTTGTCTTAAACGTGTATATGAACATTGCAGTTATTATGAATTAGAACCTATGCAAGTTATTGGCAATCATTTTGTGAGTAATCTCGTGAAACACACTACGGGTAAGGATGAATTAGAAAATCTTGGAGATGACGAAGGATTTACTTATTTACACGCGGCTTGCATGTATGGCAACATCGAGATTGTACAACAATTCATTGATCAAAAAATCGATCTTGATCTTATTTGGTATTCATCCTGTGGCACCAATGAATCACCATTGACTTTAGCTACTAAATTTAAGGAAGTAGAGATAATAAAAGTGCTTTTGGAACATGGCGCTAATCCCAGCATAAGTCTTTTAAGAAAAAACCTTCTGCACGTTTTTTTCCACTCGTTTAATTCTGATTCTGAACTTCTTGAGCTTCTCATTGATTACAAATGCGACGTGAATGAAAGAAACCATGAAAATAGCACGCCAATAATGCTTTGCTTGGATAATATATTGGATATGAGTTATATAGATTGGATCGATGAACCTACAGAATTAATGAAAATTGGACACAAAAATTTAGAAATTCTGCTCCAAAATAATGCCGATCCAAACCAAGTTCTCGATGATGGCCAAACGTGTTTACACTTGGTGAGCCATTGTGGACCTATAGATTATGATCCCGGCGTCTGTTTACCTGATCTATACAAGAATCTAATGTATAACTGCTTGGAAATGGTTAAGTTACTCTTGAAATATGGAGCCAATCCGAACGTCATTGATAAAGAAGGTAATTCGCCACTTTACTTGGCCGTATTGCAATATAACTATGATGTGGTCAAGGTACTTTTACAACATGGAGCCGATGTGCAAAGTGTTGATCTCTCGAAAAAATCATTAGAGTATAATAACTACAAAGATTACTTGGATCAAGTGTTTTCACTTTTATCCATCCTTGATCTTTTAAAGAGTAAAGGTCATAAAATGATTGGATCAAGTGATTTGACCATATTAAAATTTTTGATCGATCCAGGGTTTGATGACGAAGATTATAAGTCATACACATTTGAAGCTACATTAAAATTCGGTAAGATTTCATTAAATGAAACAATTTTATATTTTTATTAAGCATCGTTTATTTTTTCATAGGTTCTTTGACGCAGATCCGTGCTCTTTTAAATAAAATTTCTAGCGACTCTCCGGACCTACACCTCTATAGTAATGATCTTCAAAATCATCTAGAAATTATACAAAAAGGGAAAATGTATATTACGGAAGAAATGAAGGATTGCCTGATACAATGGTCGGACACGTATCCTATTGAACAAGTAGAAGATTTTTATGCAAAAATTTCGGAACAGATTGAATACGTGAAAAATCTGATGATAAAGGATGGTGTGTCCCTACTCGATGTTTGTGCAACTAGCCCAGAAAATGGATATTACTTATTGCAAAATTCAGAATTTATGACAGTCTTCGATTTAAATAGAAAAGAATTCAGCTCAATATCAAGGACAATAAAAGGTTACATAATTAAATGCTGTATGAGAAAACTCTTCGTAGACATTGGCCTGGAATACCTGATATTGCTGATGCAGGGCAATCTTCCTGTATTGTTTTGCGAACAGGTTATTCAGTATATGAGCAATGAAGATATCCTTTCGATGTGTATAAGCGTCGATGAATTTGAAAATTAAAATATCATTATTGTGATTAAAATATCTGACAGTATTATTTTTTATATTCTTTTTATATGAATGGAAATTTTACTGTGATAAAAATATGAAATAATTGAGTGATTACATATAACAATATATAGTACAAATGTAGAATTAATCTAGTTTTCGATATTTATAATATATATATATGGGTAAGGCTCAGAATTTTTTAAATAAACCTGCGCTCGTATGTCACCGATCTTGACGCGCTTTTGGTATGTTATAGTACATGGTAAAAAAGACCCAAAACCAAAATTTTAGACCCCCTCCCCCCTCCTACCCCCCACTTCCGGTATAAACGTCCATTTTCTATCTATATTTTTTCTGAAGGCCTGAAGCAATTAAAAAATCTGAAAAAATTCACAAAAATACTTTTCAACAATCCAAACAACCTTGAATTTTTTCAGATTTTTTGAGTGCTTCAGGCCTTCAGAAAAAATTATTGAAAATTTTGAAAATTCATATACGGCGCTACGATGCAATACAAAGCCCGATCTTTTTTTCCACTTATTTTTGACATCAAAATACATAACCTCAAATTTTTTCAGATTTTTTCAGACAGAGCGCTGGCGGTTTTTAGCCGAAAAACGCCCTTTTTTTACGAAAATAATTTTTTTAGGGCGATATGAAGCTTTAAAAAATCTGGAAAAATTTTTTTCTTGTTTTTCAGGTCAAAATACATAACCTTGAATTTTTTCAAATTTTTTAATTGAAGGCGATAGCATCTATGGCTAAAAAACGCTATTTTTATGAAAAACGGTTCCTGGAACCCAGAGGTTCCGGTAAAAAAATTTGAAAAAATTTTTTTCGAATTCCTTGTCAAATTTTAATAAATTTTGACCGTCGCAAAATTTCGATTGGAGCTTCCTAGCTCATTCTAGAGCATAACAAAGATTCGAGCGAAATTCTGAAGAAATTTGAAAAATAATGTAATTGTGATGAACGTCTTCAGAATTTCGCTCGAATCTTTGTTATGCTCTAGAATGAGCTAGGAAGCTCCAATCGAAATTTTGCGACGGTCAAAATTTATTAAAATTTGACAAGGAATTCGAAAAAAATTTTTTCAAATTTTTTTACCGGAACCTCTGGGTTCCAGGAACCGTTTTTCATAAAAATAGCGTTTTTTAGCCATAGATGCTATCGCCTTCAATTAAAAAATTTGAAAAAATTCAAGGTTACGTATTTTGACCTGAAAAACAAGAAAAAAATTTTTCCAGATTTTTTAAAGCTTCATATCGCCCTAAAAAAATTATTTTCGTAAAAAAAGGGCGTTTTTCGGCTAAAAACTGCCAGCGCTCTGTCTGAAAAAATCTGAAAAAATTTGAGGTTATGTATTTTGATGTCAAAAATGAGTGGAAAAAAAGATCGGGCTTTGTATTGCATCGTAGCGCCGTATATGAATTTTCAAAATTTTCAATAATTTTTTCTGAAGGCCTGAAGCACTCGAAAAATCTGAAAAAATTCAAGGTTGTTTGGATTGTTGAAAAGTATTCTTGTGAATTTTTTCAGATTTTTTAATTGCTTCAAGCCTTCAGAAAAAATATAGATAGAAAATGGACGTTTATACCGGAAGTGGGGGGTAGGAGGGGGGAGGGGGTCTAAAATTTTGGTTTTGGGTCTTTTTTACCATGTACTATAACATACCAAAAGCGTGTCAAGATCGGTGACATACGAGCGCAGGTTTATTTAAAAAATTCTGAGCCTTACCCATATATATTTTTTTAAAAGAATTTGTCTTTTCATTTTTTCCTTTGTACCCCGTAATTTGGGGAGGATAAAAAAAGCACACGATTTCCAAATTGAGTTGATGTATTATGTGAGCTTTTTTTTTAACAGAAGTCGGTTCGTTAAATTTTCCAGTGAATACGTCAAGAATGAGTATCTGAAAAGACGTCGAAAAAAAAACTGAAATATTCGTTGCGTTTTCATTCCCAAAGCCGAGACCACGACGACGGTCTTCACGAACGTCTCGTCGAACAACACGTCGCCTGCGCGGCCCTGTGGCGCGACCTCGACGACGCAGGCCCGACGCAAAAAGATCGCCGCTGACTCGAGGCGCGAGCGCAAAGCCGCCAAGACCCTGTTCATCATCACCGGGGCCTTCGTCGTCTGCTGCTGGCCATTTGCCAGAACTGCGACATCAACGCGCTGCTCTTCGCCTTCTTTCAGTGGCTCGGGTAAGTTAATTCGATGAGGAGAGAGAGAGAGAGTTTTCGTTTGAATGGAAGACAACGTCGTACGTATATAATTGCTTATCGAGAGAAAAAATCCGTCAATCAAAACACTGATAAGTAAACACTGTAAAATTTTTTATATCGTTGTCCACCGTACGACGTGTAGGCGTTGCCTGCGTATGCGGTTTAACTGTTCCTTATTATCTATTCTTCTATACATTTTACACAGTATTTCGTATTATCGTAACCTTAGGTGTCATATTTGATCAAGAACTTTTAAATTCTATCAACAGATGGGGTTTTGAAAACTCACAAGAAGCAAAACAATGTTTTTTTGTATAAGGTGTCTTCTTCACAGCTACTATTTCTAGTGCTTTCATGTTATCACGTAATCTCGTAACTACCCGAAGAGTATTTATGAAAAATGAAATTGATTATTTTTTAAAATTTAATGACAAATAAAAACTAGAAATTTGGACAAGTAAATCTAAAATATTAAGTTAGCTGTCTACAGACAGCTATCAGAATTGAACAGCCATCAGAATTGAAACTTTCCTAAAATTTATTGATTAAAAACATCAAGCTATGAAAGTAGAAAAATTTTGAAAAATTTACAAAAGTAAAACCTTGAAAAAATCTTAGAAAAATTAAAGTTCGAATAAGTTATAATTAAATTATTTTGCACAGGGTTTGAAAAATTGCTTTATTAATATTTATAAATGAATTAGGAATGATAATATTTTTGATAATATTCAAGTTCAAGGAATGATAATGTTCAAGTGCATGTTTTAATAAAATTTTAATCGAAAACGTGCCAAAATAATAGGGTTTGTCTTGATGTCAGCTATCATTACATTTTTTTTTCACTGTTTTCGATTCATCCAAGGATCAGCCCAAATTTTTTTTCACTTCTTGTTTGGAGCTAAGTTAGTCCGAGCGAAAGATTTTGATAAAGACGTAATCGGTAATAACCATATTTTTTCTGTCAAAAAAGAGCCAACGTTGGAAATCATTTAATTATTCAATTAAAAGCAACAAGTGTTTTTTTACTTTTTATTTATTTTGATGGTTAACATTCATTGTTGCGAAGAATAGCTGTTACAGGGTTACGAATGAAGCAATGACGGTCCTTTACGAACATATACGATTACGAGCTTCGACCGAGGGCCGCCAAGCAAATATTGCACAAGTCTTGGTTCGTCAAATTGTCGATGATCATTTCGCAGCAAAGAATCGGCAGTCGGTAATGAATCAGCTCCAAGAATGGCTCCAGTGCCCAGTCCCGGAAAAATCTCCTGGACATTTTTTCGCACAGATGCATAACGCAAGCCTCTTGAGATTCGACAGTTAATCGTTTCCACGGTTGGATGTACTTCGCTGATCGCAGCATGAAGAATTCGAAGAAGTCGGTGTTCGTGCACAGTTTCTCCACCTCTCGGGGTGGCAAACGCATCAGATCGTAGAGCGACAAGTCCGCTGCCACCATGACCTCTTTCGCTTTGCTCGCGAACTCCTCGTCCTCGTGCCAATTGGCTTCGAGATGCCTCAACTTCTCGGATAATCCACGCTTGGCGAAAAATTTCATGACGATCAGCGCTTCGCTTCGGTACAACTCGCGTCCCCTTCTCTCTAGGATATCGACAACTGCCAGCGCTCCGGACACCAGATTATACTTGTAGTGATGGTCGTGCTCGTTCCCAATTTCATGGAACTGGTCAAAGTCCTTCTCGGTGGGAAAGACGAAGCCAGACAGATCATCGCCACGATCCAAGAGTTCATCGACAATATGCGGAAAAAGTTTTGCCACGGCGTAATACAGAGATGTCCGACCCAACCTGTGCCGGGCATCAACCTCCACCGACTGATTCAACTCGTCGTTGACCACGAAGAATAGCTTTATCAAGCCAATATGATCGCGGTTCCCCAAGCAAGCAAAATGCAGAGGAGTGAATCCACTCGGGGTGTCCAAATTGGGATTGGCGCTTCTTCTCAGCATCGATTCGACCGATGAACATGATTGGAACAACGACGATAAAGTGATAAAATTTTTTGTTATTCTACATTTTTTGGATAGGAAAGGATATCAAATGAATGAATCAAGTGGTTTGACCGCGTTGAAATATTTGGCAGTGCTAATTAGATATGACTCCGAAATTTGCTCCACTGCAAATTTGAAGAATACAATAACTTTTGGTAAGGTTTTATTAAATCAAACTAAAATGAAATTTGTATAACTAATGCAGTACATATGATTACAGGTTGTTTAATGCAAAATCAGCTATTATTTAATGATGTAAAAAATAGTAGTGATGATCGATTTAAAAACGATGACATGAAATATGATATTGCCAACCTACTTTACATATGTCTTCAAACTGTTGAAACAGGGAATATGTTACACTTTACAACAATTACAACAATTTTACATACTTGATGAGATTTATATTGATGATTATATTGATAGTATACCGCAAGAAATCGAATATATAAAAAATCTGGTGATAAAGGATGGTGTGTCTCTACTTGAAATTTGTGCACCTAGCCCTAAAAAAGCATACGGACTGCTGAAAGATTTTAAATTCTGGACGAAAATTAATTCAGATGACTTCAAAGATAATTGCTATACTATAAAGGGGATCATTACAGGATACATAGAGAAATGCTTCATGAAGAAAATTTTCTTGGATATGGGCCCCGAATATATAATACTACTGACGCAGGGTAGTCTTCCTCTGTCGTGCTGTGAAAAATTGATTCAATACTTAAACAATGAAGAAATATTGTTGGTGTGTGAAACACTGGTAAATCAAATTTAAAAATGAGAGTCATTGTGATTAAAATACCTTACAGTATTATTTTTTATATATTTTTTTATGTATCAAATTTTTCTAGTGATAAAAATATAAAATAATTGAGTAATTATATAACATATATGGTACATATCAATCTAGTCATTGATATTTATAATATACATACTTTTTTTAAGAAAAAATGTTGTCTATTTTCATCTTTTCTTTTTCATCCTATGTACCTATACTCATATTCAATCTCAAAAGAGCAGTTATATATAATATAACATATGGGTCAAAATAATACTTTTTTACAAAACCGTGCGCACGTATGTCACCGATCTTGACGCGCTTTTGGTATGTTATAGTACATGGTAAAAAGGTCCCAAAAAAAAATTTTTAGACCCCCTCCCCCCTCCTACCCCCCACTTCCGGTATAAACGTCCATTTTCGATCTATATTTTTTCTGAGGACATGAAGCAAGTAAAAAATCTGAAAAAATTCATAAAAATACTTTTCCACAATCCAAACAACCTTGAATTTTTTCAGATTTTTTGAGTGCTTCAGGCCTTCAGATAAAATCATTGAAAATTTCAAAAATCGAGATACGGCGGTATGAGCCGATGTAGTACTCGGAAATTTTTTCAGTTATTTTTCGCATTAAAAAACATAACCTCAATTTTTTTCAGATTTTTTCAGATTACCTAACGCACCTTTTGAAGCCAAAAACCGATTTTTTTGACGAAAATAATTTTTTTAGGACAGTACGGAGCCTCGAAAAATCTGAAAAAAATTTTTTCTTGTTTTTTTCATCAAAATACGTAATCTCAAATTTTTTCAGATTTTTTAATTGAAGGCGATAGCTTCTAGGGCCGAAAAATGCTATTTTTAACAAAAAATGGTTCCTAGAACCCGATGGTTCCGGTGAAAAAATTTGAAAATATTTTTTTTGAATTCCTTGTCAAATTTTAATAAATTTTGACCGTTTCAAAAGTTCGATTGAAGCTTCCTAGCTCATTTTAGAGCAGGACAAAGATTAGTGCAAAATATCTGAAGACGTTTCTGAAGACATTAAGGAATGATAAAACTCGTTTGATGCTCTAAAATGAGCTAGGAAGCTTCAATCGAACTTTTGAAACGGTCAAAATTTATTAAAATTTGACAAGGAATTCAAAAAAAATATTTTCAAATTTTTTCACCGGAACCATCGGGTTCTAGGAACCATTTTTTGTTAAAAATAGCATTTTTCGGCCCTAGAAGCTATCGCCTTCAATTAAAAAATCTGAAAAAATTTGAGATTACGTATTTTGATGAAAAAAACAAGAAAAAATTTTTTTCAGATTTTTCGAGGCTCCGTACTGTCCTAAAAAAATTATTTTCGTCAAAAAAATCGGTTTTTGGCTTCAAAAGGTGCGTTAGGTAATCTGAAAAAATCTGAAAAAAATTGAGGTTATGTTTTTTAATGCGAAAAATAACTGAAAAAATTTCCGAGTACTACATCGGCTCATACCGCCGTATCTCGATTTTTGAAATTTTCAATGATTTTATCTGAAGGCCTGAAGCACTCAAAAAATCTGAAAAAATTCAAGGTTGTTTGGATTGTGGAAAAGTATTTTTATGAATTTTTTCAGATTTTTTACTTGCTTCATGTCCTCAGAAAAAATATAGATCGAAAATGGACGTTTATACCGGAAGTGGGGGGTAGGAGGGGGGAGGGGGTCTAAAAATTTTTTTTTGGGACCTTTTTACCATGTACTATAACATACCAAAAGCGCGTCAAGATCGGTGACATACGTGCGCACGGTTTTGTAAAAAAGTATTATTTTGACCCATATATATTTGATTACAGTGGTTCCGTAATTTTTTTATTGATATATCCTTCGATCATCAAAGCAGCTACATTTTTTGTATTCTTATAATATGTTGAATAAAAATTTGACTTGAAAAAATTTCATCTATAATTTGAATTTACGTGCCTTATTTATTTCACCTATGCACACTGAGAGAATTATATCTTCTGTAATCTTCTGTAACTACTATACTATGCATTGGTAAAATAGCAAAATCGAACCTATATATGAGCGGCGTAAAATTGGCATGGGTTTTTCGACGTCAATATGGTATTTACGTACCGGATGACTCAGAGAAAAAAACACATCACTCGGCGGTATATTAAATATGAGAATCGTGTGCAAACCAGTCAGTCGTTGTTAATCGTCGCTCCGGATCTAATCGTGTGTATTATAAAGGCGTATAAGCGCAGGTGACGCAGTGAATCGTGGCTAGTGAATTAGCGACGACATATATCGACATTATAAATTGATAAGATAAATCGTTTCTGTTTCATTGACAGTGAGGCTACTTTGAAGTTTGAATCAATGAATGTGAGTAAAAGCAATATGCAGGAGAGTGCCGTGAAAAAAAGTATTAAAAAAAAGCGGACACAGTTTATCAAGAAGTTTATGAATAATAGTAATTGGCACGACGAGGACCTATTGGCATTCATCGTTGATGAATTTGACGGCGATGCCGAGAATATTAACTGGATTTTAAAAACAGTTCTGAAAACCGAACGATGGACTTACCGGCTCGTTGAGGTGCTCATGGAAAATGGTGCTGAGTTGCAAGTACTTAATGACTTGGGCCAAACGGCGATTCATTTAGCGGCTAAAAAAAACGATTGGTTTTTGTCAAACATATTGTTCAATTATTCTGGAAATAAGAATCTCAGCGACAATGAGGGATTCACTTACCTTCACGCAGCCTGTATGACTAGTAATGTTACGGTGGTACAGAAATTTATCGATGAAGGCGTGGATGTAAATCTGATTTTCTTTGACAATGGGATTGCTAAAACCCCGTTAAGTTTAGCTATAGAAGATCAAAATGCTGATATGGCAAAATTACTATTAAACAATGGTGCCGATTTAAAATTAGTAGATGATAATTGGTGTAAAGCGCCTCTTCGTTGTCTTAAACGTGTATATGAACATTGCAGATATTATGAATTAGAACCTCTGCAAGTTATTGGCAATCATTTTTTCAGTAATCTCGTGAAACACAAAACAGATGAGGATGTATTTGAAAATCTTGGTGATGACCAAGGATTTACTTATTTACACGCGGCTTGCATGTATGGCAACATCGAGATTGTACAAAAATTCATTGATCAAAAAATTGATCTTGATCTTATTTGGTATTCATCCTGTGGCACCAATGAATCACCATTGACTTTAGCTACTAAATTTAAGGAAGTAGAGATAATAAAAGTGCTTTTGGAACATGGCGCTAATCCCAGCATAAGTCTTTTAAGAAAAAACCTTCTGCACGTTTTTTTCAACTCGTTTAATTTTGATTCAGAACTACTCGAGCTCCTCATTGATTACAAATGCGATGTGAATGAAAGAAACCATGAAAATTGCACGCCATTAATGCTTTGCTTGAATAATATATTGAATATGAGTGATATGGATTGGAACGATGAATCTACAGAATTAATGAAAACTGGGCACAAAAATTTAGAAACTCTGCTCCAAAATAATGCCGATCCAAACCAAGTTCTCGATGATGGCCAAACGTGTTTACACTTGGTAGTTTCTTCGCGGCGTTGTGGACCTATTGATGATTACACCGACGTCTCTTTACCTTCATACGAAAATCTCATGTTCAGATGCGTAGAAATGGTTAAGTTACTCTTGAAATATGGAGCCAATCCAAATTTCATCGATAATGAAGGTAACTCGACACTTTACTTGGCCGTGTTGCGATATAACTATGATGTGGTCAAGGTACTTTTACAACATGGAGCCGATGTGCAAAGTGTTGATCTCTCAAAAAAACCGTTAGAGTATAATCAATGTAGCGATGACTTAGATCAACTGTTCTCTTTTTTATCTATCCTCGATCTATTAAAAAGTAAAGGTCATAAAATGATTGGATCAAGTGATTTGACCATATTAAAATTTTTGATCGATCCAGTGGCTAATGACGAAGATTATGAACCATACACATTTGAAGCTACATTAAAATTTGGTAAGATTTCATTTAATGAAACGGTTTTATATTTTTATTAAGCATCGTTTATTTTTTTATAGGTTCTTTGTCGCAAATCCGTGCTCGTTTAAATAAAATTTCTAGCTACTGTCCGGACCTACACCTCTATAGTAATGATCTTCAAAATCATCTAGAAATTATACAAAAAGGGAAAATGTATATTACGGAAGAAATGAAGAATTGCCTGATACAATGGTCGCACACGAATCCTATTGAACAAATAGAAGAAGATTTTTATGCAGAAATTTCGGAACAGATTGAATACGTGAAAAATCTGATGATAAAGGATGGTGTGTCCCTTCTCGACGTTTGCACAACTAGCCCAGAAAAAAGATATCATTTGATAAAAAATTCAGAATTTTGGATATTTTTCAATTCAAATGAAAAAGAATTCAGTACAATATCAAACGTAATAAAAGGGTACATAATTCAGTGCCTAATGAGAAAACTTTTCGTGGATATTGGACTGGAATATATAATACTATTGACGCATGGCAATCTTCCTGTATTGTATTGCGATCAGGTTATTCAGTATTTGAGCAATGAAGATATCCTGTCGGTGTGTATAAGTGTTGATAAACGAAATTTCAAAATGAAAAAATCATAAGTGTGATTGAAATGTCTTACAGTATTATTTTTGATATTCTTTTTATATGAATGGAAATTTTACTGCGATGAAATTATGAAATAATTGAGTGATTACGCACAACAATATACAGTACAAATGTAGAATTAATCTAGTTTTCGATATTTATAATATATATTTTTTTAAAAAAGAATTTGTCTTTTCATTTTTTCCTTAGTTTTGTACATACTCATATTCAATCTCACAAGAGCAGTTTACATAGTATATTATTGAGTTGATTATAAAAGTTTCGTCATTTTTTTCATTTTCATTGAAAGTTGGTCACCAAAACAATGACAATATTTTTAATTTTTATACGTTGTAACAAGAGTTGGACTAAACAGAACTGATCAAAGATTTTCCATGCCATATTATTCTAGCTATGCACACACGAAAGATTATGGGTAAAATCATTCATGTCATCCTATGAAATATTTTTTAAAAAGTTTACTAAGTTTCTATAACTACTTTACTATGCATTAAAACACACCACCTGGCGGTATATATAATATGAGAATCGTGTGCAAACCAGTCAGTTGTAGTGAATCGACGCTTAGGAGTGGATTTATTATAAAAGTGTATGAGTCAGCTGATCTAGTGTCGTAGCTGGTGAATTAGCAACGATATATATCGAAATTACAAATCGTTAAGATAAATCGTACGTTTCAGGCAGTGAAGTAACTTGAAAGTTTGAATATTATTTTACAATGGACGTGAGCAAACAAGGAAATATGCCGTAAAAAAAGTTTAGAACAAATACAGAAACTATTTGTCACGTATAAGATGCTGTGGTTTTCTGATAAAGATTTCTTTTTGATCACACGTCTTTAACGCATTTTACCAACTAGTTCCTGGACTGGTGCACTTCATTGGCTTGAAAATTGGCTTTTTTAAACAGATAAATTAACTTTTTTGATTAATAGTTTTATTATTTTCATTCTACTCGCGAAACGAAGCAACTTTTCAAAAAACTAATTGCACCATTAGAAAGATGAGGAAAAAATACATGAAAAACACGTATTTGTTTATTTTTATGACGAAAGCCTAACTCGTGATAAATAAATAAACGTAAAGTGGAGCGAAAAAACAGGCCAGGGCGCTCGAAAACGGCCGACCATGCGCTCTTTTCCTCTTCACCGTTCGAGATAATCGAAAAAGTCCCTTTTTTTCAGAGTCATTTCTTATGTAAAATCGCGAGATCTTTCGATCTAGACCCTCAAAAAAACTCTAAACCAGGAGGCAAAAAGATACAGCGTTCATAGTTCAAGATACAGAGTTCACCTGAGGTGGAGCGGGTACCACTCAAAAAGAAGACCCGGGCTATGTCATCAGCCTCCGAGCGGTAAAAAACCCCGATCACTGTGCGAGCAGGAAACGAAGTGGATATCCTTTAGTAGGTGCCCGAGGCGAGGACTCACAAGGCTGGCAATAGATGGAGCACAACACTCCCATGATAAAGTCGGAAGCGAGAACCACACTCACAAGATGGCGCCGGATTAAAACAGGCAGGAGTATCAGGAACTCACCGGGACTCGGAGAGTAGGGCCGGAAGCGAGAACCACACTCACAAGATGGCACTGGGCAGTGAGTTCTAACACTTGACTCTAGAGAAGACAGCAATGTGTGACCACGCAGTGGGAAACTACGGCTCCGAACGTGGGATACGACAACCGAGAGATGGCATCGCGCAGGGTACGGAGATTCACCAAAGTAGCGAAGGATGAGTCCCTCAACGCCTAATCGTCACATATCACTATGCGACGGATGGGGGATGTATGAAAACGACTCACATCGAAGTAGCAGAAATGCTCAACTAACCCCGGCCTCACCGAAGCAATGCCTAGCAGCGGTTACCGGTGAGTGTCCGAATGGGGTGGAGGAAAAAAAAACACACAAGGTTGTTCATGAAAGTATTCAAGAAGCTCGTAGAAATTTTAGGTTTTTTTAGTTTTTTTATTTCACAGTGAGTTTACATTAAGTTAGTTTTTTTATTTTACGTTAATTTTAATTTTTTTATTTTACATTGAGAAATATAGATGTACAAAAAATGTTTTGAAATTAAGCCTTCAATGCTCAGTTTGATCTCATGATCGGATTGCGATGGCAGTGTCTACTTCTAGATTAATCAAGTTCGTCTGCTCGCACAAACGAAATAAATCATTGTCACTCATATATTCAGCAATTTTACGACAAACCACGTACGGTAGATTTAAACTGTAATCATCACTCATGAAAAAATCGGCTGCAAGTAATTCCAACTGTGACCTTATTAAAATATTGGCAATGTGTCTTTTTACAAAGCGGTTTATTACATAACCTCCGCACGATATTTCATTCATTGGTGGGACACGCCAATTTTTTATATTTTTTAATATCGAGTAACCTTTACTGTAGCTCATTTGGCAAAGTTGATAGAGCGAGATGTGTTCGGTTACCATGATGCTTTTTATATACGTAATCTCTCTCTTATATATTTTTTTGAAGTACGAGTCAGGTTCGAATTCTTCATCGTCATATGGCGCAACTCTCAGACTGAATTTCTCGATTTGTTGGTGCAAGTAATCTAAAGCTTCTTGTTTAAGGTACAAGCCATACTTGGTATGAATGAATAATAATATCTTGTATTCATGTAAGATACTCAGATCTCGTTCGTCAAATTCCTCTATAAATAAAAACGTAATTAATAAGTTAAGACATTAAAATTACTCTATTAGAAAAATTAAATTACGTACCATCAAAACATAAGATGAAATAATCAATGTCGTTTCCTCGAACTCTGATCCAATACTTCATCAGCCTAAGCGCAGTGTGAAGGTTCATGCTGTAGCCAGCTGACTGCAGCGATTTCATCGCCTCGATTATGTTCAATGTGACAGGATAGTTTTTCAATTCGAATGGTGTAAAATCCATACGGAACATCCTATCCTCGTTCAGATTATTCACATTTGCACCGTGTTCCAGGAGTGTCCGGAGCAAATCCGAATCGAAGACTAACAACGCTGATTGCAAGGGAGTATCTCCGTGGCAATTGCGTGCTTCGATGTTTGCTCCCTTATTAATGAGCATGTTAACGATCTTATCAACTGGACGTCTCCTGTCGCAGAAGCAATAACTGCTGACGCAATCGCATACACGAAGCGATGCAAGCGCGTGCAATGGTGTTGACTGATCTAAATTTTGATAATTCGGATTGGCCCCGTGTTCTAGTAATACTTCAACAACATTCTCATGCCTCCACTGCGCAGCAATAAAAAGTGGTGAGAACTTATACGTGTCAAGATTGACGTCTACACCTTTACATATTAATTGTTTCACCGTTTCAATATCGCCGGTCGAGCAAGCTCCGTGTAGATATGTGTAACCCTGACCATCGACATAGTTTTGCCGTGGATTTTTCAACAAATATTTCATTAATCTTAAGGTAAATACTCCATTAGAATTTCTCTTTGTCGACCCATATTCGTCTGCTAAATAATGTAGAGCACACCTTCCATCTTTGAACCTAACCTCACTTATTTCCAATTTGCTTGCTTTGAGTAGTTGTGTAGCTTTCAAATGCTTGAATTGTACAGAAAATTTGAGAAAAAAATGTTTATCTTTAACACTCGGAAATAGGCTTTTGTCATTCATTAACTGTATCAAAACTCTACCCATCAAATTGTGAGTTCTGTGCCATGCAGACCAACCGTTTAATATCCGGCAAAATTCTTCGCGTCTAGTGCTTGCTTTTCTTATACTTTTCAGATGATTTTTGAATTTCTGTAGACGCGAGTAATAAGCATTGTTCTGATTTAATGACATTTTGAATTGAATGGTTGATATAATACAATTCTTGATGAAAAATTGTTAGAAGCACTATTCGCTGAACACTGAACACTGAACACGTGGTCGAGATCACTATTGACACAACTAAAAATGATCACAGTTTGAAAGAGAGAGATTTCTAACGGCAACGCCTCCGATATCTCAATATTCTATTCACTCGTAGCAATATTTCAAAGGAATAAATTGAGAATGACGATCAAAAGTCGTCGTGATAAACTTACGTGTTTCACCTAAAATTACTTTGTAACCTAGAATTATAACGAGAGTTTATTTTCACGAGTAACTACTGACTTTGCTGCTACTCACTTGAGAATGAAGTCTTTGGTAAGATGGAGAAAGGTATCTGTAAAAGAGAAAAAGAGAGAGAGGGAGAGAGAGACAGAAGTGGGAGCGCTATTAGCAAGTTTCGCCCAGCGCCCATAGAGGTCTCAAACAGGGATCCCGATATTCCCGATTCCCGATCTTGAAAGAAATAGTATATTATGTGACAACGGACGAAAGTCGAACTTCCGTCCTTGGGAGGTTATGCACCCGACGACGACGTTTTGCCTATCTACGCCGGCCTCTTCAAATTACCTACCTTGCCGAATTTCTACTAAAATAAAAAACAGAAGGCATGCATTTGCTAAATCAAATCAAATTAATCACTCACATGACACAGCTCGCACGTTATATTTATATTCAAATTCGAGCTTACAATTTTCGTAATATTTATTGTTTAATTTTTTGAATGATTCGAATTTCACTATATGAAAATTTCGTAAACCCGTTTTTACGAAAATCTAAATAGAAAATTGCCTAGAGGGGAGATCACTATTGACACAACTTAAAATGATCACAGTTTGAAAGAGAAAGATTTCTAACAGCAACGCTTCCGATATCTCAATATTCTATTCACCACAACCATTCAAATCGCGTAACGCCATCTGTTGATCCAGTCCAACGTTCGAGTGCGCGCCTCGTCGTCCGTCGCTGCCTCCTTTATCGTTCATCTTCGTGTCTCACGAGTCACGACTCACATACGCACCGACGATACGTCTGCAGTCAGCATTACAGTCGCAGGCCGCAGCTCGCTCTGCTGCTAGACTCGACAAGTTACTGTACAAACACTCTGCTATTTCACATACACAAACTGGGCGTCTCGTCGTCGCGATTGCGAGCGAACAGCGTTCGTCGGCGACTGTATAGTGTGCGTAGATAGTTTGTTTTCGATTGTGTGCTCTGCCACAAATCGACCTGCGCGACGCCCGGGGGCCCCCATCGTGCAGTCGTCGTGTCCTGTCGTCGTCGTGTGTCGTTCGTTTTTGTAACAAAACATACGAAAAATAAATAAATTATAGACGAGCCAAGTGGATCGAGGAGTCGTGGGGCTATCATCGAACCACGAGAGCAGCTTCTCACGAGTTCGCCAAAATGGGCAGGGGCTCCGTACTCCTGACGATTGCCGCCTGCTGCTGCTTGCTCGCGAGCGCCGACGAGCATAGCCATGTTGTAAGGATTTTGACTTTTCTCGAGTTTGAAACTTTTCTCGATCGCTTCGAGATAAACATCTGGTCGATCGCGCGGGGTTGACAGAGAGGCATTGGCGTCGAACGCCGACAAGCGAGCCACGATTCGCCGATGTACTCTCTGTCGCGAAAAATTGCCCGAGTTTATATAACGTGGCAACCGGGAACGACAGGTGGATTTTGGAAACTCAACGCCTGTCATTTCCCAGCGACCGATGGCCAATGTTTACTCAAAGCCTTTTATCGATGCGATCTCGTGATCTTGTTTATTTTGGATTTTTTTTTAATGCCTTGTCAAACAGATGTCTGATTAGTGACCAATTCCTGGTGACGAATATAGGTTAGACAGATTGTAAAAGGTTGCTTTAATTAAAGTTTGCGCGTACTTTATAATGCTTTATGAAAGCGATAAGCTTTATCGCTTAATTGAAACTTGCCCAATCAATTCATATAAGATTTCCATGCTGACTAGTGAAATTATAAAATTTAATAGACTTGACAATTCCTTTGTTAGGAATGAACTTTGCAAGAACGATGTTTTTCAAAAGAAATATTTATCAAGAAATTTTATGATGAGTCTTTTTTAATTTTTTTCTTTTATTATTTTAGTATGAAAAAGGAGAAGAAGTGGTATTATGGATGAGCACAGTCGGTCCTTACCACAACAGGCAAGAGACGTACTCTTACTTCTCCTTGCCTTTCTGCAAAGGACCCAAGGAAGTTATCAGCCACTATCATGAAACCCTTGCGGAAGCTCTGCAAGGCGTTGAGCTCAAGATGAGTGGATTGATAATTGAATTTGGAGGTTGGTGATGCAATTAATTTTAAAATGATTGATCGATGATTACAATGGCTTTTGCAATATTTAATATATCATTAAATTTTTGCTTCAGATCATGCTAAAAGACAAGAATACTGCAGAGTCAAATTGGTTGATGAAAGCTATAGAGCTTTTGTTTACGCAGTTAAAAATCAATATTGGTATCAGATGTACATAGATGACTTGCCAATATGGGGTGAGATTTTTATTAATAATTTTATTTTAATTGTTTCTTGTTTAATAGAGTATTAATTTATATGAATTTCTTCATTAGGTGTTGTTGGAGAACCCGACGAATCAAATGGTTTGAATGGAGAGACATCGTATTACATTTGGACGCACAAAAAACTAGACATAGGTTATAATGGCAAACAAATTGTTGATGTTAATCTTACAAGTGAATCAAAAGTAGAGCTCAAACCAGGAAGAACTATTCCATTCAGTTATGAAGTTAACTGGAAGAAAAGCAATATTAAATTTGAAGACAGATTTGACAAATATTTAGATCCTAACTTTTTCCAACACAGGGTAATTGAAAGATTAATTAAAAATTATTCAATATTTATTTATTTAATACTTATACTCATTTTTTACACTTATAGATTCACTGGTTTAGTATTTTCAATAGTTTTATGATGGTCATTTTCCTTGTGGGACTTGTTTCCATGATTTTAATGCGCACTTTAAGAAAAGACTATGCTAGATATAGTAAAGATGAAGAGATGGATGATATGGAGCGAGATCTTGGAGATGAGTATGGTTGGAAACAAGTTCACGGAGATGTTTTCAGACCAGCAAGCCATCCAATGTTATTTTCAGCTATGATTGGTGCTGGATATCAGGTAAATCAAATCTACTTTGCTTTTCTAAACGTATCCAAATCTATCGTTATCACTGCTATATTTTCTTTTGACAATAAAAATAACTCTTTTTTATTTCTTTACAGGTCACAGTTGTTGTTTTGAGTGTTATTATCTTCGCTATTGTTGGAGAACTATACACCGAAAGAGGCTCAATGCTATCCACTGCTATTTTTGTTTTTGCAATAACTTCGCCAATCAATGGATATACTGGTGGTGGCCTGTATGCAAGAATGGGTGGCAGAATTTGGATAAAACAAATGTTGTTAAGCGCCTTTCTTATCCCAGTTTTAGTTTGTGGCACTGCTTTTATTATTAATTTCATAGCCATGTACTATCATGCAAGTCGTGCCATTCCTTTTGGATCTATGGTAAATTTATATACTAAAAATATTGAGGAACATTCAAATTAATCAAATAGTGAAACTAAATGTATCAAATATTTTAGGTTGCTGTGACATGTATTTGTATCTTCATAATTCTGCCTTTGACCTTAGTTGGTACTATTCTTGGTAGGAATTTGGCAGGTACACCAGATGCCCCTTGTCGTGTTAATGCAGTTCCTCGGCCAATTCCTGAAAAGAAGTGGTTTATGGAACCGCTTGTCATTATCATGCTTGGAGGTGTATTACCCTTTGGATCAATATTTATTGAAATGTATTTCATATTCACATCATTCTGGGCCTACAAAATTTATTATGTTTACGGCTTCATGTTGCTGGTATTTTTAATTCTTATGGTTGTGACTGTATGTGTTACAATTGTTTGCACATATTTCCTTCTTAATGCAGAAGATTACAGATGGTTAGTAAATTATTTTGGTTTAAAATTAAAACTACTCAATACTTGTATGTCTACATTTTAAACTTTTTACAGGCAATGGACAAGTTTTCTTGCTGCTGCATCAACGTCTAGTTATGTTTATCTTTATTCATTTTATTATTTCTTCTTTAAGACAAAGTGAGTAATTTATTTTAATGTTCTATAAAAAAAAAATTGATACAGTGAACTAACATAAAAATTTCAAATTACAGAATGTATGGTCTTTTCCAAACTGCGTTTTATTTCGGCTACATGGCACTGTTCAGTTTGGCTCTAGGTTTAATGTGTGGCACAGTAGGATACGTCGGTACGAGCTTTTTCGTGCGCAAGATTTACTCGACTGTGAAGATAGACTAAATATCTCTACTCCTAAACATTTGAGATGTATCCAACTTATTTGAAAATTGTCTCATTAACCACTGAAAGTGTGTAATCTGTGTCACGTATCCATCATTTCTTTGGTCAATTAAATCATTAAGAGATGATGATTCATAGTGGCGCTAGTCAAAACCGAGAAAAAAAGACGAGACGATGATGCGTTGAGAGAGTGTACAGTTTATTTTTTTTTTATTTTTTTTTAAATCCTTCAGCTTCCAGTTTTGTGAGGAGGTCTTTTTGGAGCGATATTGTTGATTTATTTCAAGAAAAAACCATTCAGGAAGTCGAAGGCATTTTGTAAGGATAGCAAAAACTATACTAAGAAGAGAGTATACATAGATGTGTGTATAGAATTGTGATCGATGAATTAATCGTGTAGTGCATACGGTGTAAGAATTGTAATAAAAAAAAAAGGTTTCAAATCCTACTTCACGATGGTTACTCTTTGTGTCCGCACACGTCGACTTTAAGAAAAAAAAATCAACAAGCGCCCATCCTGGTTCGCTAGAAATCTCATAACGATTGATTTCTTCACTTTGTATATCGAACTGTTCCAGCTGCGCGATGATGCGTGGAAAAACAACTATTAATAGTCCATTCAAAATGATAATTGTAGAATATAGAGATATTATGAGATAAGCTTTTTGATTGAAGTATTCACGGCGGTCTAACGATGAATGTGGAATGCCACTATTTTTAGAACCTCAGACCCAAACGATTCGACTTCACTTCGTACCGAAAATACTTGATATTTTTTTTATAGCATTTTTATTCTAAATGTTTAGAAGATAAACAACCCGAAAAATGTTCAAATCATAAGTGTCAATGTTCACTGGTGTGTGAACATTTAGCTGTGATAGTGAATACTTTACCAAGTGAAAAGCAAAAACATTTTAATCGTATTCAAAGAATAGTATATATTCTGAAGCATTAAAATATGCCTGCAAAATTTTTGAATTCCGATTAAAATTTGTAAAAAAAAAATAACAAGATACAAACAAACAAAAAACGAAAGAAGAGTTTAACACACAAATTTTTCGCTTAACGTACGAAATGTATAGTAATTCATTTTGTCAGCGAGCGCAGCCGCGCTCGATTGTGCGTACGATATTACAGTAGTTGGCTCATATGTTTAAGATTACCTCTTTTTGTACGAACGTCGATTATAAAACGCCGCACGTTATATATTTAAAACGAAGAAAAGAAAAGAACTATGTTGAGAGAGCTCTCTGATCTCGATACACATGAACTTCCTTGTAAAATAGTTACTTAACGAACGGTCGATTGCTATTTTTTAACGATCTTAGTATTGTTAATCTTATCATGACTATTGTTTTTTTCTGCGTACTATTATTAAGACATCGGACAACGGGTGAAAACTGATGCATGATGTTATATTTTACTTGCCGATTGATTATCCTAATGTAATTAGTGAATTATACCGTGAGCGGCCCGTCGTCGTTGCGTCGGACTCGACGCCATAGCGAACGCTCCGAAAAGATAAAAAAAAAAGAGAAAAAGGTACTCGAGTGTTTATTTGTATTATTTATGTAGGATATCGTAGATTTTGTTAAATAATTATTAAGATTGAATACACGATTATCGTATATATAATTATTATATATAAAAAAAATATAAAGTGAAAATAGCTCAACACAGATTTTTGAATATTTGTAGTTCTTCGCGTTCTTTATATACTTACGTTGTTTTTATCAATAATAATACATTATTTGAACGTGCAAAATCGAAAAAAAATAAAAACATTATTTAGTAATTACGGATGTACTCCAGTCTCGACCCACACCCACTATATACTCGATGTCATCGTTATAAATCGAGGCTAGTCGATTTTACTATTTGAGTCGACGATTCGCGCGATTAATTTTTTCCCACCCGACCAATATATCTCGTCGTTGTCACACAAGTTTCAGTGTGATCACATTTATAGAAACGATCGATGATGAATTTTTCAATGAGCGAGACTTAATTATGTCCAATTTTTTACTTTTTTCCTTCGTTTTACAAGTGTCGAAGGATCGCGAGTCGAGTTCCGAGTTTCTCTCGTTCTAAAATGCCCTCTTGAAAGCACTCCAATAAAATCCTAGTCGTTCGATCAGTACACACGGTATTTCACATTGCGACGTTGGCTCGGCCTCGCAAGATCGATGACTAGATCCGCGTGCATAATATACGCGTATATAATGGAATCTCGTCGCGTTGTCCTTGCTCGTTGTCTGCGCTCTTCGTTTATTATGCGCGGTATACCACCTACGCTTGCAGCAGCGGCAGCAGCAAAAAAATAAAATAAAAAGTTAGCGCGACGTGTCTTTCGCTACATACGACGAAGCGAGAAAGACAAAAAAGAAAGAAAGAAAGAAAGAAAGAAAAAAAAGGAGGTGACAGACTCGCGGCGGCGATCGTTTGCAATAATTATTATTGCCACCCACGCACCGATGAGATCCCTTTTAAGGAGCTCTCGTCTGAGCCAGCGTCGATTAGCGCGTTCGATAAAAGCCCACCTATAATGTAGTCTCGGCAATAGGTAGCAGCGCAATTCGCATCGCTGATTTCATTTCGCGCGCCGCATTGTCCATCGTTTATTATATTGCGCGTTCGAAAAACCGCAGGTCCCGCGCGCGCGCGAGCGTTTTATGAATCGGTAATAAATCGACAACGAAGAGCTTGCACAAGATTAGAGACAACAACGGCAGCAACACCATCGTCGTCTTACGTATTGCTCTATCTGTGTTTTTTCTCTAACAGTATAGCTTAGATATTAGCGAGCCGTTACTCGCATAACAACAAATATAAATCTATTACTTCTTGGACGTTTAATGCGTTTATAATGTTGAAGTCGTCGTTGCTGCTGTTGTTGTTGTTCTCGTAGTCTCGGGTCGAATTGCTCAACACTTGTCGCGCGCGCGCCGGCACGTAGTAGCAACAGACATAACGGGCTTTCTCTACATCAAGCACACGCCTATATAGAAGCTAATACAACCGCCGCCTCGTGCGTGCGCGCGAGCTTTTCGAGGGGACTGGATATACCACTATTCGCGCGCGTCCGTGTGGCAATTATAAGACGCGCAGACATCGAGACGCGTTGTAGGCGATAATCCATTGTCACTCGTACATAGAAACATCGCATTCGTATCACATTATATGTATCTCTGTTTATAGACGAAAAATAGGGAGTGCTCGTCCGAGACGATCGGTACATAATCGATCGGTCGGTTCAAGCGAGCGAATTGAAATTCATCGTGTATCGACAAAAATTAGTCACCAGTTCACGATAATAATATAATTGAAACCTATGCCCGCTCAAAAACATTGCTCGTTAATCGTGATAAATTACACGCATGCTCACGTTAAAAAATAATATCCGATATTTATGCGCGACTCTCGACTCGCGGAGGAAAATTATACAAAACCGAGCGAATCGCGTCATAAATGTGTGCCAGTGGACTCGTACACGCCGTGAGTGGGTCCGCACACACCTACGCGCCTACTGCGAGGCGAGCACATTAAAAATATACATCCGAGCGAGAGCCGCGACGATTAAAACATAAAGCTAAAGCTGTATATCATAAGCTCGGCGTACGATCCAATGCGTGTATAATTTAATCGCGCCATTACTCAGCGTGCGAGATACATAATTCGATCCGTTTCTGTCCGTGTAATTCGAATTTTTTTTTTATTTCATTATCATCGTTTTTTCTGTATTCCTTTCTTCTTCTTTTAATTATTTTTGCGGGAAAAAAAGAGACGAGACGCGATTTTCGTGCGGGAGAGGCACACACACAGGATGTCGTCGATCGTCGTCTCGTTGACGCAACGTGCGTGTCTATATTTGTACACCCGCGCGCATGGAAGATCGAAAAGAAAAAAACAGCGCGACACGAAACAATCGAGTTTCGTCGCATTATTTAGGACGAGAGAGAAAGAGAGAAGCGATCGTCTCTCTCTCTCTCTCTCTCTCTCGCGAATTACGAGAAACTCCGAACTTCGCCTTTTAGAAAGCATCCTCGATGTGTCCGGAAGAGGAGATGCTGATAAATAATCGATGTTATACCGGTTCTGGCGAACGTACGAAGAAAAAAATACCGGAAGATCGAATCTTAAATCCGTTAAAAAGGAGCATCGTCATAAAAAAATCGGCAATTCGGTGATCGGTCATCGTTCGATACTCCAATAGAATCTCGTTAGACGCGAAGGATACGCCTGTAGTCGTAGCAACCGTTCGAAGCTACTGTCGCACTCGACGATCGCAACTCGCAATGTTTGGGTGTGCAGGCGCTAGCGCAACAGCAGTCAAATTGTCTTCGAATGCTCACGACGCATGGAATCGTGCATGTAGAATATAGAAAACGATGCGTGCACCGCAGTCAGTCAGTCAGTCAGTCAGTCAGCCACAGTCGAAAACTGGGTAGAGTCACAAAAAGCGCATGCGTCGTCGATCCCACGCACATGCAGCTCCGAACTTGCTCTCGCCAGCAGCAGCACCCACGGAATTGCACGCACGCAGGCCTCGCTTGCAGGCGCAGTAAATCCCCCCTCCTCTCTCTCTCTCTCTTTCAAGTTTCCATCTTTATCTCTCTCTTTCGTGTACGCTCTATCTCTTTTCAACGCGCGTCGGCTCGGGCGCAGCAGCGGAATGCACGTTGGCTCGTGGGATCTAAAAAGAGACGGCACCATTCGTATACATGTGTGTGCGTGTGTACGTGAAATATAAAATTTTCTCCTCCTCCGCCGCCACCACCGCCACTGTACGCACGAGAGTGCAAAAGAGACGGAGAGAGAGAGGCGCACACCACCACAAGTCGCGAACGCACACGAGGTACGGTATACTATGCTATAGGTGCAGAGATACCAATGCCGACGATCGCGACGACCACGGCGAGGGGGCGCAGAAGCTCTCAAAACTTCGCTTCGTGCCGTCTGACTGCTTCAGTTGAGCAGAGGCCCTCGAATCGCACTGACTGACACACGACGTCGAGACTACACACACACACGCACAACGTTACACAGCATACAATCGCACTTCTCTCGCTTCATAAAGCACATATTTATAATCGTGTGTAATCTCCGACGCCAATTCGCGCGTCGTCGTCGTCGTTGTTGCAAATATTCTCCAACCGATCGTTGGTTTTTCGCTTTGAAAGCAGTGCGATACATCACATTGACGGCCACAGTGTTTTTTATGTAAAAAAAAAAAAAAAAAAAACAACGACAAAAAATACCGATACCGATTGTATTCTGAAAATACCTGAGTGGAGGATCGGTTCTGTTGTTTTGTTGTTGTTGTTGTCATAGTGTATACTCGCGGTTGTGTTTATTTGTCGCGGCCTTCTACACAGCAAGAGAGAGAGAGAGAGACGGGCAAAACTGACTTAAAACCGGAGAAGAAGAAGCAAGAAGCAAAGCAGAAAAGAGAGAGGTCGAGAAAGCCAAGAGATCGCGCTCTCCGCTCTCCGTGGTGTCCGTGCTCCGTGTGTCTGTGCGTCCGTGTGTGACTTCTCTATATATATAATACTTACTACTTGCTGTGCGAGCTGCGCTGCGCGTGCTATATCGCTCGCAGTCGCGACTCTTCTCTCTCGCCGAGTGTTACACACGCATAATACATATACATATTTATATTATATACACACACAAACACGAGCGTTTATTCTAACGCTCGTCACACATACGTGCGCGCGTAGTTTCCGTGTGCCGCTGCCGAACGAAGAGACGACGAGACCCGGAGTTTTTCTCTCTCGTTACACGAATTTACATCTAACCAAGTTCTCTCTGTGACTGTGCCTGTGACGAGTGAGCCGCCGCGACGATATCATTGTCGCCGTTTGTTAGCAACATACAGCATATTGTTATTATCGCAAATCGTGCGTGGTAGCAGCAGCAGCAGCCAATATAGCCGCACACTCTCTACTACTAGTATACTGTCTATCTCTCTCAGTGCGTGTGATACATGTGTGCCTTATAATTCCGGAGAGCAATAGATATAGACACGATATTATACATGGATTATCGTTTCGACCGAGGTTAGACCGAGAAGAAGAAGCAGCAGACAGAAGACTGAGTGCGATAATAATACGACCGACCGATCGAATCACAATTTATCCCCCCGTATACGCATGAGAAATAACGGAGTTTTGGGATACAGCGGCGCATTTGTAATATAAATATATAAACGACAGCCGCGGAGAATCCAGTCGTTCGTCCACTACAGCGTGTATTATACGACGACAGCGCGGAGATCGCGAAAAAAATCGTGCGTCACACACAAACGCGACGACATAACAAATAATATACGCAAAGGCGAGCTTCAACGCAAATCGTTGTCGACCAAGGCACACATATGTATATGAAAATGAGCGACCAGATGAACAACACGACGACCCAGAGCATCGCCGACTACCTGTCGCAGCTGCTCAAGGACAGGAAGCAGCTCGTCGCCTTCCCGAGCGTCTTCATACACGTCGAGCGGCTACTGGACGAAGGTAAGCGCGCCATTAATTATCAGCAAAAAACATTCGTATACATAATTCTGTGTGTGTGTGTGTATCAACTTAAATATTCAGTGCTTATGAGTAAAGGGCGAGCGAGTAGAGAGAGGCCGATTGTGAGTGTTTACATATATGTGTGTATGACGTATGTGTGTGTGTGTGTGTGTGCTGTGCAGGCACTGTTGCTTTTTGCAGCACTGTGCACATCGCTGCGCGCCTTGTAGCATACATAGGTAGTGGTGTGGGCTCTGCCTCCTCTGGGCAGAGCCCATTACATATTATACAGCGGAGAGCGAGAGAGAGAGAAAGAGAGATACTCTGCAGACAGAGCACAGAACGCAACAACGCTCGACGAGAAGTCAAAGAGTTAGGTTATAATTTTATATCTGCTGTTGCTGCTGCGAGTTTGCAATTGTGTTTGTTGTGAATACGAACAGATGCACGCACGCATTTGCGACAGACAGACGCACCGATAATTCTGACCGAGCACTATATATGCGACCGACAGTTCGGCATGCAGCTCGGGTACTCGCGAGGCGATTTCTCATTCTCGTGTATTTTTTTTTTCTTTATTATCGTAAACAGAGCCAACGCCGCGATCGACTCGTGCCAATGTCATTCCGTATCGTTGATGATACACATCGAGAGCGACGAGATGCGTGTACGGAGAGCAGCAGGTTTATTCAACTCTGCGTCGTGCTCGCGGCAGAGGAAGAGAGAGAGAGAGAGAGAGAGAGAGAGAGAGACAGACCGGCAAAAGTGTCATCGATACGTAAATTAGAGACAGAGATAAGCCATGAAAATACATGTGTGCGTGCGAGAACGCGGGCAGACGCTCATTCGGCTCATTACACATACGCGATTCGTGATTTCTGCCCCGGTGCGAAATCGATATCGACGACACAGCGAATTTCGGAGTCGCGCGTCGACGCTGACATTTAAACGAAGAAATGCACGGATTAGATCGAGCTTTGCGAGATATTTTTTTTTGCTCGAGCATATTATGTATCGCTTATACGTATACGTGTGTAGTAGCTGTCGCGGCTATATAAACTGTACCCGCGCCTTGCTCCGAAACGAGTAGAATCTGTGGAATTCCTGGGCACACACACACACATACTCGCACGCACGTACACCGCCGCAGGAGCGTGTGCATACAAGCGACTCTCCGTACCTCGAAACCTCTCGCATGCCTGCATCGCGCATATACACCAAAGTGCAACAGCAGCAGCAACGTTTTGCAGTCGTCGTGCATACGTGTGCGTGTGCATGACTCGCTCCTGGCTTCGTTACTCTTTATACTCGCGTGCATTTCTTCTCTCTACACGCGCGCTCGCTTATATGTACAGTGCCTCGGATAATTGATTTTCTATATATTTTCTTTGGTTCAAACGTCGCGTTGCGTTACGCGCTTGGGAAATACTTCCAATTCCTACTGGGGCACGCAGCAGTTATTTGTATATTAAAAAGCCATTCCTATCGCTCCTATACGTAGACTTTATCTCGTATCGTACGTATACACGGTGTCGTTAGTCCTTGAGAGGCCCGAGAGCAATTAAAAAACTATCAAAACGTCTCGATCGAGGTATTAATCTCTGCCTTCTTCTTTTTTTTTTTCTCTCTCTTTCCCCCTTGTAAATGGGTACTTTACGACTCTGTCTCTGTCCTAATGCTCGAGTTTTATATATAAGATACGATTTCGTTCCAACTCCTCCTAAAAGTAGCTTTAAATTGGAAAAATATCCCGCACCGCTACACATAACGTACACACACCGAGCGTATTTTATGTAGGCTGCAATTCGAGCGGAAAAATGTCGTATCCCAAGGATCTCTCGGCGAGGCAATTGAAAGTCGTCTTATTAGGCAACGCGCATGCAGGCGCTGCTGCTGTTTTTAATGTGTGTGTGGGGCAACTCGCGGTAGTGGCGTCGACCGGCCCGTCGTATAATACGATGATTTTTCTCGTAATGAGATTTGGACGAGTTTTCGTGGCACGTATATCATAGCCTAAGTTACCAGTAGTAGCAGTTGCACGAATCAACCCTTTTTTCGCGGTTTCTTCGTGGCGCGCACGTACGTATATACATACGTACATGCGTACTTCGCGTGCATATTATAACGCCGTAATAGGAGCTGTTTACTCGGCGGCGGCGACAAGTCGCGCTGCCGCTGCAGTTATATACATACGAGGGTGAGCGTATATAGAGTACGCGTATGCGCAAGACGGCATTACGTCATTACATGCCAACTATGTGCCTCTTTCTCTCTCGCTCTTATACCTCGTCTCGTCGTCGCTCTCCGCAGTCACTTACTCTCGGTGAGGCAGCTAGCGGCGCGCACGCTATATACGAATGGCGATCCGAGCGAGAGCTCCTCTAAGACCGAGCCGATCTTAAAATGGACATTTGACTTGGAAACTGCCGTACGTGCGTACGTGCGGACTAACGACGAATGAACCAATGGAGATGTAACGTATAGAAGAGAGTTTTTAAGCTCAGAAAATTTCGACGACGACGACGACGATGACGAAAGGTCGACGTGCGGTTATGGTTTACGGTTTTATGCAACGCAAAACCTTGTGCCTAGCTTTTATGTATACCGATCTCGGCGCAGGCTGGCAGGCCGAGCTGAGAGCGCAAATTGAAAAACTCTTTGACTCGTACGGAGCTTACGTAATTGTCAAGTACGCGTACATACATTATGTGCGTATGCGTGCGAGAGACGATCATCGCTTCATCTCGAAGATCATCGAGAGCGACGTCGTCGTCTTCGTCGTCGGTGCGGGCGCGCGCGCAAAAATTAGCCTGAATAAATTTAGCTTTAAGGGAGAGATTTCTGTGTCGTCGTCGTCGAGACGTGCGACGAGATTTAAAAATAAAAAATAAAACTATAGGCTCTTGCTCACTTCTTAAGAAGCTCCGCTGTGACTCCCCCTCTCGACTCTTTCGTGCTTCTCTCGCTCGGGTCTTTTTACTTTTTTTTTTCTTTCTTTCAAGAAAAACATATTTCTATTAAATCCGAGAGACCGGGAGTGAGCTGCGGAGTTATCGCGCGATGGGGAAAAAAAAAGAAGAAAAAAATGCTCGAAATACCACTGCAAACTGGCGCGAGATCCGAACCTGGCAGAATGTGTGTGTATGATATATAACGAGTTGGGATACGTACCTACTTGCTTACACACACACACACACACTGGTACCTATATACCATGGGCAGAGAGTCTGCACAGGTCTAGCATTTAAACTTCGCTCGTGTAGAGGTTTATGCGCAGGTATGAGTATACGATACAGGCCGGCGCGAGCGAAACACGTCAAACCCGTTCGATTCGGTGAGGCCGAGGCGTACTCGCACACACACATACATACACATAAAACGCCAAGAGAGGTGAAAGCTTCTTACTTATATATATATATAAATGTGCCGAGCATATACATCATTATATTATCGGCTGATACATGTATGTATAAGCGCGATATATATAGGCAGCCAGTGGTGCTGCACCGAGCTCCGCAGAGAGAGAGAAAGAGGCAAAATATCTTACATTATTTCCTACGACAGGAGGTGCGAATGCTCGTGCACGGTACCGATTTTCTATTGGCTTGGGCATGTGCGGCTGTGCAGAGCTTGTACATACGGATAATGTATATTGCAGCGTGTAAGTGTGTGTGTGTGTGTGTGTGCACCGGTGGCATTGCCGCCGCCGAGAGAGCCGTGCAACAGGTCGGGGTACAATGCATAAATCGCGCCGAAGCTCGTACCGTCTGTTCGTTGTACGTGTGTGTCTTATATAGTATATAATACTATATATACTGCGCTCTTATATATACCTACACGCGAATATACGCGCATAATATGAATGGGGATACCTCGAGAATGAAACTTGAATGAAAGCATGTGCAGCTGCGTATTGCTGCTGCTGCATCGATGCAGTTTCGAATCAAAAATTTTGCTCGTTTCGTTCGACGCGCGGTGTCAGCGAATTATATATACGAAGAAGGAGCAAATCAATAGCAACGCGGGACGATTATCGAACGAATGCATAACTGCGTGCCGCAATTCGTGTCGGCGAATTCGAGCACGTTGCAAAATGAAATCGTACAAAGATAATACTCGATCGCTGTGGTGTGTGGCCATCGTGGATTTATAAGCTCGGGAGCACATTTACAGCACCACCGTTGCCGTATTACCACCGACCGATGATGGCTTATAATATTGGCTCCTAATAAGCGTCATGACATTATGTATCGAATTACGAATACGCGCGTTCAAGCTGGTGCTGCTGTGCGCTGCATCTATATATCTGAAGAAAAAGCTCGTACGTGTGTTTTTTGTCCCACAAAACCAAGTCGCTAAAAGAGCTACGAGCCTATATGCGACACGAAAAACACGAAAGATCTCGTCGCATCCTTGCCAGACGTTTACCACACTTTATCCTCGTCCTTTTCCGTACGGATTCTCGGAGTTTGACAGGCAGCAGCAACTCGTTTTCTCTAATTATCGCTCGTCGTCGTCGTCGTAGTCGACGACGACGACGAAGAAAAGCTCCGCTATATAGACTAAACGGTATAATACGTGTATACGCGACCGAGATCTTGTTTGGTCTTTTTTACTTTTCCTTCTTCCATGCGCTACACTTTTTTTTCTCGGAAAAAGAGCTGGAATTTAGCGAGTCTTTCTCTCGCTTTGGATCGCGCCCACGCAAAAATACACAAACGTTATATATATAATGTAATACGTGACGAGCATCGTCGTCGTCGTCGTCGTCGTCGTCGTCGTCCGCGAGAGATATATGCGAAATGTGTCTATTTTGTGTCTTTGGTGCCGTGAGCCGACGAAGACGAAGACTAAGACGCCAGCGCACTATACTGCCGCTGGCTGACCCAGTGGCGCAAATAGACCACATCTCGCGCATAACTCGGCACACGACACACATTATATATATATAATATATAAGACACACACACACGCACACACGAAAGGAGTATCATATAGAT